CGATTCGATTAAAACTGTTTAATATTTTTTTATTGTTTGTTCAAACGTTTTAACAGTTTTGAGAATACATGGAAGCAGAGTTGAAGAGCAAGCAGGGTTGGCAGCAGAAAGGTAAACATTGGATGAATCATAATTAATCATTAAAATTTCCTCTTAGCAGTTTTAATATTGGTTGTTTACACATTCTTCCCATCACTCTGCAATTTAACAGAACCACTTTGTTTTGAACACTAGGGACCTGACAGAGCAAAGCAGAATAGAGAAGTGTGTCAATGAGAGGGAGCCCAAAGACAGGCAGGACTGTAAACCTTTAAATACAAAAATAAGAACATTTTGAATAAACAGGTATTATTCACAGTTGCAGTAAACATGTCAAGGTAAGTATTTCAACAAGGTAAATATCTTCAGATGAAGTATTATGTCCTACAAACAATCATATTTTAACAGTATTTACTAATTTGTATTTTAAACATTTTAACAAATCTATTTAAGTATTTACTTACAAATATAAGATAAGAAGCCCACACTTTTTAACCATATACATCCAAGCATTTGGTTTTAGCGATTTATTTCTTTAACTATGCAGTGACAACTCTTAACTCACACCCACATTAACACGCTTAGCTTATTAAATACATTTCTACACCTAAACAGACAAAGATCTAAACTACAGTCCATATGAGCTTACCGATAGCCCGTCACAATCAAAAGTCTCATTCCTCACAGTGGATGCGTAATGTTTCTGGTGTCCTCTCAGTCCATTGTATTTCAGCCAAATGACTGCATCGTGTATGCTCCCACTCATTGAACTGAGCGCGAGCTTCTGATTGCCCCAATTTAATTCACCTGGCCGCGAGTGTGCCAAGGCATGCACAGTCACGTGCGGCTACCAATGCTGAGCGGCATGCAGATAAGATGCCATGGAGGAGGAGGAAATGAGACAGGCTCACGGGAGATAGACACATAGCGCGACAACCTGACTTCTGCGATCCCAAGCTTGGTGGTCCTGGAGGACCCAACTTCGGTGATCCCAAGCCCGGTGGTCCAGAAGGACCTCACTTCTGCGATCCCAAGCTTGGTGGTCCAGAAGGAACCAACTTCTGCGATCCCAAGCTTGGTGGTCCAGGAGGACCTCACTTCTGCGATCCCAAACTTGGTGGTCCAGGAGGACCTCACTTCTGCGATCCCAAGCCTGGTGGTCCAGGAGGACCCGACTTTGGTGGTCACAAGCCCGGTGGTCCAGAAGGACCTGACTTCTGCAATACCAAGCTTGGTGGTCCAGGAGGACCCGACTTCTGCGATCCCAAGCTTGGTGGTCCAGGAGGACCCGACTTCTGCGATCCCAAACTTGGTGGTCCAGGAGGACCCGACTTCGGCAATGCCAAACTTGGTGGTCCAGGAGGACCTGACTTCGGTGGTCCCAAGCCCGGTGGTCCAGAAGGACCCGACTTCTGCGATCCCAAGCTTGGTGGTCCAGGAGGATCCGACTTCGGCGGTCCCAAGCCTGGTGGTCCAGAAGGACCCGACTTCTGCGATCCCAACCCTGGTGGTCCAGGAGGACCCGACTTCTGCGATCCCATGCTTGGTGGTCTTAAGAGGACCCGACTTTTGGGATCCCAAGCTTGGTGGTCCAGAAGGACCCGACTTCTGCAATCCCAAGCCTGGTGGTCCAGAAGGACCCGACTTCTGCGATCCCAAACTTGGTGGTCCAGAAGGACCCGACTTCTGCAATCCCAAGCCTGGTGGTCCAGAAGGAACCAACTTCTGCGATCCCAAGCTTGGTGGTCCAGGAGGACCTCACTTCTGCGATCCCAAACTTGGTGGTCCAGGAGGACCTCACTTCTGCGATCCCAAGCCTGGTGGTCCAGGAGGACCCGACTTTGGTGGTCACAAGCCCGGTGGTCCAGAAGGACCTGACTTCTGCAATACCAAGCTTGGTGGTCCAGGAGGACCCGACTTCTGCGATCCCAAGCTTGGTGGTCCAGGAGGACCCGACTTCTGCGATCCCAAACTTGGTGGTCCAGGAGGACCCGACTTCGGCAATGCCAAACTTGGTGGTCCAGGAGGACCTGACTTCGGTGGTCCCAAGCCCGGTGGTCCAGAAGGACCCGACTTCTGCGATCCCAAGCTTGGTGGTCCAGGAGGATCCGACTTCGGCGGTCCCAAGCCTGGTGGTCCAGAAGGACCCGACTTCTGCGATCCCAACCCTGGTGGTCCAGGAGGACCCGACTTCTGCGATCCCATGCTTGGTGGTCTTAAGAGGACCCGACTTTTGGGATCCCAAGCTTGGTGGTCCAGAAGGACCCGACTTCTGCAATCCCAAGCCTGGTGGTCCAGAAGGACCCGACTTCTGCGATCCCAAACTTGGTGGTCCAAGAGGGTCCGACTTTTGCGATCCCAAGCACGGTGGTCTAGGAGGACCCAATTTCGGTGTTCCCAAGGCCGCCAACATTCCCTGTCTTAGCCACTGAGGCCGCTCCCGCCAGTTCTGCCTTGGCCAAAAGAGTGATTTTTACGTTTTATGTAGTCGCTGTCCCGCGTGCCTGCAGCACACACGTCAAAGAGGGCTTCCTGTAGTCCTGTTGGCACCCCGGATGCCCTCCCTCAGCAGCTCACTGCTGTTCCACGGCAGTCTAATGCCATCCCTGAGCCGCCTGTTGTCGTTCCAGAGCCGCCCGCTCTCACAGAAACGGCCAAGGAGGCTGTCCCAGAACAGCCCACTGTTTTTCCTGAGTCGCATCCCGTCGTGGCCGTCCTTCCAGAGTCACTTCACATCAGACCCGCTGAGCTAGAGACCGTGCACATCATGCCTGCCGAGCCTGAGCATCTTCACATCAGGTCTGCCGAGCCTGAGCATCTTCACGTAAGGCCTGCTGTGTCTTCTGACAAGATAGCAACCTCCATGCCTGTGTCTTTGGACAAGATGACCGTCTCGCTCCCCGAAGTGTCGGCTCCGCCCTGGATACCTACCAAGCCTGCTCCACTCTGGATGCCTGCCAAGCCTGCACTGCCCTGGACACATGCTCCGCATTGGACGCTTGCCAAGCTCTCAGCCAGGACTCCAGACCCGCTGGAGTCTCCCTGATCTCTCCCTCCGGCACCGCCCTGGTCCTCAGCCAGGATTCTAGCTCTGCCGGAGCCCGCCTGGTCCGTCCCTCCGGTTCCGCCTTGGCCCTCAGTAGTTTGTTTTATTTTTCATTACTTAATAAATATCTATTGTTCGTGCACTTGAGTCCTCAGCCCGGTCTCATCCCCAAAGCATCATACAGGTGATGCTTTTGACATCTCAGTTCCGCGTTTTGGCCTACAGAGTGACGACGTAACTTCAGTACTCGATTGACGCTAAAGGGTGCCATGTGCGTCGGATTTAGACGCAATGTCAAAAGCAAATGACGCCCTAGGATGAGAATGCGTTGGAGTCCTTTCCTCTAACCCAGATTGTGACATAGTGAATGATGTCCGGGTCACTAAACACCTGACGTATACCTCGCGCTTAAGGGTCAACATAATAACATGCTTTTTACAACTTAATTATCTATAATTTGAAAGTAGAATTATTATGTTAGTCAGTGATTAATTTTGTTAAATTACTTTAAACAAATGCTTTATATAAATAAATGACACTGTAGTTTCACTTTTGCCCAGCCAAAGAGGTTCATCTGAAAGATAGATTTGTTAGGAATTAGAAAAAAGATCTTTGAAATGCACATTTAGACATCTATATAATCTATTAATGTGTATGTCATTATGATTGACATTAAATAACATTACAATGAATTTAGGTTATTTATTGTGGTCAGTTAGCAATGGTTAATAATTAATAATTATTAGTAAAATTGTAAGTAAGTGTTACTTACTTACTTAATAATTATTGTAATTCTTTGTGTTATCTAATCATGCTAGCAACAATATGTCACTGTCCCCAATAACAAATAGATCGGGTATGTTGTCTGAAATTCAAAAGCAAAATTTAAAACTATTATGAATTACAAAATCATTTGTGAAACATGTTGACTCTTGCCAAAGTGATGTTATATTCTCTTGTTATTCAATAGCCATAACTAAAATATTATAGAGTGGATTTTTTTTCGAAATTAAACACACACACACACACACACCTAGGCTAATTAGATAGATTGTATATCGACCGACATCTTGGAGCTAATTTGTTAGAATGATATTTCACATTGATTCAGTCTGAGCCCATTTGCTCATCCTTTCCAACAGATGCATTTCTCACTTCAGTGCAATTTTTCTTTATTTTTCACCTAAATTATTCTTTAGGTGGCCAATTTGACTATATTTCTTTTTATATACTTGTAATTGGCTTATTGGATATATCGAATCATGGAGAATCCACAGGAAAGACAGGACAAGAGAACTTGAACCCAGTCCTCATGACAAAACCACACACTACCCTGTGCCCTCTGTGCCACAAGAGGGAGTTTCATCGTTTCATTCCTTTCTTAGCAGATACTGTTGTTAATCTAATCACAACACTGTGATGATATTGATTTTGTGCTTTGGGAGAACTGTGCCCTTTTAAAATGCTCAATATAATAAAAAATAATTATTGCAAATATGCTAATTTTGGACTTTCTTTTCTTTTCTAAATAATGCAAACTGACCGAGTTGGTAAATCTGTTACTGGCTAAATGTGTCTTTGATTGTTTATAAATCTAGGATTTAAAAGAATCCTAGATTGTTTAAGCAGTGGTATATGTTATTATGCATTATGAATTCCTCTACCTGAAAAAACAAAACAAAAAAATCCATACGCTGGTTTACTGGTTTTCCAAACTTGTGTATTGGTCGGCTTTTGAGGAGTTCTGGCAACATTTCTGTCGTTGCACACTGATTGCTTCTGTTTCCCTGCCCGTCTCCCTTTGTAACTATTTCTGCTTCCACACCCCTATAAACTGTGTCAACATACAGTACGTCTTATACTGTAACAGCTGTGACTTTCTCTTTGGTAATGCGGAAGCAAACACAGACACACATTATTAATGCAGAGAATGAATTTTATTGTCAGAATATAGATGTTTATTCACATCCCAACATATAATGTATTTGACAAACATCCAAGGGAAGTTCAATTAATAAAGATATTTCAATTTCCCTCAGAGGCACCGCATACTTCGTGGAGTTTAAGTTCATTTAGCTCTCAGATTGATCCTCCTGTTTTAAAATCTGGGAAATTCCTGTTAGCTTCATTTTATGTCAATTATTCCTGAAAACTGATGCATAGATGTAACCACTGGCAAATTAGACTTTACAAAGTGAGATGTTTGGATGTTAGAAAAGAAGTGCTTCACCAAAATAATTTTCAATCAACTGATTTTGGGGGGGAGAATAGAAAATTCCAATTGCAGAAAATAATTTGACACAATATTTAATGTGAAAATCCCTGAGATAACAAAAGGGATCCCTGAAAATTAAGTTAATAATAATATTTCACATTCATTGCTTGTTGAATTTGAAGAATTGTATGGCAATTGCATATTGTATCAAAATCCCATTAATCAGTGTCACTTCTAAATCAAACCATATTTATGGCCGACAGACATAAATTACAAATCTTTAAAGCAATTTAAATACACAAACATCAGTGATTGGACATGTTGAATTCTAATTGCATTATTCCATTCAATTTGTTCATTAGCTTACTTCATAAGCCAATGCACACAGTTTTTGATACAGGTTTGAGGGCAGTTTTGAAGAATCCAGTCGTCCAATATTACCAGCTGTAGAACAGAAAAAGAGATCAGTCAAATTTATTGTGGATTTATGAGGATTGCTAAAGGACTGGTAGCCCAATGTGTGTATTGAAGATACGTGTGTCTGTCCTGACCGTCACTTACTGTCTGAAGGACATCCATTATCTTCTTCCTCGATAGAGAACTGAGAGTAAAGAAAGGCTTCAGTTAATAAACGTCAAATATTTCAATGTTTTGAGCAATTGAGAATTTGATACTATATATGAACTTATTTTTGGTATGATTTGAGCAATTTATTCGGTTCATGAGATGTTCTCACTCTTACCCATTCCGACATTGCTGCCCACACACGACACTGAAAGACAAGTCATGCATTTTTATATTCATTTCAGTTATGTAATGCTTGATATTAATACAATTAAAAATGTCTGAATGTCCTTGCATTAGATATTTCTGTTTAATGATACACAATAGCAAATTAATTGACATTTATTTCAAAGAAAGACTCACACTTTGTGATTCACAATCACATTCATACACACTGTGGTTCCAGAACGTGTGTGGACTTTAAGGGAAAACTGACTTCATACATCCAATAAAAATCACCCTTTGGTTTAATGCAGATGGCAACTGGTTTGATATTTTGATAACACTTTATTTTACAGTGTACTTGTCAGACGTTACATGTCGTTACTGTAGTTTTAATAGTGAACTTTGCATAATTAAATGTAATTAAGACTAAATCAAACCCTTTAGTAAGTATGTTGTTATACTTAAATGTATATTTACATTGTAACACCTTAACATAAAAAGTGGGTTACACTTTATTTTAGGTTGTCATTGTTACAGTGTAATAATTATACATAAGTACTGACTAATATTAAGCAACTGCATATATGCTTACTATAGGGTTAGGATTTGGTTGAGGGTTAGTTATGTAATTATGCATCATTTAAGTAAATCCAACATTTAAAATAAAGTTTTACCAAAAAGTGTTACTGATATTTTATCTAATGCAATGAAAAAAAATATATATATATATATATACATATTTTAAGTGTGTCTAAATCATTTTTGGGGCACCTGTATTCAAGAACCTCGTTACCTGAATACACCCTGCTGTTGCAGAACGGGACCTTGGCTCCGTCTCGATCCAGCGGGGCGACGACCACTGAGTACACCTGCCCGCACACGATCTCCGACACATCACAGGTGCTGCTTCCGGCCGCCGGGCTGCACACGTGCGTGCTGTCGCTCCCCGTCACTTCCGCCGTGTAACTGGTGAGGGCGCTGCTCGACCTCCAGCGCACACGCAGCGTGTTGTTGGTTCCTCTGAAGAGACGGATGCCCGAGGGACAGCACTCACCTTGAGACAGACGAGACGTTAGATTCAACATGTGATATATTATTGCTGTAACTGTAACTTTTAAACACGTTACCCGGCATGAATGACTACAGCAATGACTAAATAGCTACTTGGCTATGGCTAACATTATTTTCCCCGCCTGTGGCCTAGAGGACGGCATCTGATTTGTTTGTTCTAAGACAAAATATTGTTGCTAGATTAATTTGTATTTAGAATAAGTGTAATAGTATATATGTGTATAATAAGTAAGTGTTAAAAGTTTTGTAGTAATTAAATATAGACCATTTCACAAGATGTAAACAACACTGGTCCAGAAGTACTTCCTGTTTCAGTTTGTAACTGTTGTCTTTATTTCACATGTAAAGAAAACATCTTAAAGATGTTTGTTTAACTTTTTGATTCAGTTTTAAATGTTCTGTTGGTTGTATTTTATCCCAGCTTTTATGTAGTGTTAAAAAACTGAAACAGGAAGTGCTTCTGGACCAGTGTTGTTTACATCTTGTGAAATGGTCTATAGTAAATACAAGTGTCCTTGACAGCTTCCCTGACTACTGTCTATTAACAAGAGAGAGAATCATTTCTGTGTAAGTTCTATTGGTTTTTCTATCTTTTTTTTTCCTTCTAAATATTGCTTTCTCTTGCCGTTACAGTAATTTGTATTTATGTACATAAAAATTAATTTGATGCTTATTGTGCTATATACATGCATATTGTATTGGGTTGTATACTTTACACAGACAAAAAAATAAATAAATATTTGACAGAATTCCTAAATCATCAGTAAGCTGATCTGTCTAGTTGGCGAGGTACAATAAATGTTTATATTGTTGCCAACAAATGGGACGCTACATTTTATTCACATTCAGTTGGATATTGACTAAATATCTCCTATACATTTTGGCTTTGATATGATTTCAAGTTATTGAGAAGAACACACTGGCAGAAAACCCATGATAGGTGCACTCCGCCTTGTGCCCGGTGCGACTGATCGCTTCCAGGGCGACGGTGTAGTTAGTGCCGCAGGTGATGCATCCCATCACGCATCCTGTTTCCATGGTGTGACACTGCGCATTGCCTCGTGGTGAAGACAGGGAGGCGATGAAGGTCTGCGCGCCGATAGCGTCCGACCAGGTCACGTTGGTCATGGCCTGAGTCACCTGGCTCACCGTGAGATTGTCTGGGCAACAAGGTGCTGGGAAAATAAATATAAGTTAAATTAAATTTGTAGACTTGTAGACTAAAAAGACGTGTGTTTCAGAACCCCAAAACAGCACTCTAGCTGAAATGGGGAAATGCTCTACATAGGCAAAAACTCACTCTCCTAAAATCTGATTTCAATAGTTTTCTGTTAGCATGTTGCTAAGCTAATTGGCCTTGGAAAGCTAACCTGTTTCCAGGGGAACGGTGTAGCTGGGCATGCTCTTTCCCGCTGAAGTTGACGCGGTAGCACTGACTTCATAGACGGAGCCGCAGGGCAAGGTGGGCACCTGACAGGAAGTGCCGTTTGAGTGACAGAAATGCATGTCGCCCACTGTGCCGATCACACTGACTGTGTAGTTGGCAGCTGTGTTAGCAGAAGTCCAGTTAACCAGCACACTAGACAAGTTACTCTGGCTCACACTGATGATCTCAGGCATGCATGGAGCTTTTTGGGAAAAAAGAGAAAGTGTGTGTTAAATATACATCTGTGGCACATATTCATGATGTAAATTCAAACTGAGTGTGTGAGTATACCTGTTTCGTGCGTTTGTGAACTGCAGGTGAGGTTACAGCCACTTATGTCGTTGCATGGGATGACAACTACGCTGTACCTGCTGTTGCAAGTGAGGTCAGAGAGGGCGCACCTGGGCGCTGTGTCGTTACACAGGACCGTTTCTGTTGCATCCACAGCACGAGTCTCATACAGATCCGCACCACGCACAGGAGACCACTGGATCATCAGCGTCTCCCAGGAAACTGCAGAAACCGCTGTGAGCTCTGGACAGCAAGGCACTGTGGAAAGTAAGTTAAGATGAAGCAGGTTAAAATGAATAAATGAAGGCAGTCATTGCAATTTAATGGAGAAAACCATGCAGTTTCAGGGTTACGGGCAAAATGTGGAGCAGATCTATATATTAAGTTGGTCACTGCAGGTCGGGACCAAAAGGATTAGGGATCAGGGGGTGGAGATTGGTAGGATTAGGGGTGGGGTTAGGGATCAGGGGGTGGAGATTGGTAGGATTAGTAATGGGGTTAGGGATCAAGGGGCAGAGATTGGTAGGATTAGGGGTGGGTTTAGGGATCAGGGGGTGGAGATGAATATGTTTAGGTATATGTAATTTCGTGGATTTTGTGTTCTGCAGAGAGGACCATCTCATTTAAACGGTAAGTCTGGAAATGATATATTGAAGGGTTTGTCATTATGTTTAAGTAGACTAAATACTTTAATTTACATTACAGCCATGACCATGGGTGCCTCTCTATACTCAAATTGGTGCTTCCTCATTTGCTCACTCCTCCGTCCTCCAGCCATCTCGAAGGGCATCTCAATTCTCTAATTGCACCCCAAGGAGGCGAGGAAGCTTCCTGAGGAGTCGTGAGTGTGGATACACAGATGTATCCTTCCCTCACATCCTAAGGGGGTGGAACAAAGACACGAGGAAAGGAAACGAGGATGCACAAATAAGAAATGAGAGGCACCCCATGATTTGCTACTTGCTATTGCTAGTAAGGGGCAGATCATTCTAGAGAGCATTTGATTGGACAAATTAGGCTGTGAGTACAACATGATGTCATCAATCTTTTGGGGTTTTTTTTCTAAGAAGAAAGATATGTTAATATCATATTTGTTAAAATGCTTTCTGCATTTAAAAACATGAAGCTCTCACAGGTTGTGTGGTTGACGAGAGGTCCCGGGGGACTGGGTCCTGCCTGGTTGTGTGCAAACACACTCATGATGTAGGAGTATCCACAACTGCAGTGAAACTGACAGCCAGGCTCAGTTGAGTTGCACGTCCCCTCGATGCCATCATCACTCTTAATAAAGGTAGTGTAGTACTCTGCATGAGGGACTGAGCTCCACTTCACAGAGCAGTTTCCAGCCACCACCTCCTCCACCCAGATAGGCTGTGGGGGACAAGGGACTGACGAACAACATGATAGACAATTAGAGATATTGCAAAGGGCAAGATTTTCATTGATAATGGCTTAAATTTGACTCAGCTGCTCACACAAAGTTAATAATTCTTCATAAGACTTGGAATATAGCACTTTGGACATAATGATTAAATGGCTGACTTGGTCATATGTTTACATGCTAATGTTTTTGAATGAGCTGTTTAGTTTAGTTTTAATAAACAGTCTGGGTGGACTGATGAGGGAGCTTTGTGTTGTCAACATTACAGTATATCTTAATAAAGGCATGTCCAATCCTGCTCCTGGAGAGTTTAGCCATTATAAAACACACCTGAACCAGCTAATCGTGATCTTAAGGATCACTGGAAACGTCAAGGCAGTTGTGTTAGAGTTAAACTCTGCTGGAAAGTGGCCCTGCAGCAAAAGGATCGGAAAACCCTGACAATATTAAGCACATAATACTGAGCAAGTCCTGTTATCCAAGCATGAATTGTTTTACTCACATGAAATAATCTGAACTGGGTAAGAGGGGGCACTGCTTCCACCCTTGTTGACAGCGATCACTGTGACAGAGTTGGTCTCTCCACAGCTCAAAGGAATCAGGGTGCAGGAGTTACTAGACGAGGAGCAGTTCTGGCCAGTCAAGCTTACGGCGACATACTGCTCTGCACCCTTGGCTGGGTCCCACGACACCACAATACCTGCTTCAGGGGTGCTTGTCACCACCAGAGCAACAGACTGAGGAGTGGGAGAACCTGCGGAGACACACAAAGTTTAATGTTCCATAACTACAGCAGTTAACTATTATCCTTAACTAATTTTTGGTAACACTTTATTTCGATAGTCCACTTCCAACCAACTATAAGTAACTTTGCTGCTACATTTCAGCTGAGGATTAGTAGACTGTCTGTTTAATATTTGCCCACACTTTATTTTGTTGGTCCCCCAAAAGACATTCTACTGACTATAAGTAACTTGGCAACTACAAGTCAACTGAGGGGGCTTTCACACTGGCAGTTTAGTTCGGAACGGGGCACAGTTTGCATGAAAAATCGCTAATGTGAACACCGTCACTGGACTCGTGTGCGCACTGGGGTACCAAACCCGAGACCACTGTACCTGGAGGAGGTGGTCTGAGTTCGGTTGCTCCCGAACCGTGAAATTTAACTTTATTCAGTTAAATAAAACACTTGTAAGGGATGAAAGTGTTGATGATTTATCCTGGATACGAGCGAGAGCGAGCCTGCAACGTATTCGTGCATTGCACGTGGAACCAGGGCACCGAATTTGGAAATCCACTGTCTCCTTAAAAGAGTGTGTTTGCAAGCAGCAGAAGCTACTTTATGTGACAGACGCAAAGTAAACCTGTATTGTTCACTCAACTGCACATAATAGCAGCGAATGAATAAAAAACAGAATATTGACCCGCGTTCTGTTTTCTATCATGCGGCGCGCAAGTTTGCGATGAAGTAATATGCACGCAAACGCACCAGGGTACGATAGAATCAAGTTGAGTGTGAAACCAGACCAACGCTGCGGGGTCGCCGAGAACAAACGCGCTCGGGCTTGGACCGCAACAAACGAGCCCAGTGTAAAAGTCCCCTTATTCTCCCAACCCGAACCTTAACACCTAACCATAACCTAACAGTCTATTGACAGTCTACTACAGCCTACTAATACTCTAATGAGAGTTAGTTGACATTTAGTTGAAAAGTTACTTATAGTTAGTAGAATGTCTAAAGTGGAGTGCGTCACCTTTAGAGAGCCTTGTATGAGTGAATCTCTTGTTTGTATGGGTTTTGTTTATATATTTCTGTACTTACCATTATTGTAATTGTTGTATGTTTTTTTCTTCTTGTGTATTTATTTTTTTGTTTTGTTTTTGTTGTTTTATTTGACAGCTGTTGTAAGACCAATTTTTGTATCTAGATTGGAGGACCCCCTCGAAAACGAGTTGGTTCATCTCTCAAAGGGTTATCGGAATAAAGTGTAACCGATTTGGTAATCAATGAACATTTCCAATCCTGCACAGTGTAGCTTCAACCCTATTAAACACAGCTGAATCAGCGTGATATAACAGGTCGGAGCTGAACTCTGCAGGACGTCGGTTCTCCATGAGTCCTGAAAAGCCGTGCCTAATATGATGTACTTGGTGTGCATTCATTGCTGGTTGCTCTGTTATTGATCCCTTTCTCTTCCTTAAGTGTGTTTTAGAGGTATGATATTTTTTTAAATTAAGTAATCTCTCTTTCCATTCCTATCCTCTTACGTGTGATCTGGCAAATTGTGAAGTCATCTCCGGGAATGTTCTCGGGACTCCAGGCGTTTCCCTTAATACAGTATAGGGTTCCTGCCTCCAGGTCTTGAAAGAGAACCTGAGTGTCTGTGGTGTTGATGCGACTTTGGCTGTATGAGCCGTCTTTGATGATGCTGAGGCTGTAGAGGACAGCATGGTTGACTGGCTCCCACTTCACCAGGATGCTGCTGTTACTGGGAGAGCTGGTGTTGAACTGAGGAGGAGGAAGGACTGGGGTCCAACAGAACGAGGAAGAGAGAGAAACAATAATGGTAAGAGATCAGACAGACAGCTGCATTGTGACCAAGAAGAAAGATTGAATCCCAAGCTAAGTGATCTTATTCTGAGGTATATGAAGCGGACATGAGAGACAACGGACAGGTGTCAGATGGTGTTTAGTAATCCGAGCAGTGTGTCCTTTCCTACTTGCCCTTTCTCTTCCCTTTCTTGTCTTGTCCTGTCCTGTCCCTTTCTGTTTCCTTCTGTAATTTTCCATTCCCTTACGATCTCTGGCATGTCCTGTCCCATTCCTTTCTGTTCCCTTCAGATCCCCTCTGTTCTCATCTATTACTTTCGGTCCTTCTGTTCCCTTCCCGTCCCGTCCTGCCCTTCCCCTGGCATATTCTGACTATCCCTCAACTGCTCCTTTCTAATCCCGTCCTTTCCTCCATTGTTTTCAATCAAAACTAGGCATGGGTTCTACTCTTACCACTTCCTGGTGTGTTCTAACTAAAACAGTTCTCACAATGCTTAGAAAACTTCCCATTGTGATCCTATGCATGACGCAATTCTGTGGATATTTGTAAGTGATATGATTTCTGTTCTGGGAATTAAGGTCTCTCCCATTATTATTTTCTTGTGGCCGTCTCAGGTGGAAAGCGTGCTACCTGAACAATGAAGCAAAACTGCTGAGGGCCCTTAGGTGAAGACATGAAATACATGTGCCCAGTCCCTTGAGGAGGGCAGCCCTTTTGTTATAGTTCAGCTTCTCATACTGATAGGGATACATGCGTGAGAAACCTGTTTGATTGAAAATGTGAACATAACCTATGCATAGTGCTAAAAATCAAGCCTGTGAGATCAGCTATGTAGCTTATCCTGATGTTCCCCCCCCCCCCCAGTGAGAGGATAAGGTTTCTGCACTGGGTGAGGGTTAGAGAATAGCCAACTCTGTCCCTTCATGAATGGATCATTTCTTTGGCCTCGAGGTCAAAGGCGGGTGGAGACAGAGGAGAAAAATATACCTGTCTTTGCCTCCATGGAGATGGATGGCTGGCTTCTGCCGGCACTGTTGACAGACATGGCACTGAGAGTGTAGTCTGTGTATGGCCGGAGGTTGGTGACAGTCCCCGGAGACGCGGGTACTGCGATCTCTGAGAAGAAAGACCCGTCGTTTGTCTCAGCGCGCAGGATGTAGGAAGTTGCACCGGAGACCTCAGTGAATTCCACAGTGATACTCTGGCTTTCTTTAGAGGAGGCCATCTCAATGCTGGGCACATCGGGAGCTAAACATAAGAAGAGAAATTGCACAGTCCCATTTACATTTAGCAGACGCTTTTATCCAAAGCGACTTGCAATTGTCAGAGGTCGCACGCCTCTGGAGCAACTAGGGGTTAAGAGTCTTGCTCAGGGTGTCTCACAGTGGATTCGAACCCGGATCTCTCACACCAAAGGCATGTGTCTTATCCACTGCGCCATTCATTTCACACATGCAATTAACAATGCTTTAAGTAGGAGCCAAAATGATTTAGAAATGTTAAGCAGTTTATTAATCAAAATATGGTTTTATGACCTGGAATTATGAGGGAATTTTCAGGCAAAGAAAAGTAGTTGAAATGTATTACAATTCTGACTGACATAACCAGTTTTCAGTATACGCACCAGTAGATCTATCCACACTAGCGTCTGCAAGCATGTTCATGAGGCTGCCCAGGGCCTCGACACGAAAGGTGTATGCAGTGTTGGGATTCAGGGAATTAACGGAGCCCATAACAGTGTTCTGTCCAAAGCTGGCAAAGACCACGGGGACCGGAGAGTTCCTGAGGGAAGCTGTTACTCTGTAGGACAATGCACCTTCATACCTGCTCCAGCGCAGCACCGCACTCTTCGATGTCACCGTAAAAACACTCACGCTCATTGTGCTGCCTGAAAATGAATACAAGACATTGAGGTATTCATCAATGATGTTGATTTAATACAAATGACAACCAAGAACAGTGTATTAATGAGTTTGAATTTAAACAGATACTGTAAATTGGATCCAGACGAGCAGTACCTGATGCCTGTAAATGAAACAATTCAAAATGACTTTTGTTAGATTTAAACATTCTTTTATCAGTAAACAGTTGCATTGACCCTATTATTAGATTTTGAATTCTAAGCGTTTTTCGTAACTGAAAAATTATTCAAATAAAAAGGTAAAATATGACTGTATGACAGAATCATGGAAAACATGTTTACACACACATATATATATAATTTATTTTATGAAGTAGTACTATTTACCTTATTTCTTCATCATTCTACACTACATCTTATGGAACTGTTCGTACATGAATAAAGGGTAAAACTAACTAAATAAATAAACAAAATGTGACTAATAACACTGTACCTGTGAGAATAATCCAAGCAAAAACACCAGTCCCGTGATTGCTCCAAGACCTGCCATCTGTTTTCTCTGTTTGAAATCCTGTTTGCTCTCTCTTTTTTTTAAATAGACTAAACTCTGCACTCTCTTCTGTTTCTTGGTTTTGGCTGAATATACATGCAACTTTTCTTGAAGGCATCTCAGATACTTTAACTTAGCTCCGCCTCCTCAGAAGAGCTGTCCAATAAGAGCTTGGGATGAGATTGAGCTAGCCAATCAGAAGTGGAGATGTGAAATGCATGCAAACAGGTGTAACAGAACACTGGGGGAAGAAGTCAATGCAGTCACTGCAAGTGCAGTTTATTCAAGTTTGTGCAGTTTAAAAATCATTCATTATAAAGTGTTTCATATGCTGTCCCTGCAATATATTCTTTCTTTTTTTTTCTTTTTTTTAAGTAAATAAAGAAAGGAGAATGAATTTTCTTTTTGTCATTTTGAGATGGTTAATTTTTTGGGCATTTAGTTTATATGTATAATTTTTTTTTTTTTTTTTGTATGGTTTAATTCATGGTTTAATTCTTTAACCCTGTATAGTGTGAAGACATGCCCCGTTAACAGTTTAACATGTTTATTTACGGTGTCCCACCATACATCATGTATTGGTGTAATTGCAACAATACATTTTTTACACAGATTGAGCGGTTATATAATATAGATTTTATTTTAACATTAAATTGAATTGCTTTTATTATATTGCAAAGAGAGTTTAATGTCTGTGGTGTCACAACAATGGATATCACCCCGTCAATAAAAAGGGGAGTTCTGTAAATTCTGGACAACTTTTTTTCTCTGTAAGGTTAGATAACTTGCAGATTTGACATTTTGATATATTTTCATAAAAAAAATCTTAATATTATTTCCAAAATGTCCCCTGATCTTGAATCTATCATGATTGCTGTCCTCTTTTTAGGAAAATCTTGGTGGACATAGCACGTGCTTATAAATATATAGACACTTTGAACATTTACTAATAGCGAACAATCATTCTGATTTATTCATCTTAGTTAATGTTAATTGCAGCATAATACTGTATTTCGTTTTAATTCAAAGTTGTAGGCCATTTGCAGGAATATGTACTATACCAACGCATTCTCATCCCAAAGCGCCATATAGGACGCTTTTGCAAAAGCGTAAATATCCAACGCACATGGCACCCTTTTAACGTCTAATGAGACGCTTCGGTTAATGGTTAAGTTTAGGTATGGTGTAGGGTAAGGGTTAGACCACTAGGGGGCGCCTTCTGCCCAAATATATATGCGTCTCATTTCACGTTAAAGGGTGCCATGTGCGTTGGATATTTACGCTTTTGCAAAAGCGTCCTATATGGCGCTTTGGGATGAGAACGGGCTCACTATACACACTTTGCAGGAATTCTGTTTTTGTCAAACAGCGCCCCCTAGAGTCGCGGTGGAGTACTTGTATTTAACGTTAATGTCGTAAATACCACTCCCGCAGAGCGTCTCTGCACTCACAGACTGATACCCATTTTGAAGCTGTTATATTAAGGTACATATCTTGCATAGTGTGCATTTCTTGCATTAAATAAGCGATCTAGCGTTAAAATGTGTGTTTGAACTCAAGCTGGGCGCTCGTGTCCGCTGCTATCAGTGTCATGGATTCATTGTGTCTCTTGCAGTCTTCACTCGGAGACTCTCTATTCATTCCAGTGAAATCACTAAATAAAATGCACACAAACGTGTCCCTGCTTGATATAGACTGTAACCACTGATGGACATATTCAGTTTTAATGAGAGAGAACCTGTAACGTCTGACACGCTTGGCAAAAGATCTCCCATTTAAGAGCTCAAACAAATCTTGCGGATCGATGCATTGATTTACAGGTTGAGCAAAGAGGCTCATTCTCTTCTCCTAGTCTCTTCTTGACCTCATTTTCTTTGCTTTTTACATCGTCGAGTAATGCGCGCAAGTGTCTCCGTGCCTCATGTGTTGTTGTTGATGTGTGTGACGTCGTTGCCGTAAAGCATGTCGTGATTCTCGCGAGATTTGTCTGGGGCGCTCCTCTCAAACTTGCATAACTGTTTTTTCCCATAGACAGTAAAAGAAATGGACACAGCCACCCCATTGATTTCAGCGGAGAAGACTGAAGCCCGATTATTGCACTTCCTGTCTGATGTTTGAGCGAATGCGCAGGCTCAATCTGAGCGTGACGACAGTCTGACAGTGGTTGATCTTCTAGTAGCTGTGCCAAGACAAATCTGAGTCACCTAATTCCTCAAAAAAACGTTGTTGAAATATTTTGTCCCGTTGCTTTAATGGACTCTCTATCTATGGGCTTCTCCCTTGACTTTATGCCTCCATGTCCCCCCGATTGCCTCATAGACAGTAAAAGATTGCCTGTGAGCTTCTCCTCGTGTCTATACGGTAATCTCTCTATTGTGCGACAGAGAGTCCCGTGGTTATGACGCAATCTTTAGCCTATTTTTACTAAAACGGCTTCTACGGGTCTGTGACGTAAGATAAGTAATGGAGCATTTTAACATTGTCGTGTTTCTTTAGAAATAAATAATGAAGTCTTTGGACGCCTCAGATGTAAAGTTATTCGCTGTCAAAGTGACGCCAAAATGAATGGGAGTCAATGGGATGCTAACAGCAGGTTATAGTCTTATCTGCTACAATGGCGGCTTCAGTTTCCGGCTGATGAATTTTCCAGTGGTGTCCGCCCTCAAGCTTTACTACCAGGATGATTTGCCCTATTATGAGTTTGTTTACAATTACCACTGAAATGACTTTGAAGCTGTTATTAAAGGGTTAGTTCACCCAAAAATGAAAATTAAGTCATTAATTACTCACCCCCATGCTGTACCAACCCCGTAAGACCTTCGTTCGTCTTCGGAACACAAATGAAGATATTTTTGATTAAATTTGAGAGCTGTATAACTACCACATTGGCTCCTAAGGGACTGCCTCTTGACGGCCCAAAAAGTCAATGAAGAAAATGTTTAAATATCCCAAGTGACTACCGTGGCTCAACTATATGTTTATCAAGCGACGCGAATACTTTTTGTGCGAAAAAACAAACAAAAATAACGAGTTTATTCGACTATTTTTTTCTTCCTTGTAGGCCAGAACGAGACTTCCTTATAGATTTCCACGACGCATGCGCGAGATTTGCGATCTGCGTACACAGCTTACACTACTTCAGATCGCAATTCTCGCGCATGCGTCGTGGAAATCTATAAGGAAGTCTCGTTCTGGCCTACAAGGAAGAAAAAAATAGTCGAATAAACTCGTTATTTTTGTTTGTTTTTTCGCACAAAAAGTATTCGCGTCGCTTGATAAACATATAGTTGAGCCACGGTAGTCACTTGGGATATTTAAACATTTTCTTCATTGACTTTTTGGGCCGTCAAGAGGCAGTCCCTTAGGAGCCAATGTGGTAGTTATACAGCTCTCAAATTTAATCAAAAATATCTTCATTTGTGTTCCGAAGACGAACGAAGGTCTTACGGGGTTGGTACAGCATGGGGGTGAGTAATTAATGACTTAATTTTCATTTTTGGGTGAACTAACCCTTTAAGGTACAATTCTTGCATAGTGTGCCTTTAACATGCACTCACTATAAACTAACTCATGACATGAACATAACAATATTTTGCTTTAAATTAAATTGCTCATTGATAGTTTGTGTTAGCTAATGCATAACTAATGTTAATAAATGAGACCTTATTGTAAAGTTTTGCCAGAACACATTCTGCCACTCGTTTGCCGCTTGATGAACGGAATCTTTGTTCACTGGGGATTAATGTTTTTTTTTTTTGGGTAAATCCGAGTTTTACACGTATTAATCTGCGCATAATATCCTCTACTTGTATCCAACGCTCGCACGCGCGCGCACTCACTCCTCCCAGATGACGGGAGCGCGCATTTGCTTTGACTCACTCAAGATGGCAACTGGAGCAGAATACGGCTTGAAAAAGATAGTTTGGCAAAGTAAGTTCATTGAGAGCAACAGTTGATTTTCTTCTCACGCCTCGCATGCACAGTGCTACACTTCATCATGTAACGTTATACGAGTTGAGCTCAGAGGAAGAGCTGTCAGAAGTTTGAAGAGACACAGTTAACTTAGTGTGCTGGGCTTGCCCAGAGGAGTTACAGCCGCCTCATGAAGTAATTTTGGGGTTTGTTTTTGGGTTAAATAAGAAAAAAAAGTGCGAAATGGGGCGTGTCCCGTTTGTTTGTAACGGTAAATGTCTTACATGTGTTACAGTGGGTCACCGTTTCCGTTAGCTTCTCTGCTAGTGTTAGCCTGTCCGGTTCAGCTCACTTTAAACTGCAGGGCTTGTGTTTGGTTTTAACGGAGAACGGGTTTATAACGTTAGTTGTGGCCTCTGTCTGTATGTTGTCATGACTTTGGATGACGCGGAGTGTTTGATGATGTCATGATGTAACTTCAGTTCTCGCGCCCTTGTGTTTGTGAACTTTATCAACGACTTCCGGTGTGCTGTGTTGTGACATTTAATGAAAGGAAAGCCATTTGTGTCCATAACATTTGATAGCCGTGACAAGCACAAAGTCATTTTACCATGTTAAATGTGTAGATTCGGATGTGTATGTAGGCTATGTGCAAGTATTTTAAAGGGGTAAATGCACTTTGACGTGTATAGCAGTAGTTTTGAACCAGGGCCCTTTAAAGAGACACAGTAGTCAAAATGTGGAGAAAAAACCATAACAGATCAAGATCTGCATGTAAATTGACACATTAATCAAATTCACCTTTCACTCATACACTTGTCTCACTGCAGTGCGGACTGACTTTTCACTACTTAAAAAAAAGTAAGATATTAATAAATCTAAACTTAAGAGAGGAAGTGGAATTGTGTGTGTGTGTGTGTGTTTTTAAAAGAAGCCCAAAGTTGGTAAAAACATATCTTGTACTTTTACTTTCATTTAACATAATCATACTTTAATTTTTTTATCTATATTTAAGACTACATGTCTTTGCCCTCAAGCAGAACAAAAAAATAACACTTCTTGGAATTTTTTTTCAGTTCCACAATGCATCATCAGCAAAACTGATTCACTGCTTTAACTAATAGATTGATTTATCTGACGTCACAGGAATCAAGGACACCATCATTGCCGACTGCAGAAAGTCAGAAGTATGGAAGGTCAGTTTGAATGCATTTATGATTGATTCCAGTAGTGAGTATCTTTCTATCTATCCGTCATCTATTTGTCTGTATAATTACAGATATACCATTTTATCTTAGTAATATATTAGTACCTTTTGAAAGTCACTGCTTTCAAAAAAATGTTAGTTTATGTTAACAAATGGAGCCTTCTTTTTATAATATGAGTAATATGAATTAACAGCACACACCTGTACATGTAACGTGTAAGAAGTATACTGTAAAACAAAGTGTTACTGCATTTAGTATAATTACTGAATGGTTGTTTTAATAAAGGGCACCTTGGTTTTAAAGTGGAATAAAAACCAGAATTGTTTAATTACGTGAAGGGATAGTCCACGCAAAAATGAAAAACTTGAATAATTTATAATGTTTCAAACCATGCAGAACACAAAAGAAGACATTTTGAAGGATGTTTGTAACTATATATTTTTGGTGCCCATTGACTTGGGGATGGGTGAATGTGAGGCAATATGTAAAGCGCTTTGGTGGCCATTAAGTCTGTGAAAGCACTATATAAATGCATTCCATTAACCATTCCAATGTATGGACAAAAACATATAATGGAAGTCGATGGGAACCGAAACTCTTTGCTTGGATTTTTCAAAATTTCTTCTTTTTAAAATAAAGAAAGTAAGTCATTAAAGCTACACTGTGTAACTCTTTTAGATTATTCTTAGCTAAAAACACTTACACTCTAAAAAATGCTGGGTTGTTTCAACCCAATTTTGGGTAAAATATGGACAAACCCAAATGTTGGGTTAAAAATGTAATTCAAAAAATTAACCCAATGGCTGGGTATGTCCATATTTTACCCAAAATTAGGTTGAAACAACCCAGCATTTTTTAGAGTGTAGTTCTTTCAAAAATATGTGTGCTCATTAATGTATGTTTACTTCGTTCAAGTAATAAAGTATTCCCATGAGTGTATAATATGCCATTGAAAATACATACGGGTAAGGGGTTATAATGTCAGTCGCCATGTTGCCCCTCCATCTTGAAAGTACATTAGCCAAAGAGGGACATACCCGTTAATTAAAGCTTCGCCTTTCGCGTTTGCGTTTCGGTTAACACTCATGGACGAGGTCGAACTGGAAGCCATGTTAATCTTGGACTACATTGGCCACCGTAGGAGTTAAAACGAAATCGGAATTGAGAGGAACAGAAACTAATATTCACTGGATGGTCATATATCTTTACACCGCTAGATGGGGGTAAAAATCACAAAGTGTAGCTTTAAAGTGTCTCTTTAAAGGAACGCGCCACCGTTTTTTGAATTAAGGGTTATTCACCGTCTCCGCTACATTTACGTTTTTGTCTCAGTGCATTGTCTTAGTCTGGCAGCGTCGCCGTTAGCTTAGCTTAGCATAATGAATGGGATCCTTTGTTGCCGTGTAGCATGTTAAAAAACGCCAATCTATCTCAATGTAGCGCAGACGTTGAATAACCCCTATTTTAAAAAACGGTGGCCTGTTCCTTTAACAGTTCCTGTTCTGCAGTTGTGATTGATGTCAAATCTGTCTCGCAGATCCTCATTCTGGACCAGTTTACCACCCGCCTCCTCTCCTCCTGCTGCAAAATGTCCGATCTCATGTCAGAGGGCATCACGAGTAAGTGAAGGGAAGGAGGTTTTGCTCCCGTTGTTCAGTTGAACATGCTTTATGTAGTGAGAGTCGGACGCTCTTCCTTCCTGTGTTTTCCAGAAGGGAAGCTTTCTCATTTCCTCTTGGATGGGGAATTATTGTCATAACGTGTTGCCTTTTGTTTGATCACAGTCGTGGAGGACATTTACAAAAACAGAGAACCGGTTCCAGAGATGAAGGCCGTCTACTTCATGACCCCCACTGCCAAGGTCAGAGTTCAGGCACACACACTATATGGTCAAATGTATTGGGACCCGTGATGATCATTAAACCCACAGGGACTGTAATGACGTCGCACACTAGGGTGTTTTCACATATGGTTTGTTTTAAAAGAACCAAACCCAGTTCACTTATACCCCCTTTCCACCAACAGTAACGAGGTGCTGGTTCAGAGCTAGAGCTAGTGCTGGTTCGGAGTCGGTTCGATTGACGAGCTTTCAAAGAGCCGGTTTGCCTTTCCACAGGCTAGAGAGCGTCACAGAGCTAGATCTTACGTCACTGTATCCACAAGTTTCCTACGCCCCATGAGGCCTTGGGTCAAAAGTGGGCGCGTCTTCCGGTTTCGAAGTAAACAAAGCACGACTTGACATACTTCACACTCGTTCATTCAACAGTTGACAGTCATTCAAGTTATAGCGATCCAAACTAGCTAACGATGTGGGAACACAACCTCAACGAAATTCAAAAGGGTGAAATAACAGTACCTTTACCTCCGCAGTAGCTGATTGGGATTATTATAATAACATTATTAATAATCAATACTCATCAAGGCATGGTGACAGACAGTTGTGCGAGCTGACAAACAATTAAAATAAAAAATACACACTTAGTCATTGTGCTTTGGAGTTTATTCAAAATTATAAATGAATGTGCTGCTTGAATACATTAACTGGCACATTTGGTATTCTGTCAACACAGGCTTTGATCCTGAGTTTAGCTGTAACATCAGTAGCGAACAGCCAATCACATGCTGAGAGAGTTTATAGAATATTAAGAATTTAAACAAATGTACACAGGAAGATTCGTCGTCTTTTGGGAGGTGATGGAAACTAACGTTACAGTCGTTGGCAGGATCACTCTGATTTCGTTTTCAGCTTATGTTCAAAACGATCACGTTTAAGCCACTGAATTAGTTTAGTCCGGCTATACATACAAGCGCGAACAGCACATGTTGTCCCTGAGCTCCGTAACGACATCTCTCATAAAGATTTGCGTCTTTAAATAGTAAAATAATTCTCCGAAAAACAGCTAGCCTCTTCGCTAACTAACACACAAAATACCATTGGAATGCTACTTCCGCCGCGTCACCCGAAGTTTCACCCACTTTATTTTTTACAGGAGCGCCCCTCGGAAACTTGTGGATACATCTCATGTTGCCCAGCAACGCTAGCTCGGCACACACAAGCACACCAGGCTTGTTCGAGATGGTTCGGCACTGTGAATCTCGAACTGCGAGAGCGAATCGGAAAAACATTAGAAAAAGATTCGATTCAAAAGCAGGAGCCGTAAACTCTCCAAACGGGCGTGCTGGATTCGCCATCCTTTATTTTAGTTGACTCTCCACTTCGACACATTTTGTCATGATATGCAAAATAGACCGGGACCTCATTGCTTTGACATTTCTTCACAAAATCTAATAAAAATCAAACCATAAACGGACCCTCAAACGAAGGTGGTCTGAGTGTGGTTCACTTTTGGGTCCTTTCAAGGGGGTCTGAGATCACTGGTTTGTTCAGATAATCACACTAAATCACTCTGACAGCGTTTAGAGGGCTCAAACTAATTAGGAGTGAAAACATGCTTAAATAAATACACATTAATATGAAGTTGGTCCCCCTTCACACACAGCTTCCACTCTTCTGCTTTTGAGTTTTTCTGTGGGTATTTTTGCCCATTTATCCAGTAGCACATCTGTGAGGTCAGGCACTGGTGTTGGACCAGAAGCCCCGGATCACAATCTCCAGCCACTTTATCCCAAAGGTGTAGATGAGGTCAGGACTATGTGTTCCTCCACACCAAACTCATCCAAGCATGTCTTCATGGCCTTGTTTTGTACAGTCATGCTGGAATAGAAAAGGCCTTCCCCAAACCGTTCCCACAAAGTTGGAAGCACAGCATCATCCTAAATGTATTGGTATGCTGAAGCATTACGACTTCCCTTCGCTGGACGTAAGGGGTCAAGCCCGACCCCTGAGAAACAACCCCGCACCAGCATCCCCCCTCCACCAAACTGCAGTATAGTCAGGCCGAACCCAGACTCCTCCATCAGACTGGCGAACACAGAAGTGTCATGTGTCAGGACACAGGGCATGTTTCCACTGCTCGCTTGGTAGTGTGATTTACGCCACTTTATCCGACGCTTGGCATTGTAGTTGGCGATGTGAGGCTCGGCCATGGAAACCCATTGGGTGAAGCTCCCGCCGCACAGTTTCTGAGCAGATATTCCTGCCAGTGGAAGATTCCCTCCTTAGCTATGAGATCGGCAGAGATTTGGTGACTTTAACGCATGCGCCTCGGTAGGTGACCTTTTGTGTCTGAAAGGAGTAGTTCACTTTTCAAAAAACTTTTGCTGATAATTTACTCACCCCCATGTCATCCAAGATGTCCATGTCTTTCTTTCTTCAGTGGAAAAGAAATTAAGGTTTTTAATGAAAACGTTCCAGGATTTTTCTCCATATAATGGACTTCAATGGGGACCAAACGGTTCAAGGTCCAAAAGAAACTTTCAGTACAAACTGCAAACTTGTTCAAAGGGCTTTAAACGATTCCAGACGATGAATAAGGGTCTTTTCAAGCGAAACGATCGCTCATTTTTTTTTTTTTAAATAACAAAGTTTAAGTTTTATGAGCTCACCTTGCTCTGTTCTGTGATGAGCGTTCGTGACTCTCCTGTTCAAACTCGTTCAACAAAATGAACAAATCTTTTTCCGAATCAAATTGTTCGTTTCTTTCGCCGAATGAACCAAATGACTCGGAAAAAGATTTGTTCGTTTTGATGAACGAGTTCAAACAGGAGTGCGTTACAGAACAGAGCAAGGCGACCATTTGAGCTTATTAAACTTAAACTTTGTTATTTATTTATTAAATGAGCGATCGTTTCGCTTGATAAGACCCTTATTCATCGCCTGGAATCGTTTAAAGCCCTTTGAACAGTTTGCACTGAAACTGTCTTTCGGACCTTGAACCGTTTGGAACGACCCATTTTTTCACAAATGTTTGTAAGTGCAGACTGCATGGCTTGATTTGTCCCAATACTTTTGTCCATATAGTGTACATAATAAGCCTTACTTTATTGTGATGATCTGTTTGTGACCTGGATGTTTTATATTTACAGTGTGTTGATGCATTTATCAAAGACTTCAATCCCAAACCCAAATACAGAGCTGCATATGTCTTCTTCACTGACTGTGAGTTCACTGCTTCAACTAGATTGTGTGTTGTTTTTAGCAGCAGTGACATTTTTCTTACTGTTATGTTGAAATGACCCCAGACTGTCCTGATGAGCTCTTCGACAAGATGAAGAAGAACTGTGCCAAACACATTAAAGTGTGTAAAGAGATCAACATCTCGTTTCTGCCACTGGAAGCACAAGTGAGTTCATCTGTGTTCTTCAAACTCATGTAGGCTGGTCTGGCAGAGTGTTTTATTGCGCATGACTGTGTTTTATGGGTCACCTGTGCAGGTGTTCACCTGTGACAGCCCAGAGGCCTTCAAGAGCGTCTACGGTCCGAACAGTCAGGACCGAGATCAGACGCTGGAGAGGATCGCTGATCAGATCGTAACTCTCTGCGCCGCGCTGGACGAGTACCCTGGAGTCAGATACAAGAAGTACACACACTCTTATTCACTTCACATGTGCTCGCAGTACACCTGATGCTTGAAGGGACTTCGTATGATTGAATTCTGTCATCTGCAGAGATTCAGCGCTCGTATATGGAAAGCAGTTGGCTGCACTTGTGGATAATAAACTGGCACGACATTACGAGTTGGATGACAACTCGAAAGTAAAGGTGAGAGTGTTTACAACATATTGGTTGGATACAAAGCTTTATACATAAAAAAATGTTTTCTTGAGATGCAGAATACTCTTTAAAAGTTAAGGGTAATGTATTTATGTGTAAATTAATAATTTTTTTTTTTAGCAATGATGCATTAAATTGATCAAAAGTGACCGTTAATATTGTAGCGATGATATCATTTCTATCGTTTTTGATTTAGGGGTATGTAAATAAAAATATCTGCATAGCGCAGAACTACTTAAAGAATTAGTTCACTTTTAAAAACACTTTTGCTGATAATTTACTCACCCCCATGTCATCCAAAAGATGTCCATGTCTTTCTTTCTTCAGTGGAAAAGAAATTAAGGTTTTTGATGAAAACATTCCAGGATTTTCTCCATATAATGGACTTCAATGGGAACCAAACGGTTCAAGGTCAAAAAGACAGTTTCAGTGCAAACTGTTCAAAGGGCTTTAAACGACACCAGACGATGAATAAGGGTCTTATCAAGCGAAACGATCACTCATTTAATAAATAAATAACAAAGTTTATGTTTTATAAGCTCAAATGCTCGCCTTGCTCTGTTCTGTGATGCGCGTTCGTGACTCTCCTGTTCGAACAAATCTTTTTTCGAGTCATTTTATTCATTGAATTACACGTCATCCAGCATTTTATATCTTTGAAAGGAGTAGTTCACTTTTAAAAAAACTTTGCTGATAATTTCCTCACCCCCATGTCATCCAAGATGAGAAGAAAAAAGATTCATTCATTTGATGAACGAGTTCGAACAGGAGAGTCTCGAACGCGCATCACAGAACAGAGCAAGGCGAGCATTTGAGCTTATAAAACTTAAACTTTGTTATTCATTATTAAATGAGTGATCGTTTCGCTTGATAAGACCCTTATTCATCGTCTGGAATCGCTTAAAGCCCTTTGAACAGTTTGCACTGAAACTGTCTTTTGGACCTTGAACCGTTTGGTTCCCATTGAAGTCCATTATATGGAGAAAAATCCTGGAATGTTTTCATCAAAAACCTTAATTTCTTTTCGACTGAAGAAAGAAAGACATGGACATCTTGGATGACATGGGGGTGAGGAAATTATCAGCAAAAGTTTTTTTTAAAGTGAACTACTCCTTTAAAGTTATTGACATGCATGAATGAGGAACAGAACGTGCATGATTTTGAGAGTTATTAAGTGCAATAAACTGTGAATTTTTCTGCTGCCTAATGAACCTAAATAGACAAATACATAAACAATTGTCAAACCGCCCACCGTGTGGAGGATACACCGAAACAGCCGGTGGTGTCTGAAGTGAAACCTGATGTGTATCAGCGTATTAGTTCTGCGCATTCGGCCGTAAAGAGACAGCAGCCTAATAATCCTGTGCTCGTTTTAATATTAATATTAATCAAACTACAACAGACTTTTGTGTCTTTAATAAGAATCAATTTATATTACAGTGAAGACTAAGCTGTGTCTTATTTTTATGTTTGATTTATTCAATTTCTGCAGGATTTCGTACTATTAAATAAATGTTTTCCAGGTAAAAACTGTTAACTATTTTTTCTTAACTTTAATAACCAAAATAGCTAAATTGTGATTTATCGTGAAATATAAATTCTCATGTTACAAAAGTTTCTCATTTCAAATAAATGCTGCTCTCTTGAACTTTCTGTTCATCGCAGAATCTTGAAGAAATGGTTTCCACCAAAATATTAAGCAGCACAACTGTTTTCAACATTGATGATGATGATGATGATGATAATAAGAAGAAATATTTCTTAAACAGCAAATCAGCATATTAGAACTGTAGTGTATTTCAGTCTTTTCACAAAATATGTATTTTCTTTATAATTATTTGCTCAGAAATGTGTTTATAACAATGGCTGGTTAAAAGGAAAGTCTTTCTAAGTAAATCCGAAATGTTTACAGCAAGAAGTAAATTAATGTATAATACATGATAATAAAATAATGGCTTGTTCAGTGCCACATTCAGACTTTAAATGAGAAATTTTGTAGGAAAAGCCCTTGTGGGATTGGTGAATAAGGTCATTTCCTCATTCCTCCCTGAGGCTTGTTTCTGGTCTTGGATTTTATTCTGATGTCATCTTGTAAGTGACACAAACCATTAAAACTTTTCTTTCATATTCAGGCAAAAACGCCGGCTCAGCTTCTGATCGTTGATCGTGCGCTGGACCCCGTCAGCCCCATTCTTCACGAGCTCACCTACCAGGCCATGGCTTATGACCTCATACCTATGAAGGACAACACCTATGAGTACGTCACCTCGAGCTTGAAATTATTACTGTAATCATTCGGAGGATCAGTGTGTGAAATCAGACGTTACCTTAAACACACCCCTGTTCTTATTATGGTTCTGCTGTGCGTTTACTCTTAGGTATAAAACAAAGGATGGCTCCAAGAAAGAAGCTTTGCTGAATGAAGAGGATGAATTATGGGTCAAATTACGTCACATGCACATTGCGGAGGTCACTGGGTGAGTAGAAATACTCCAGTTCAAATGAACCAGCTATTATTTAACTTTACTGTGTGTGTCAATACTTCTCTTGATTTAATAAAATACTGTTTCAAATTAAAATTTGTTCATGTTTTTGAAATATGTCTGCATTTAGTTCATTAAAATACAGTAAAAACAGAAATATTGTGAAATATTATTACAAATTGAAATAGCAGTTTTCTATGTGAACATATTGTGAAATGTAATTTATTGCTGTGATGTTAACCCTCGATCGGGTCATGGGGTCTATAGGACCCCAATCGACTTTTACTTAATAAAAAAAAGATTCCCTTCATCTCAGTGGAATAAGATTTTGTGACTTTTCATACATTATCTATACACACACACACAACTGGGCTTGATTCGGTTGTTCTGAAGGTATGTTCGGTTGTTCTGTAAGAAAAATGTTTACACTTCTGGTCTTCGGGGTTAATATGACCCCACATTGAAATGAATGAGAAATGTGAAAAAAAAACTAAATATATTTTCTTCATATGTCAAAAAAAAAAAAAAAAAAAAAAAAAAAAAATCGGTATAAATCTGAACATTTTTACACGGAAATGAAGGCCTAGTACTAGAGCATAAATGCACTGAATCATAAAAAAATAATATTTCATATGCAAGCTAATGGTGTAGTTGAGGAATTGTGTGGTATATGGATACCAAAGTACTTTATATCTCCAAAAACACAGCATTAATGAACAGATGAAACAAAGTAAACAAAAAAAATATGATGTATTATTTGTATGATTAAAAATGTATATTTTTTGTACAATTACTCATTTAATTGTTGGGGTCGTATAGACCATGAAGCCCAGAAGTGTAAACAAGACCATTTGAAGCTTAACCCTTGTGCTGCATTAGATTTTTAACACCGTTGAGTGCATTAAGGACCAAAAATGGCCACATATTAAACATTGCCTAAAATATTATATATTATTATTATTTTCCACTTTTACCAAGTTAAATATTTTAACCAGCATCAGTCCTCATCATAACTACCAAAAATGTATTCAATTTCAGGATTTTAACCCTTTAATTACCAGTTTTGTTTGCGAAACCATCGATTTGTATAAGAGGAAAAAACACAAAAATTCAATTATTTTCAATAAACTAAATGCAAAGAGAAAACTTTAGATTTGGATTATCACAGTCCCACTTTGCAAAAAATCCCACTTAGCGCGTTAGAGACCAAAAATGGCCACCTATTAAACATTGCCTATTGCCTAAAATAAGGTGCATTTGCACCCATAGGGAATAAATATGTAGTGACGTCATCACTATATAATGCTAATATAATGCTTTTGCTTCAAAATGAAAGGATGTTTGTGCAAAAATCATGTTTCATGTATTATTGACAGCCTCAGATTTAAACAACGTTTTAATGGGTTTCAATGGGCCATTTTTGGTCTTTATGGTGCTGAGTGTTACTATTTGATCTACACAGTGTGTGTTATACATATTTTGCAAAATGGGATCACATTTTTTACATGTATCCAAAAAGTCACAATTTTGCCAAATTTCATACCATTTGCATTAAAACAGCCAAAATGGTCAAAGAAATTAAACTGCAAAAGACCAAAAATGTGCCTAATGCAGCATAAGGGTTAAAGCTGTATTTTCAGCATCCTTACTCCAGTCTTCAGTGTCACATGACCTTTTAGAAATCATCAGATGTGATGATTTGATGTTTTTTTCAGCATTCTTTTATGAATAGAAAGTTCAAAAGAACAGTGTTTATTTTAAATTGAAATCTTATAACAAAGTCGTGTATTTTTATACATTTCTCTCAACTCCGTCCTCCTTGGAGCTTGTTGCAGTGCATTATGGGATTGCTTGACACATGCAGTGTAGCCCTGTTATATGTCAAATTATCATAGCAGTGTAAGCCGCTCTCGTGTGTTTGTTCCAAAGGCAAATCCCCAAACTGGTGAAGGACATCTCTGCCGGCAGAAATGAGAAGCAGTCGGCTGATGGGAAGGTACGGTATGTTTTTACAGAACAATAACAGCAGTGTCCAGTTACTGATTCCCTCATACGAGTGTGTCATTGGCAGATCACAATCGGAGCGCTCTCGCAGCTCATGAAGAAGATGCCAGCCTTTCGTAAGCAGGTTACTCAGGTAATCGAGATGCCTGGAAGAGTGTGCGGTCACATGACACCTGCGATCTATACATTCAGCAGGCTGCCTAAAATACTGTACAAACCCACTTGACGTTTTATGTTTCCCGTCTCTTTCAGAAAACCGTCCACGTGAGTTTAGCCGAGGATCTGATGAGCCATTATCAGAAATATGTGGAAAAACTCTGCAAAGCTGAACAGGTAGAGCATGGTGATCGCTTGAGGGAAAGGACGCCCTCTTCTGGGCCGAGTGTGTATGTTCAGGCCTCTGGTTTGTGTGTAGGATCTGGCTGTAGGTGCAGATGCTGAAGGGCAGAAGGTCAAGGACCCCATGAGGACGTTACTTCCTGTGCTGTTGAACCAGTATGACACCACTGACAAGATCCGGGCCGTCCTTCTCTACATCTTCAGTCTCAACGGTGGATCTTTCTGTTTTCATGTCATGTAGGGCCAGTTGTTCAAAACATTTAATCTGGTTTAGAAATCCCATTTTTTCCTATCCAGGATCAGGTAATCCGTCTTACTTTTATGCAACATTGATCCAGATACACAGTTTTCAAGATTACCAGTGCTCTAAATGGGACAACATATCACAGCTATGTAAAGAACAGGGAGAAGAGCCAACATGGGGTCACTGTAAGTGTTTCTTATTTTGAGATAAAAATACAAATGGGGATGATAATTTTTACTATACTGAATAGCTTTATTGTTAGCCTATGTCTACTTTATCACTGTTACACAAGTCAAGTGCAAAATAGAAATAAAAGTATATACACTAAATGATACTAATGTATTATTTGAGCAATTTTAAAGTTTTACTACATTTTCTTCCTGAAATCCACCTTGAAATCAGACCCCGTTGGGATCAGGATAATCCTGTTTTTTTGGATCAAAGTTATCCAAATCCCACTGACAAGTTTTGAACAACACAAACTGAAGGTTTGATCCAGATTAAAACTAGGATTGGATTCCCAAGGATCTTCTTTCCCTTTTGAACAACCCGTTTTCAAGATTTGATCCGATCCGACAATCATCTTACCTTTGAACAACTGGCCCGTAGAGATTAGGAAACGGCTGATGTGTTTTCGTGCTTGATGTGTGTGTTTGTGTGTCATGGACAGGTACGACAGAGGAGAACCTGAATAAACTGATCCAGAATGTGAAAATCGAGCATGAAACCGGGTATATCCTTAACTGGAAACATCTGGGGGTCCCCATTGTCTCCACAGTGAGTCCGCGGATGCTTTTTTCTCCAACTGCCGTCATATAACTTCCTCATACTAATGACTTATTTGGTTGTGATATGTCTTGAAGCTTGGAGCATATTGAGGAATATGGAAGTGAGAGTATACTGTGTGGTTTTACAATGCCAGTCTTTCAGTATCAATAGCCATGAGCCATTTCCCATACTGAAATGTTATTAGGATTGATAAACTGTAATATGCTATTGAATGAACTTGGTAGTGAAGTACTGGTGTCTGGTGTGGGACGGACAAGTTTTTTATTTAGTTTTTCACCTTCATCTCTCTTCATAACAGTCGAGCATGTTCTCATCTCGTAAACAAGCACGGAGAGACCGCTCGGACCAGGAGACTTACAACGTGTCTCGCTGGACACCCGTCATCAAAGATGTTATGGAGGTGAGTTGCTCTAACACTGTCCTGACGTGATAAAATGCATCTTCTCCATGTTAATCAAAGTTTTTTATTCTTATACTGTAGGGCTGGGCAAAAAAATCGATTTTTCGATTAATCGTTTTTTAAAATGTGTTCGATTCAAAATCGATTCTCAACGGCCACGAATCGATTTTTTCCATATAAAGGGCTCATATTTTTTCACAAAAAAGGCCTCACAAACAGCTCGCCAGAAACAAAAGTTTTATCCCTGGATTATATCACTTTAACAGTTAAAACACGCCACATTATGTCAAAACTCTGGTCTTGGTGAGTAACCTCGTAAAGACAGTCGGTAATGTCTTAAATTAGCATTAAACATGTGTGACAGAAAGTTAATGAAACAGTAATGGATTCGCGCACTAGTTCTTAAAGTGAACGCAGCCATTTGTGTCAGTCATTAATTCTGTTGTCATAACAACAGAATATAGTATTAATTGTAAGCAATCAGAATTAATAGCCTTTGTATGGACTAAAAAGACTATCCAGTGTTATTTTACATTGGATTACTTTATTCAGTTTCTGTAGTATTTCTGACATACCCAAAAAACTACCCCAAAATGTCTCTTAATTTGTGTCTTTATTCTATTGTATTTATTTGTGCTACTTTTTTCAATTTAATTCAAAGATTGAAATCAAGCTTCCATTCATAAACTCTTAAAACAAAAATAAACAAAAAATGACATTACCATTTAGGTAAGATCAATGTAAAAAAATGTCTAAATATTTATATATTTATTTATCTATATCTATCTTAAACATAAAATAACATGATACTGTTTGATCAAGCTGTGCGACTGTTCTGACTTTTTTTTGCATATTGCATCAAAATCCTGTTTATTCTTTGTATGCATTTAGTGTACCTAAAATAAAAAGAGTTTTATATACAGGTTTATGGCTCTTAATTTCTTTGTATTAATTAAGCACTAGTAAACTTATGTCCACTGTTCTTTTTTATAAATATAGGATTTGTATTACATCTTCATTATAGTCGAATCGAGAATCAAATCAGGAATCGAGAATCGAAATCGAAAATTGAATCGAGAATCGAAATCGAATCGAACTGAGAGCTTGTGAATCGAAATCGAATCGAAATTGAAATGTGAATCGATACCCAGCCCTACTATACTGCACATTTTAGAGTGGTCTTTTATTGTGGACAGCCTAAGGCACACCTGTGCAATAATCACACGCGCTCTAATCCGCAATGATTTCAGCAAAGAAGTGCTCACTAACACAGATTTAGACAGATTTGTGAACAATATTTGAGAGAAATAGGCCTTTTGTGTACACAGAACAGAGTTGAATGTGTGCAAAAACAAAAGTGTTGCGTTTATAATTTTGTTCAGTGTAAATCGTACCTCGGTTCACATGATAAAATTTTGGCTTGTAGCCCAGAAAATATGGTATATCAAATTATTTCTCGGATGAGTTACCCCACTTGGATTAATATATGTGTATTACAGATTAATACAATATATTGTTCATTGAACCTGAACTAACAATGAGCAGTTTGCTGACTAACATTCGCTGATGGGACCTTATTGTACATCGTTGTCTTGTTTGTGTGATGAGTTGGAAATTACACAGATGTGATGTAACCGTAATGTACAAACATGCAAGAACAGCACTGATATTCATCATCCCAAAAGGGTAAGTGAGTGTCCCGAAGCGCAGGCCATCCTTATTCTCCATCCCTGATATATGAGCTTACACTTGTATTGTGTATAATGTAAGACCAATGCACATGTGTTCATGGCTAAGGGCACTGACATTATATCCTAGGCTTTGACTGTCATGCTTCCAGAAATCACAGTCTGATTTCCTTGTCATCTATATTAGTACTTTAACACTGGTGAAAACCGTGTGATTTCTAGTTGATTACAGTGAAATAAACACTGAATTGCACAAGTTGTCACTGTGTTATGCATTAGCATTAGCGCCCGTCAGGCTATGCTAGGCCGTCAGTGGTGTCCTACTAAAACGAATCCACCTCTTAATCATGATTCATGACCCCACGGCGATAGAAACCATCATTATACAGGAAGAAGTATAAACACGGCTTTGCATCACACACGGTATCTCAGGCAGCAAGAATGAATGCCATTATTGAAGCAAGAAACCCAATTAACACTTTCACTGCGCCACATACATCCTCTCTAGCAGAAGCATCAATATTAACCTTATTAAATGACAAAAATACACTCCAGGTTTTTTGTAGAGTTCTCCGACCACAGAAACCCCAGAGAATACGGTTTTCCTGTGGATCCACCACTGTGCATTAGAAAGAAGAGCTAATAAAGACTACTGTGTTATATTTTGGTTTTGTCAACGGTGCGTGTGTGTGTGTGTGTGTGTGTGGTAGGATGCAGTGGAGAACAAACTGGAGGTTAAAGACTGGCCGTTTCAGTCTGAGTGCCCGTCTGCGTGGAACGGCTCGCGTGCCGTAAGGTAGAGCCACACACTGATTCACTGTTCCTTCCGGTCTTAAAGGGATAGTTCACTTTGAAATTAATTTTTGGTATGTTTTATCTTACCTCAAGGGCATCCAAGATGTAGGTGTCTTTGTTTCCACAGTAGTTTCAATTTTTATATTTTTCGGTCAAACCGTTGTTATCTGTCAGTCATATAATGGAGGTCTATGGTCACCACCTCAAAGAGCAGCACAGAGAAGTCCAAATTAAACATGATTTAATGACTCGTAAATGTAAGTACACATTGATGGCCTAAGACACGAAACGAGCGGTTTGTGTGAGAAAACGAACAGTATTTATATAGTTTTTACCTTGTAACCACAGCCACGTCCAAGTGATCTGAAGGCATGGGCGCTTTGGTCTGCGCAAACGGCGGAAGTGATCTCTCGCGCGGTTGCAAAAAAAAAAATCAACGTTGTCGTTTGATATATCGAAATCGTCTTCCATTGCGATTTCCTGTTTATCTAAATATGTTTAGATCTTCTCAGTGAAGGGTAACACTTTTGAAATCTGAGTGACGTGTACGCGCGAGAGATCACTTCCGACGCATGCGCAGACCAAAGCGCCCGCGGCCTTAGATCACTTGGACGTGGCTGTGAATACAAGAGGTAAAAACTACATAATTACTGTTTGTTTTCTCACACAAACCGCTCGTTTCGTGTCTTAGGCCATCAATGTGTACTTACGTTCACGAGTCATTAAATCATGTTTAATTTGGACTTCTCTGTGCTGCTCTTTGAGGTGGTGACCATAGACCTCCATTATATGACTGATAGACAAGAACGGTTTGAGCTAAAAATATCAAAATTGAAACTACTGTGAAAACAAAGACACCTACATCTCGGATGCCCTTGAGGTAAGATAAAACATATCAAAAATTAATTTCAAACTGAACTATCCCTTTAATGACTGTATCATTTACTTTAAGATACACACTTAAGCTCGGTTCAGACTACAGGAGTTTATAAATCCAAATTGATTGTGAAATCTGGTTGCATCACACACATCAGGAGAAACTTCAGGCATTTTCTTCTTTCAAATCTCAAACCTGCACACACCATAAAAGTCATGGCGCATCACACACTACAATATATTGATTGTACATTTACATTTATTCATTTAGCTGACGCTTTTATCCAAAGCGACTTACAATTGCTATATATGTCAGAGGTCGCACGCCTCTGGAGCAACTAGGGGTTAAGTGTCTTGCTCAGGGACACATTGGTGTCTCACAGTGGATTCGAACCCGGGACTCTCACACCATTATCATTGCAAATTTAGCATCTCACGTGGAAGCGGATGTAAACATAGTGTATGCTGTCTGTCATCAACTTATAAACACAGTCATACTATCGCCACATTTCGAGCAGCCGCTCCTCCGCCTCGCTGGGTTTACCGCCATTTCAAGTTCTGTCACTTCCGTCTCCTTGTAGACTTGTCTCTCATTGGCTGACGCAATCATAGATTTAAATCCTAAATATCAAACATGTTTGATATTGTCAGGGTGTCCGCGAGCAGATCAGGAGATTCAAGATTTGATCTGTAAACGCCTCCCTTTACCAGATAATCTGGGCTAGACACGTTCTCCTCCGAATGCTGGAAAGGGTAAATCGGGCTCTAAAACTCCTGTAGTCTGAGCCTGGCTTTAAAGCCATATTCTAGGTTCAGTATCTTGGCATATTTTAACTCTCCAGTCGTAGTCAATGTGTGTTTCTCGTTCCTCTGGGCTTTCAGAGTGGTGAGGTAAGGCAAGGGTCAGCTTCGGGTGGTTTGCTGCTTGCTCTGTGTTCACATAATTACACATTTCAATCATTTAGGTTCATTTTGTTGCCTGGTTTCATGTTTATTTCTTTATTTTAAATAACATGGACATCCTACAATGAAATCTCTTCTCATTTCCTGCTGGTGATGTAATTGCATGATGTCAGATCATACACTACTGTTCAAATCTTTGGGGTCGGTAAGATTTCTTTTTGTTTTAAAGAAATGAACACTTTTATTCAGCCAGGATGCAGTGTTGGAGAAGCTCTGAAACTAAAGTTAAAGGAGTTAAGATACAGTCACTGGAAAAGTCGTTTGCTACACTACAAATTGTGGCCAAGAAGTAGCTAGTTACATTGAAGCTAACATTCCTGAAAAGATTTGGGGTTTAAAACATTGAAATGCAATACGATTCTGATTCAAAGAGTATTGTTTTATTTTGTAAACTAATCCAAAGATACACACAAGACTCAAATACAGCCTATATCTCACACTGACTGTCAACGTGCAAAACAATCAAAGCAAGAACAAAATATATGCAACTGAAATTGGATACACAGGAGTTGTTGTGATGAAGCGCTCTGAGACGCTTCGTTCCCAAACCGACACGAGCCTTTGTCTTGTGATAATGCGATAATATCACCATTTTGTTTTCTTTCCGATTCACAGATGCTTTACCAAAGCAGCGGCTCAAAACACAACGCTAGTGATCTCTAGGTTCATTATAAAACTGTCCTGGGAAAGTTAAAGGAGTAGTTCACTTTCAAAACAACTTTTGCTGATAATTTCCTCACCCCCATGTCATCCAAGATGTCCATGTCTTTCTTTCTTCAGTCGAAAAGAAATTAAGTTTTTTTGATGAAAACATCCCAGGATTTTCTCCGTATGATGGACTTCAATGGGGACCAAACGGTTCAAGGTCAAAAAGACAGTTTCTGTTCAAAGGGCTTTTAACGATTCCAGGCGATGAATAAGGGTCTTATCAAGCAAAACGTTCGCTCGTTTAATAAATAAATAACAAAGTTTACGTTCGTGACTCTCCTGTTTGAACTCTTTTATCAAAATGAACAAATCTTTTTCCAAGTCAACCCGCTCATTTTGTTCGTTGAATGAAACAAATGACACGAAAAAAGATTCGTTCAGACAGGAGAGTCACGAACGCTCGTCACAGAGCAAGACGTGTTCTGTGACGCACGTTCGTGACTCTCCTGTTAGAACTCGTTAGAATCTTTTTCCGAGTCAATTCGTTCGATTTGTTCGTTGAATGAACCAAATGACTCGAAAAAAGATTTGTTCATTTTGATGAACGAGTTCGAACAGGGAGTCACACAGAACAGAGCAAGGCGAGCATTTGAGCTTATAAAACTTAAACTTTGTTATTTATTTATTAAATGAGCGATCGTTTCGCTTGATAAGACCCTTATTCATCGTCTGGAGTCGTTTAAAGCCCTTTGAACAGTTTGCACTGAAACTGTCATTTGGACCTTGAACCGTTTGGTTCCCATTGAAGTCCATTATATGGAGAAAATCCTGGAATGTTTTCATCAAAAACCTTCATTTCTTTTCGACTGAAGAAAGAAAAATGACATAAAACTGTGTAAACTTTACTAGTGGACCCAAATGAAACATCAGCCTACATCTGTACGCCTTTATATAATCCTCAGACGATCCGTCTTCTCAGTGAACTGGACCGCCGTGAGATGTGAGGAAACGATAGATGCCGTTTTAGTGTGTGATCTAATCAGAAGACGATGTTTCAATGCATTGCAGGCTCGTCAAAACTCAAAACCTAATGCTCACACTACTGGCTTTAAAAGCTTCTGTCAAACTACAGACGTATTACATTTATATAATATTAGGAAATGTTTCAATTTCAAATAGTTCTATTCATCAAAATCACAATAATTTGATTTGTTTTCAACATCGAGAATGATAATAAATGTTTCTTGAGCGAGTGATTTCTGAAGGATCATGTGACTGACGACTGATGCTGAAACATTATATTTTGCATTACATTCACACAGACAACAGGTATTTAATAATATTCCACATTATTGCTGTTTTTACTGTATTTTCGATCAAATAAGTGAACATCCGCCGTCTTCCAAAAGCTAAACAAACCCCAAACTCTTGAACAGCACTGTATGCGGAGGGCATGTGTGTGTTCTTCCACTGACGGTGTGTGTTTGGTGTCAGTGCTCGGCAGAAGCACAAGGGCAGCTCTCCGGATGACCTCAGGAGCGGCTCACGCCTCATCATCTTCCTCCTGGGGGGGGTCAGTCCCTCAGAGATGCGCTGCGCTTATGAGGTCACGCAGGCTAATAAATCCTGCGAGGTCATCATCGGTAAGGGTCCACACCAGCATCACCTGCATTAACCCTGAATCATGCTTGATGTCTTCCAATCCCCTGTGGCTATCGTCCTCAGGCTCGACACACGTCCTCACGCCGCGCGATCTGCTGCAGGACATCTTTAATCTGGGCAAACAACCCATGGAGAAGTTCAGCATTGAGGAGGACAGACCCTGAGCGCTGCCTCGGTTACACACAGGACTGAAGGGAACCTCCATCTGCATTACTCCTCATTCAGTTAAACACTTTCCACAGGAAACAAATAAACAGGGGGATTAAAACACATCCTGGGGTGGTTTCATGTGTACAATATCAGGCTACAGTCTTTAATACTAACTTCACTAACAATGAGATCATTGAGGTTTAATAAAATATCATGGAGAATAAAACATGCAAGATGATTCAGGACTTGTGTAACACTATTAATACAGTTGAAGCACATGTAAAATAATGCATAAATGACATCAGCGTACTTGCCTTACACACTGGTGCCTTTATTTACCAGTGCACTGGATTAACACTCTTCTGTGTGTGTGTGTGTTTGTGTGAAAAGAAAAAAAAACCTTGGCTGTCAATTTGAAAAGATGTTTTAATGTTTGTCTTTTTGTTCTTGAATTAGGTTGATTTGTACATATTTATTCTCGTTTGCTTGTATAAAACGTGTATACTCAAGAATGAACTGAGGAGGGATTGAATGTGTACTTGTATTGAACGACTGACATGACGTGAATGATGTGGTTCAATTCTAATTTGCTTTGTAACATTTAAACAGTGTTTGTAATGTGGTCTAATTTCATCTGTACTTCTACATAAAGATATATTGTGTCAATAATATATGATTTTGTGGATGTTGTCATTGTCATTCACTTCCTGAAGAAACGGCTGGTGTGGTGGTGGCCATGAGCAGTTCGCTTTTAATGAGAGATTTAACTATACAATTCCTGCTGGGGTTCATAAGAGACTAATGTAAGAAGATAGTCTTCTTTATTTATGCATTACACAGTGTCCCAGAAACCGTCTTTGGTGACTGCAATAACTCGACTCTCTCAGAGGACTGGATGCGAGTAACTCGATCTGTCCTATTTTGGGATTTAAACTGTAAAGAAATGCGTGAAAACATGGATGTGCGTGTTGAGCGTCTGAATGCATGATGTTGTATGAAGCCTGTATGCATTTACACAGCTCTGTCTGACGGAAAAGTGATGCCTTTATTTGCAGGGACAAAAAGATGACTCTAAAAAATGATGAAAACATTTCTGCCAGAGTATAATGATTTTATTTTATTTTGTTGCTACTCGTTAATTGAACTAAATTTCAATAAAAATATATATTAATTAGCCTTCTCAGAAAATAACCAAACATATTAAATGATTTGTCGAATGCACTTGTGAGCGTGTACACAAAAAAAGATGATTCGTTATTTTGCCACTAAGATTATTATTAACCAGATTTACCTGCGTTATTATATACTGGTTTATCGTCTGGTTAATAATGTTTGCCTTATATTGGCAAAATATTTGTTTTAGGGGTTTTTTTCTTCTTCTCTTTTTTTCAAAAGAAAAAAATATACTAAAAATGTATATAAAAGTATGTAATAAAAATCGTCCCACTTTAGTAGTTTCTTACAGTTTGAAATTTAGCAGTTATTGTATACATGCATGTTTTTACATTGTACTTTTTTGTTTTGTTTCTTTGTGTTTTTTATTTTATTTTATTTTATTTTAAAAAACGGATTTCCAGACATCTCACGCAGAGGGCGCTAGTCTCTAATATCTATGGGATTCAGGACGATGACGTGTTTTTGATGCGACGGAAGAGTTGTTTGTAGTACAGTTCGCATTTATTACATATCCTGCACAGAACACCCTGAAGTCAAACTCACAGGTAAAACATAAACGCTATTCATCATGCAAATGTGTTTAGTAGGACAGGTAACCTTAGACTGCTATAGGTAATGTTACGGCCGAAACTGTACCCACGGGTTTAAGTAACGTTAGTGTTTAACGCCTGCTGTGAAGCTTCAGTGGTTATTGTACATCATCAATGTCCAGGGGTATTTAGACCTGTGATGACTTTACAGCTCTACATTCATGTGTTATTGCGGTTTAAGCGGTAGGAAGTTTGTGCTGATGAGATATTTTTCACATGGATGGAGATCTTGATTCAGTCTGTGTTATGGGTGTGTCATATTCAGATTCAGATTCAGGGGGTAACGTTATCGTATGTTCACACTTTTGCTCATGTGTTAATTGTGTTACATAAAAATTCGCTGACCTTGCTGTGTTTTCCTTTTTATAGATCTTAATCAAGGGGTGAATTATGGTGAGTTGTTCTTCCTTTCAGTGTTATGGCATTTCCTCTACTTTGCCCTAAATATGATCATTCTAATGCAATGGACCCCTAAATATGATCATTCTAATGCAATGGACCCCTAAATATGATCATTCTAATGCTACTGACCCCTAAATATGATCATTCTAATGCGACAGACCCCTAAATATGATCATTCTAATGCAATGGACCCCTAAATATGATCATTCTCATGCTACTGACCCCTAAATATGATCATTCTAATGCTACTGACCCCTAAATATGATAATTATAATGCAATGGACCCTAAATATGATCATTCTCATGCTACTGACCCCTAAATATGATCATTCTAATGCAATGGACCCTAAATATGATCATTCTCATGCGACTGACCCCTAAATATGATCATTCTAATGCGACGGACCCCTAAATATGATCATTCTCATGCTACTGACCCCTAAATATGAGCATTCTAATGCAATGGACCCCTAAATATGATCATTCTAATGCGACAGACCCCTAAATATGATCATTCTAATGCGACGGACCTTAAATATGATCATTCTAATGCGACAGACCCCTAAATATGATCATTCTAATGCGACTGACCCCTAAATATGATCATTCTAATGCGACGGACCCCTAAATACGTTCATTCTAATGCGACTGACCCCTAAATATGATCATTCTAATGCGACGGACCCCTAAATATAATCATTCTAATGCGACGGACCCTAAATATGATCATTCTAATGCGACGGACCCTAAATACGATCATTCTAATGCGACGGACCCCTAAATATGATCATTCTAATGTGACGGACCCTAAATATGATCATTCTAATGCGACGGACCCCTAAATACGTTCATTCTAATGCGACTGACCCCTAAATATGATCATTCTAATGCGACGGACCCCTAAATACGATCATTCTAATGCGACTGACCCCTAAATATGATCATTCTAATGCGACGGACCCCTAAATACGATCATTCTAATGTGACGGACCCTAAATATGATCATAATGTGACGGACCCTAAATATAATCATTCTAATGCGACGGACCCCTAAATATGATCATTCTAATGCGACGGACCCCTAAATATGATCATTCTAATGCGACGGACCCCTAAATATGATCATTCTAATGTGACAGACCCTAAATATGATCATTCTAATGCGACGGACCCTAAATACGATCATTCTAATGCGACGGACCCCTAAATATGATCATTCTAATGCGACGGACCCCTAAATACGATTATTCTAATGCGACGGACCCTAAATACGATCATTCTAATGCGACGGACCCCTAAATATGATCATTCTAATGCGACGGACCCCTAAATACGATTATTCTAATGCGACGGACCCCTAAATATGATCATTCTAATGCGACGGACCCTAAATATAATCATTCTAATGCGACGGACCCCTAAATATGATCATTCTAATGCGACTGACCCCTAAATATGATCATTCTAATGCGACGGACCCCTAAATACGATCATTCTAATGTGACGGACCCTAAATATGATCATAATGTGACGGACCCTAAATATAATCATTCTAATGCGACGGACCCCTAAATATGATCATTCTAATGCGACGGACCCCTAAATATGATCATTCTAATGTGACGGACCCTAAATATGATCATTCTAATGCGACGGACCCTAAATACGATCATTCTAATGCGACGGACCCCTAAATACGATCATTCTAATGCGACGAACCCCTAAATACGATTATTCTAATGCGACGGACCCCTAAATACGATTATTCTAATGCGACGGACCCCTAAATATGATCATTCTAATGCGACTGACCCCTAAATATGATCATTCTAATGCGACGGACCCTAAATACGATCATTCTAATGCGACGGACCCCTAAATATGATCATTCTAATGCGACGGACCCCTAAATATGATCATTCTAATGCGACGGACCCCTAAATATGATCATTCTAATGCGACGGACCCCTAAATATGATCATTCTAATGCGACGGACCCTAAATATGATCATTCTAATGCGACTGACCCCTAAATATGATCATTCTAATGCGACGGACCCCTAAATATGATCATTCTAATGCGACGGACCCCTAAATATGATCATTCTAATGCGACGAACCCCTAAATACGATTATTCTAATGCGACGGACCCCTAAATATGATCATTCTAATGCGACTGACCCCTAAATATGATCATTCTAATGCGACGGACCCCTAAATATGATCATTCTAATGCGACGGACCCTAAATATGATCATTCTAATGCGACGGACCCCTAAATATAATCATTCTAATGCGACGGACCCCTAAATATGAGCATTCTAATGCGACGGACCCCTAAATATGATCATTCTAATGCGACGGACCCCTAAATATGATCATTCTAATGTGACGGACCCTAAATATGATCATAATGTGACGGACCCTAAATATAATCATTCTAATGCGACGGACCCCTAAATATGATCATTCTAATGCGACGGACCCCTAAATATGATCATTCTAATGCGACGGACCCCTAAATATCATCATTCTAATGTGACGGACCCTAAATATGATCATTCTAATGCGACGGACCCTAAATACGATCATTCTAATGCGACGGACCCCTAAATATGATCATTCTAATGCGACGGACCCTAAATATGATCATTCTAATGCGACTGACCCCTAAATATGATCATTCTAATGCGACGGACCCCTAAATACGATTATTCTAATGCGACGGACCCCTAAATACGATTATTCTAATGCGACGGACCCCTAAATATGATCATTCTAATGCGACTGACCCCTAAATATGATCATTCTAATGCGACGGACCCCTAAATACGATTATTCTAATGCGACGGACCCCTAAATATGATCATTCTAATGCGACTGACCCCTAAATATGATCATTCTAATGCGACGGACCCCTAAATATGATCATTCTAATGCGACGGACCCCTAAATATGATCATTCTAATGCGACTGACCCCTAAATATGATCATTCTAATGCGACGGACCCCTAAATATGATCATTCTAATGCGACGGACCCTAAATATGATCATTCTAATGCGACGGACCCCTAAATATGATCATTCTAATGCGACGGACCCCTAAATATGATCATTCTAATGCGACGGACCCTAAATACGATCATTCTAATGCGACGGACCCCTAAATATGATCATTCTAATGCGACGGACCCTAAATATCATCATTCTAATGCGACGGACCCTAAATACGATCATTCTAATGCGACGGACCCTAAATACGATCATTCTAATGCGACGGACCCTAAATACGATCATTCTAATGCGACGGACCCTAAATATAATCATTCTAATGCGACGGACCCCTAAATATGATCATTCTAATGCGACGGACCCCTAAATATGATCATTCTAATGCGACGGACCCCTAAATATGATCATTCTAATGCTACTGACCCCTAAATATAATCATTCTAATGCGACGGACCCCTAAATACGATCATTCTAATGCGACGGACCCTAAATATAATCATTCTAATGCGACGGACCCTAAATACGATCATTCTAATGCGACGGACCCTAAATACGATTATTCTAATGCGACGGACCCTAAATATAATCATTCTAATGCGACGGACCCTAAATACGATCATTCTAATGCGACGGACCCTAAATATAATCATTCTAATGCGACGGACCCTAAATACGATCATTCTAATGCGACGGACCCTAAATATGATCATTCTAATGCGACGGACCCCTAAATATGATCATTCTAATGCGACGGACCCCTAAATATGATCATTCTAATGCGACGGACCCTAAATATGATCATTCTAATGCGACGGACCCTAAATATGATCATTCTAATGCGACGGACCCCTAAATATGATCATTCTAATGCGACGGACCCTAAATATGATCATTCTAATGCGACGGACTCTAAATATGATCATTCTAATGCGACGGACCCCTAAATATGATCATTCTAATGCGACGGACCCCTAAATATGATCATTCTAATGCGACGGACCCCTAAATATGATCATTCTAATGCGACGGACCCCTAAATATGATCATTCTAATGCGACGGACCCCTAAATACGATCATTCTAATGCGACGGACCCCTAAATATGATCATTCTAATGCGACGGACCCCTAAATATGATCATTCTAATGCGACGGACCCTAAATATGATCATTCTAATGCGACGGACCCCTAAATATGATCATTCTAATGCGACGGACCCCTAAATATGATCATTCTAATGCGACGGACCCCTAAATACGATCATTCTAATGCGACGGACCCTAAATACGATCATTCTAATGCGACGGACCCTAAATACGATCATTCTAATGCGACGGACCCTAAATACGATCATTCTAATGCGACGGACCCCTAAATATGATCATTCTAATGCGACGGACCCTAAATATCATCATTCTAATGCGACGGACCCTAAATACGATCATTCTAATGCGACGGACCCTAAATACGATCATTCTAATGCGACGGACCCCTAAATACGATCATTCTAATGCGACGGACCCTAAATATAATCATTCTAATGCGACGGACCCCTAAATATGATCATTCTAATGCGACGGACCCCTAAATATGATCATTCTAATGCGACGGACCCCTAAATATGATCATTCTAATGCGACGGACCCCTAAATATGATCATTCTAATGCGACGGACCCCTAAATACGATCATTCTAATGCGACGGACCCTAAATATAATCATTCTAATGCGACGGACCCTAAATACGATCATTCTAATGCGACGGACCCTAAATACGATCATTCTAATGCGACGGACCCTAAATATAATCATTCTAATGCGACGGACCCTAAATACGATCATTCTAATGCGACGGACCCTAAATATGATCATTCTAATGCGACGGACCCCTAAATATGATCATTCTAATGCGACGGACCCCTAAATATGATCATTCTAATGCGACGGACCCTAAATATGATCATTCTAATGCGACGGACCCTAAATACGATCATTCTAATGCGACGGACCCTAAATACGATCATTCTAATGCGACGGACCCTAAATACGATCATTCTAATGCGACGGACCCCTAAATATGATCATTCTAATGCGACGGACCCTAAATATCATCATTCTAATGCGACGGACCCTAAATACGATCATTCTAATGCGACGGACCCTAAATACGATCATTCTAATGCGACGGACCCCTAAATACGATCATTCTAATGCGACGGACCCTAAATATAATCATTCTAATGCGACGGACCCCTAAATATGATCATTCTAATGCGACGGACCCCTAAATATGATCATTCTAATGCGACGGACCCCTAAATATGATCATTCTAATGCGACGGACCCCTAAATATGATCATTCTAATGCGACGGACCCCTAAATACGATCATTCTAATGCGACGGACCCTAAATATAATCATTCTAATGCGACGGACCCTAAATACGATCATTCTAATGCGACGGACCCTAAATACGATCATTCTAATGCGACGGACCCTAAATATAATCATTCTAATGCGACGGACCCTAAATACGATCATTCTAATGCGACGGACCCTAAATATGATCATTCTAATGCGACGGACCCCTAAATATGATCATTCTAATGCGACGGACCCCTAAATATGATCATTCTAATGCGACGGACCCTAAATATGATCATTCTAATGCGACGGACCCTAAATACGATCATTCTAATGCGACGGACCCCTCAATATGATCATTCTAATGCGACGGACCCTAAATATGATCATAATGCGACGGACCCTAAATATGATCATAATGCGACGGACCCTAAATATGATCATAATGCGTTGGACCCTAAATATGATCTTTCTCATTATGATTCATTCTCATATATTAAAGTGAACAGTAATGTGCCTAAAATCCTTAGTTTCTATTGCATTATATTATTTTACTTCTTGTTCTACAGTATTCACTGTGGTATGGCACCAAATAATGCTATGCTGTTAGATGTATTTATTTTAAATAATAGTATTTGTTAATCTTAACCAGGTTCTTATTTTATAGAAGCTTGTTTTTGCCAAGGACTAAAACAATTTAAAAGTTAATTGTGATTTTTTTTATTTTTTTTACTCTCACAATTCTGACTTTTTTTAGTCACAATTGTGAGATAAAAGTCGCAGAAACCTTTTTTTTAAGTTTTATTCCGAGGTAGAAGCTTCCATATTATTCATTATTATTCAGTTTCCCATGAGAAACCCTGCATCTGACAGTGTGTGTGTGTGTGTGTGTGTGTGTGTGTGTGTGTCAGCACGGGCGTGTGAAGATAAAGTCAACAGCGCAGCAGGAGGAGGAGAAGAGGAAAGAGCGAGAGAAGAAGCTGAAGGCGTTTGTGTGCGCTCGCGATGCCGTCCTGAAGAAGGTTTGTCCCGCAGCGTGTGTGTAAGGAGTGTGTCGCGTGACAGTGTGTGATGGCTCTGTCTGTGTGTCAGAGGAGCGCGGGGGAGCAGGACGAGGAGGCTCTACACCTGACTCAGCTGCTGCTGTCCTCTAACCCCGACATCGCCACCCTGTGGAACTACAGGAGAGAAGTGCTGCTGCACCTGGAGACGCTACGGTGAGCGAGCGCGAGTGTGTGTGTGGTGAATGTAGAAGTGTGAGGTTGACTTACCTGTTGAGGTATGCTGCATTTCTCTCATCAGATTCCACATCGGTGTACGGTCACATCAAATATTTCTGACATGTGTTGATCTAGTGTTCATCGTAATCAGATAATCTCACAGTGTTGAGAGATGACGGTGTTGCCTCATGACCATATTTGCATGTCACGCGTATTAAATGTTAAATGTGTTTTTGGGGTGAAAACATTGTTTTTTTATTTGATTCGAAATCTAATATTTTTCTTCTGAAAAATGTAAGTATTATAATATTTAGCAAAAATCATATCTAGGTTTATTTCATAGTTATGCATGTAATGCAAAGCACACACGTATTAAATGCAGACATCCATTTTGTTTGGTGAAAATGTGTTTTTTTTTTGTACTATATATATCAAAACTATTTATTTGATCCCATTGATCTCAGTTTCCCATTTATATCAATTATCTGATTCCCATCAGTCTTGTTTAAATTTATTATGAAATGTTATAATATGATTTGTGACTTATTCATATCATACATGTATAAAATGCAAACAAACTATTTTTCCTTCTCTCCAGGGCTTCTGAAAAATGACACTTAATTCTAATTATTGTAGTATTTTGACTAGTATAATTTATTAGTAAGTGGATTTGTATGATATTGAAGTTATATTGAAGCCGTCTGCTCCTCTAGAGAGGCGGATGCGGTGCAGAAGCTGTACGAGTCTGAGCTGCTCTTCATCGAGGCCTGTCTGAAAGTCAACCCCAAGTCTTACGGCTGCTGGCACCACCGCACCTGGGTGAACACGCGCCTGCCCCGGCCCGACTGGACCCGGGAGCTCGGCCTCTGCGACCGCTGCCTCGGCCTGGACGAGCGCAACTGTACGGCGGACCCAGAATGGAGTGTGTGTTGCTCAGGTTAGTGTGTTTCTCCGTGCGCTGACGTGTGCTCCTCTTCCCTCAGTCCACTGCTGGGATTACCGCCGCACGGTGGTCAAGGAGTCCGGTGTTTCTGTCGAGCAGGAGCTGCAGTTTACGGACCGCCTGATTGGCTCCAATTTCTCCAACTACTCCAGCTGGCATTACCGGAGCACGCTGTTGCCTCGGCTCCGCCCCCAGCCTGCCGCTGACTCCGCCCCCTGCACAAGTCCCGCCCCCAGCACAGCCTCTCCTCAGGGTCACTCACACCGAGTCTGTGAGGAGCAGCTTCTGAAAGGTAAAAGCATTAAGGCATGGGGTTAATTAATCGACCAATCGGTGCTTTTAAACTCAGCAAATAGTTTATCAATAGTAGATGTTAAAAGATTTGGGGTTTTAAATGTAGAAAGAAGTCTCTTCTGCTCACAGAGGCTGTGCAGTAAAAACAGTAATATAGGGAAATGTTATTAAACATTAAATAAGTGTTTTCTGTGTGAGTATAATGTCATATGTAATTTATTCCTGTGATCAAAGCTAAATCTTACTCCAGTCACATGATCAGTGTCACATGATCCTCCATCATTTTAATATGCTCAAGAAACATTTCGGATTATTATCAATGTTTATGCCGTTTAATATTTAAATTTTCAGAGATTCTTTTGAGTTAAAAAGAAGAGCATTTTATCAATGAATCAGTCTAATGCATCGCTAAATAAAATGATTCATTTCTTTTTAAAATGTCATATTGACCATTGTTTGGTTGCGTGCGTAATGCAAGCGCTATTTTCTGATCCCATTCTTCCTTATCGTTAGCTTTACGTTTCTGTGTATTAAAAATGAAAACAATAAAACATATGAAGAGTTCAGATGCAAAAGCCTCTAAATGCCATTTGAAATTTTCATCTTTAATGATGATTTTTGTCAAACTTGTATATTTAAGTTCAGTAATTTCACTTAAATAACAATTAATATATTATTTATGTTACATGCAGAAAAAAATGTGCTTAAGTAAATTAAGGTTAACTTAATTATTAATGCAAGCAGAAAAGACATTTCTAGAATTACAGTATGATAATGTGCAGTCATTCGGACAAAATAAACCTAGAAACTGATTTGAAGTGTACGTTTATCACAATACACAACTGGAAAGGAAATATTGATTTGAGTTGAAATTATTTTTATTATACAATTTTTCTGTGATTGTTTCTCATGATGTATTTTCTGGCCGGTGTTTGTGCTCTCGAAGGCTGACGTGATAATACGGTGAAGACCTGGAGCTACTTTATATCAGTTCAGAAATAATCTACACAGAATATGTCAGCCAATCACAATCAAGCGTCTAGGACGTTGTGGTACTAAAGGAGTAGTTCACTTTTGAAAAAACGTTTGCTGATAATTTCCTCGCCCCCGTGTCATCCAAGATGTCCATGTCTTTCTTTCTTCAGTCGAAAATAAATGAAGGTTTTTGATGAAAACATTCCAGGATTTTCTCCATATAATGGACTTCAATGGGAACCAAACGGTCCAAAAACAGTTTCAGTGCAAACTGTTCAAAGGGCTTTAAACGATTCCAGACAATGAATAACACCGTGTCCTAACTACACACGACGCGATAAAATTCCAGCGACAACAAGTGTGTCTGTCCACAGTAGACGCGACGCGTATGTGAGACGCCACACGTCAATCAAAAACCACAGCCACAGTCTAATTAGGACAAAAACTCTGATTAACATGGAAAAGATACGTTTTATCGCGAGTCGCGGCGTGGCGTGTAGTTAGGACACGGTGTAAGGGTCTTATCAAGCGAAACGATCGCTCATTTAATAAATAAATAACAAAGTTTACGTTTTATAAGCTCAAATGCTCGCCTTGCTCTGTTCTGTGATGCGCGTTCGTGACTCTCCTGTTCGAACTCGTTCATCAAAATGAACGAATCTTTTTCCGAATCATTTGGTTCATTCAACGAACAAAACGAACGAATTGACTTGGAAAAAGATTCATTAATTTTGATGAACGAGTTCGAACAGGAGAGTCACGAACGTGCATCACAGAACAGAGCAAGGCGAGCATTTGAGCTTATAAAACTTAAACTTTGTTATTTATTTATTAAATGAGCGATCGTTTCGCTTGATAAGACCCTTATTCATCGTCTGGAATCGTTTAAAGCCCTTTGAACAAGTTTGCAGTTTGCACTGAAACTGTCTTTTGGACCTTGAACCGTTTGGTTCCCATTGAAGTCCATTATATGGAGAAAATCCTGCAATGTTTTCATCAAATTTCGACTGAGGAAAGAAAGACATGGACATCTTGGATGACACGGGGGTGAGGAAATTATCAGCAAAAGTTCTTTCAAAAGTGAACTACTCCTTTAACTAAAATATTTTCCCAGTCAAAGGTGTTTCAGTGAGCCATGTAATAAGATATTGATTTTCTGTAGAATACGAGCTGGCCCATAATGCCTTCTTCACCGACCCCAACGATCAGAGCGCCTGGTTCTACTACCGCTGGCTGCTGGGCCGAGGTGAGTGTGTGTGTGTGTGTGTGTGTTTTGCACATTTGATGTGACAAGTCTGCTCACTCCTGCTGTGTGTGTGTGTAGCGGAGCGAGAGGAGATGATCAGCTGTGTGTATGTCAGCCGGGAGGGCGAGAGGGTGTCCGTGGCCTTCTCCAAACCTGTTCATGTAAGTGATAGAAATCCTCCGGCACCGTTTACCCAGCACAGAGTGAGTGAGTGTCTCTCGCTCTCTCTCTCTCAGGCGCTGTCAGTGGGTCTGATGCTGCTGTTGGACGGCCAGCCTCAGCCGGTGGAGTGGAGGTGCGCCCATCCGCGTTTCCGTCACAGTCCTGTCTGGGTATCCTTCACTTCCGGGTCACCAAGCTGTGCCCTTCCTGTTTGAAAGAGGACCTGTTCTGCTTATGTTTGACTTCCTCTGTTCTGTGACGTTGCTGTTGGAGCACAAATATCAGGAACTTGCTTTAGTCTTGAGGACTCTTCTCCCGGTAACAAACACATCACTATGCTCCTCATTTACATAATTCCTGCCCTCGGCGTACGCAGAATAAAGCGGTGAGGCCTGGTTGAGTTAGAAGTGTTTTGAAACTAGCTGTAAGGGGCGGGACATTTGACCAATCACAACACGCTCATCCAGCCGACCAATCAGAGCACACTGTGCTTTTCAGAAGGAGGGGCTTCATGGAGACAGAGCGATACTGATGAAATCTGACCTAGTAGAGCCTTAAAACCAGTCCCTCCAGAAAAACGCGATTATGCGATCGCTGAATTCAATGCAAAATCAGCCAAAGTCCTCATATTTATGCGGGGGCCGCATTTTTTCAAATACGCCGCACTTTCGCCGCATAAATTGCCGATTTCCGTGCAAAATATGCGGAGTTTGCATAATTTCATAATCCTCGCATTTTCGTTGCAAAAAAAGTCACATGTATCTTAGCAGAAAGTTGAGAAATGTTGCGTTTGCTTCACACAAGAGCAGCCATTTCCCCCTGTTTCCATGGGAACGTTATGAAGTGACGTGATTACGCGACGCCAGACAGACTCACGGAGGCGATCGACATCTCACAAATCGAACTCGTATTACTGTCCGTCACACGTTCTACCGTCACATCGTTACTTAATAAACAACATAAGATAAAAGAAGTAGCATCAAACACACATGGGGTGTTCGAGGCACTGCAGAGAGTTTAACAGCTCTTAAAGGGGCCACACCTTATTAAACTCGTTACAGTCTGAAATAAAACAAGATGAGAAATTAAATATTCCCAGCACTTTCTATGTAATAAGAAATGACTCTTACATTAGTCTAGTAAGAACAGGGTGTTGGGGGAATCACTTTTTTTCTCTTTTTCATCAAACTGCAATTTTTGCAAATTCCTGCAATTTCATCGCATAAAATTGCATAAATATCCCGCATATTCCATCGCATTTTTAAAGAAAACGGGCCGCGCGATCAATCTGTTTTTGCCCGCAACAATCGCAAAAAAACTCTGCGTTTTTCTGGAAGGACTGAATACTATAATGGTAAATGTTAAATATAAATCGCACATTTTTTCACAAATTTTTGGAAATTACCACCACAAAATCAGTCATTTTGATCGCAAAAATCACACAAAAAAATTGTGAAATCCTGGAGGGACTGTAAAACTAAAGATGAAGCGCGCCAGCCTGCAGCCGTAGACCTGGGTGAGCTTGTTCATGTTGGAACTAAACTGCAGGAAAGAGGATCTGAAAATGAAACCCATAAAGAGGCACCCAGACGCTCTTTTCCAGATAAAAAGCTCTTCCTTTGTTTGTTTCACACACACACACACACACACACACACACACACACAGATCTTTAACGTTTCTGTCAGCTGTGTGATCTTCCTCCCGGCTCCATCAGTGACACGAGTAATGAACACAACCTGACCATCCACTGGACAGAGAAACACACACACAGAGACTGCGCTCTCTACACAGGTGACGTGTGTGTGTGTGTGTGTGTGAGATCAAGGACGTGTGTTTGTGTTTATTGATGTGTGATCTTCTCTGTGGTGTTGTAGGCTGTGCTGAAAGCTGGTGCAGAGACTCTGCTACTGACCAGGAACTCTTCAGGTACTGCTGTGTGTGTGTGTGTGTGTGTGTGTTTGACCACTAAACCCTCCGCTTCATAAGCCGAAAATTGGATATTGTGGATATGCAACAAATAAAGAATTATTATGCAACAAATTTAATTGGCAACATGCATCCGTCCATAAATCTCAGCCTATCACTACCATTTAAAAGTTTAGTGTCAGTCAGACTTTTATTTAGCAAAGATGCATTAAACCGAGGGAAAAGTGATCGTAAATACATTTATAATTCTACTGTACATTTCTATTTCAAATAAACGTTTTATTTTTTATTTAAGTTCTTTTGATGTTTCTATACATCAAAGAAACCTGAAAAAAAGTATCACGGTTTCCACAAAAATATGTTTTCAACATTCATAATATTCAGAAATGTTTCTTGAGTGATTTCTGAAGGATCATGTGACTGGAGTAATAATCACTGGAATAAATGACATTTTACAATATGTTCACAAACTATATTTCATAATATTACTGTATTTTTGATGCAGCTTTGGTGACTTCTTTCAGAAGCAACAATAATAACCCCACACTTCTGACCGATAGTGTGAATATTAAAAGCAATTTAAACTATACACTTTTGATAAAGTTAAACAGTGAATATACATTTTTAAATATATATTTTATATTAAACACTAAAACACATTTTGTATTTCTCAAAACTGAACAGTAAATCTGCAGTAATTGAGCTTTTCTTAATCTTGCATGTGTCACTGATGTGTGAACTCATTCATGTTTGAGCGGTGATCATTAAAGTTGGCCATTTTTTGTGATTCGATGCATAACGTCTGAGCTAGCTGACAGAAATCAGTGATGAACCTGTGACGCACCCTCTGCCTGCCGATCTCACACACACACACACACACACACACATTCAGGTTTGCTGACATGTCTTGCGAGGGTGGGGTTTCGGTTCAGTTAGAGTGAAACTTGTGTCAACTGTGTTACAATTAACAAAAAAAAAGGCATTAAACGTGCTAATGATGCATTGATCCATCATACAGGACTCAAGTTTAATGTGAATAACTGCGTTCTGAAAGTGTGTATTACACGTAAACTGTCTTTAATGATTATCGGCCCCACTTTATATGAAGTGGCTGTAAGTACTATACACTTACATCGGAAATAAGTACAATACACTTTCTGTGTTCATGGTGTACTATAAAACACTTTCGCTGCTATTGAGATTTGATACGGGTAAGGTGTGTGTGTGTGTGTGTGTGTGTGTGTGTGTGTGTGTGTGGGTCGGTTAAGGTGTGAGGGAAGAGTCTGCTGTTTAATTACATATATTTGAAAAATACCAGCCTGTAATTACAGCTATAATTACTTTAAGTACATGTATGTATGTGTGTTTGTGTGTGTCTGTGTCTACTTAGCTATATTTTATGTCGTGACCAAAAGCTGACAGAATGTTTTCATTTTTAAATAATTTTTGTAAATGTAAAGAATGCAGAAAGTTGTGTTTGATGTGGGTTTAGGGGTATAGGGCAGAGAAGAGACACTGTGTACAGTATAACAGCCATTATGTCAATGGAGAGTCCCCATAAAACGTGAAAACAACGTGTGTGTGTGTGTGTGTGTGTGTGTGTTGCAGGAGTGAGCTGTCGGTTGAGAAGAGTTCAGTGCTACAGGCCGAGCTTCAGTCCTGCAATCAGCTGCTGGAGCTCGAGCCTCAGAACAAATGTAAGTGTGTGTGTTTTCATAAGGGTGTGTGTGTTTTATACAAACATACTTCGTTTGTATTCTTGCATCATGTTAGAGAAAGGAAGCTGTGAGTGTGTGTGTGTTTCAGGGTGTCTGCTGACCATCATCCTCCTCATGAGAGCTCTGGATCCTCTCGGCCATGAGAAAGAGACGCTGGCACATTTCCAATCCCTCAAAGTGAGAACACACCACACACACACACACACCGTCTACTAACCACACCGCGTTCAGGCGGTTATTCACAGTAGTGTATCACAGTGTTGTAGTCGAGACCACCTCACTCGAGTCCGAGTCGACACCGAGTCCAGAGAGAGTCGAGTCCGAGTCAAGACCGAGACCAGTGAGGGTTGATTACCTAATTTACTTTTATTTACTTAGAGAAATGCTTTTTTTTTTTACTGAATTTACTTAGAGTTTAAAAAATATGATCAGTTTAGGGTAAAACGGCCACATAGTAGGTGGTGTTAAAAGTAATTTTATTACAATTTGTCTTGCGCAGTTGCGCACTAGAAAATCACCAATCACTGGGCGTGTCAATCAATTTAAAGAAATATTTGATTAACATACATTAATAATCATGAAAAATATTTTTAATTGAACTCGAGTGGACTCTGGAATAATTCCGAGTCTTAAAAAAAAAAATGTTCGAGTACGAGTCAATTCCGAGTCCAAATGGACACGAGTCCATGACAAGACCAAGACCATTAAAATATGGTCCCGAGTCCGAGACGAGTCCGAGTACTACAACACTGGTGTATCAATCATGTCAGTCAGAACCCCCGTGGGCTGATGGGGATGTTGTGATTGGTCTATTTCTCTCTCACAGGAAGTGGACCCCATGCGCTCTTCCTACTACAGTGATCTGTGCAGCAAGTTTCTGATTGAAAACACCATCTTGAAAATGGAGTACGCCGAGGTGCGCGTCTTCAGCCTGTCCAATAAGGTGAGAGCGGCCGGCCCTGGACTCAGAGGGCTCCATCTTGCACCCGGTGCAAATGACTTTATACACAAACGCATGTCTCATTCCTATTTTGCACGCGCGCAAAGCGGGCTTTTTTCCTCCACAGACGCACGAATGAACTTGCGCTCCCTGGGCGGATCAGCACCAAAAAGGAGGCGTGTTTCGGCGCAAACATGCCCTGGTGCTATTTTACACTTCCAGATAACAATGGGCTCTATGTACGGCGGTATTTCCGGTGAAGGATTAGGGATGCTCGATAACTTCCGCCGATCGTAGAGTCCAATGCAATAGCGAGAATTTATATTGAATTTTATACTCCATGGTTATACTAATGAAACGTTAGTCACAAAAACAGATAAAACAGACACCCCTCGTTGTGTTTATGCTTCTTTTTCAAATTATATTAAATAAACATAACTATATATAAAATTCTAAAATCTAAACGTATGTACGTTTCGTTTCAAAGACGGGAGGACAGTAAATATTGAAGACTCTGCCATAATCCCGTTTTCTCCGGTTTTCCTCCGCTTTAATCTACACAACCGGAAATGGACGAGCATCCTTGCGTCAAATGCGGAACTTATGCGTGTATATAGCCCATTGCGCCACTGACCAGTAAAAACCTGGTCTAAAGTCAGTGGCGCGTTGCGCGTTGTTCATAATGCTATTTTAAGCACGCATGCTTGACCTGAAGTAGTTTTTATTTTTGCAAATCACACATTATAACAAGGAAAAATATTAACACATGAGGGAAATCATTGTGCTTTACATGAAGATGAAAAAAAACGAATTACCCATTTTTTAAGGCAAATTGTAGCACTGAAGGATCAGACCTGTTTGTCCAATAGTGGCAAAACATAAGTATATGCTATAATGTTTAACCGACGCTGATGTGCGAGAGTTTCTCCATCCACATACAACGTCACTTCTGTCTTTCACTGTCCTGACGCGCGCCTGGTAAACCCGCCATTATAATAACAATTAGTCATGCAACATGCGCACCTGCTCTTAAAGGGTGTTGGATGACGCTCTGATTGGTTTATTTCACGTTACACCTATGAATAATGAAGCTACTTCAGACCAACCTCTTTTAGATTTGCGCCAGACGCAAGAGTCATTTATCCCGCCGGGAAAACAGGACACGCACACAAAGTTACTTGCGCCATGCGCTTTGACACTTGCGTTTCAGATCGGTAAAATAGGGCCCGGAGTGTTATAGCGTTCAGTTTTTCATTTAGTTTATTTGCTTTATTTTCAATGAAGTTGTCTGATCTGAGGGATACATATTCTTAATGCATATTTAATTTTTAATTGCAGGACTTGTAACAGTTGAACTACCCTTCGCTTCGCCGGTATTTTAAAGTTGGCGTGAATCTTTTTAAATGTATTTTCACAGTTTTATTGTGAACAATTAAAGAAAGCTTTTTTCTTTTTTTAGAAAATGACTTTAAAATCATAAATGCTTGTGTGTGTGACAATGCAAAATTGCCAATTAAAAACAGTTTCTTTCAGATCCGCCTTCATTAATTAATTTTTAAATTTAAATTTTTTAAATATTATCCTTTTTTTTCAGTTTATTAGTAGGTGACACTTTATTTCGATAGTCCACTTTAGACATTCTACTAACTATAAGTAACTTTTCAACTACATGTCAACTAACTCTCATTAGAGTATTAGTAGACTGTCTGCTTAATATCTGCTAACACTTTATTTTGTTGGTCCCCCAAAAGACATTCAACTGACTATAAATAACTTGGTGACTACAAGTCTTCTTATTCTCCTAACCCAAAGCCTAACACCTGACCATAACCTGACAGTCTACGATAATATACTAATACTCTAATGAGAGTTAGTTGACATGTAGTTGAAAAGTTACTTATAATTAGTAGAACGTCTAAAGTGACTAAAGTGACTATCGAAATAAAGTGTAACCTATTAGTATGTTAAATAGTTTCTCGGGATGATGATAGTGAGCAGGATGTGCTTGACGTAATGAACGTGACTGAATGGGTTAGGGTTAGGGTGTGAGTATGAATGGCATGACGGAAACATGAGTAATATACAATGAACTAGTCTTACTCAACCGTCTGCACGTGAGAGAGACCTTTCTAAATCTGTGATTGGCCGTTCAGCCTTTTAATAGAGCGCATTTTGAATATGATATACTGTTAATCTATGTTTGTACTCATAAGACTGTTACCTGCCCGTATACGGGCAACCTAAATGTACTTCACTATATTATTAATAAATCCTAATCTAGTCATGACAAACTATATATCGTTGGAAAGGTCTAAGACTGCTAAATAGATATTTGACTGCTGTTTTTTGCTACAAATTATGTAAGAAGAGTAACCGATGATTTTTTGACAAGAGTGCGCCTCAAAAAAAAATCTTCACCATAATGGGAGTTCTGACCTTTGTCACAAAAAGCTGACGCACACACCTTTAATAATCGAAACTTTGGGTTTTCATGCTAAAAGTTCATAATAAAACGTAAAATCTAGTATTTTTCAATAAAAAATGATAATATAATATTATCCTCTAAAAATTATACGATATGTTACCCTCTAAAATATAACGTTATCTTTTTTATCACGTATTTTAGTAGTTATCATAAATTTTGTATCATTTGAAAGCTTACAAACTCAGAATTCATCCTGTGAAAACAGTTTTATAATTAAATGTTGCGTTACCATAGAAACGGTACTCTAAATTATTTTATTAGGCCCCTCCCCTTTTGGGCATCATTATATTTCATAATTTATGATCAAAACCTTTTCTAATCTTGAAAGATCTGTGTCTCAAGGTCCCAAATTTTGTGACAGAACTGATATTTGGACAGAAATGTATTAATTTGTTTGGGCAGAATGTGTACAACTAAATTCAATGGCACCCGGTGGCTATTTTTGGTATTACGCCTAAACAAAATCTCATGGGAACTTCAATTTTTGTGATATCAACTTCAAATTTGGAACATAACTTCGTTAGATTTATGGATTTGATTTTATCATAATTTTAGAGGTTTAAAACATATATTTTATATAAAATAGAAAATACACAGTACAGTATATTTGATTTACTGTAAATTTGAACTTCCATAACTTTTTCATACTTTCATTTTTTGAAGTGCCTGCAATAATCTGCTGAGTGTTTTCTTAAAAACATGACTTTGTTTGGCAAATTTGGGTATATCGCATCCAAAATAAAAGTTTACATCATAATATATTTGTGTGTGCTGTATATAATTATTTTGTATATATAAATACCTATGCATCCATGTATATATTTAAGAATTATTTGTGCTTAAATTCTGTATATGTATATAAATACATAATCTATATTATATAAATATAAATATTTTATATACGAATAACACATTTTCTTAAATATATACATACATGTGTGTGTATTTATATATACAAAATAATTATATACAGCACACACAAATATATTATGTAAACACAGACTTTTATTTTGGATGCGATTAATCGCAATTAATTTTTGCACAGCCCTAATATATATATATATATATAAAAAGAATTGGGTATATTTTCCAAATCATCCTTGAATTACAACCATTTAAGTTTGAATAGTGTACTTTAACCCCATTCTCAAAAAGGTAAAGATGAAATAATACTATTGGCATCATTTCAGGACACAAGATGCAATGCAATCACTGATGAGGTGTGGATTGTTTTGTGAATCTTTTAAAGACAAGAATAATTTAGGATTTAATATCATTTCTGAAGGCTTGCTAAGCAGATTAAATGGAATACATACCCGAAAAATGTTGAATGCTAAAGAATGGAAAAAACCAAACAGATGAAGAATTCATTGGAATTAATATATGATTTCTCTAGTATAATAGTTAGTTTTGAAAGTTTTACTCCTGTTAAAAATAAAATTGCACTGGAGGTGAGAATTCACCATTTTATTTATCAAATCCTCATACATTCTGGTATTAATAAAATAACTTATTATTTAAGAAAAACGGTTTCCGTAGCCATGTGTGTTTTCTGTACGTTTTTATTTATTGTCTGTGAATGGTTGTATTGTACTTATGCACAATTATATTTCAGTGTGGCATGCATTCTCTTCAATACAAAGAGTGACAAATTACAAATAATGAATGTTTGGGTGCGCCTATTAAAGGTTGAGAAATGTGTCTGAATCACAGTGAAAACACACAGCTCCACACCCGGTCTACCAGAACTTGTGGATTACAGTAATCTACACTCTCTATTCACCACTCAGCCATCCTACATGCTTCCCTCGCTCTCTTACTGTCACACAGTGGCTCTCAGGCGTTGACCACACACACGTCCTCCTGCACTACATGCTCAGTTCTGTTTGGTCAATGTTACACTGCTGGAAAACAAATATCTGGCAGTGATGCCTCTTGTTTTGTCCGTCTCTCTTCTACATCAGAACCTGACGACCCTGTGTCACCTCGATCAGCTTCTCCTGGTGACCCACATCAACCTCTCCTCCAATCAGCTTGTGCGGCTGCCGCCTCAGTTTGCCATGTTGCAGTGCCTCGAGGTGAACCCATGCTGCTTTTCCTCATTGTCCCACAAACAATTCACACAGAATGTGTTTTGCTGTTAAAAAAGAGATGTTCTTCATCAGTACAGTATGCCACAAGCTGATCCTGCAGCCAATGATATTGCTGGCTCAACATTTAAACAGTCTGGGTCACATTGATTCGCTCAATCAGCGTTTCAACCGTGGAAAGACGTCAGTTAAACAGCTTGTAATCAATGTCATCGTCATATTTACCTCAGAAAACCCACATAAACTCGTTAGTCAGCTAGAAAAAATAACTCTAGAGACGAGCATTTTGCTAAATATATACACCATATTACATATGCATTATAATCTTAATGTTCTTCAATATTTAATGCATATTTGAATAAATCTGGCAAGTTTTTATGACAGCCACCATTTAAATGTTTATATTTCATATAATCTTCTTATTATAAATATAAATAAAAGTGTAATTTAAGTGTTTGTAAAGCAACAAAACAGTTCATTATTACCTTCATATTAGGCTAATGAAGCCCAACTCGACTCCCATAGTTTACAGCATTAGTTCAGAGATTTGATTCCCTTGAGAAAAATGGCCATTTATTGTAACTGATATCCAAAATAATCGATATTGAATCGAATCGAATTGTGAAATTTGTCTCAATACCCAGCCCTAACACAAACCCGCCTCCACTCGCTCACTCGTTTCATTTGCTGCGGATGAATATTGTTGCTGTTACAAAGCTAGATTTCGGCGTGGGATTGTGTGTATTCATTGTGCATAATTTTACACATTCGTGTCCTCACAGCCGAACCGTGGCACGTAAAGTCGTCTTTCACCACTAAATTGAGTTCTTTTTCGCTGCGTATTGCACTTAAAGAGTCAAATACAAACAACATGATGTCCAAATGTCACTCTTTGTGAACATAAACAGTTGGGACAGAAAACGCACGTGTAAGAGTGCAATGGATCTGTGCGTCAGGTTAAAGTGACAGCAGCCTAATAATCCTGCTGCCAAATTATGAGATTATATTAAATATAATTTTAAATATATCTATTAGAGCCAGACCGATATATTATCGGCCGATATTAGGCATTTTCCAAACTATCGGTATCGGCAGTTCTAATGGCCGATAAATAAATATTTCAAAAATAACATAAAAACAGACGAAAAACGCTTGAACCATGTCATGAGTGTTGGAGTTGTGTATTTTGTCCACCAGAGGGCGCTCTACACCGTTCCTGTTGGCAACATTCGTGTATAACACGCCACACATCCTGCTGATCCAGGTTGCAGGAAGCTTTTAAGGCAATGTAGGGACAAATTATTATTTTATTTATCAGAACTTTAATATATGAAGAGTTCAGATGCAAAAGCCTCTAAATGCCATTTGAAATTTTCTTCTTTAATGATGATTTTTATCAAACTTGTATATTTAAGTTCAGTAATTTCACTTAAATAACAATTAATAGGCAATTATCATTGCCATTTAAGTGAAATCACTGAACTTAAATATACAAGTTTGATAAAAATGATCATTTTAGAAGAAAATTTCAAATGGCATTTAGAGGCTTTTGCATCTGAACTCTTCATATTTTGAAGTTCCTCTGTACTGTTGTGACAATAAAAGAAACACGTTTCTTTTTAATATGCATTATCATATTATTTTAGTTAAAACTCAAAAATAACTAATGTTCGGGAAATCGGTCCCACTTTATATTAAGTGGCTTTAAGTACTATGTACTTACATTTACAAATAAGTACAATGTATTATTGTGCTCATGTTGTATTGTAAATCACTTTTGCTGCTATTGAGCTGTGATACGGGTAAGGTTAGGGACAGGTGTGGTGGTATGGGTAGGTTTAAGTGTGGGTTTGAGTGTAAGGGATGGGTCAGCTGTGTAATTACAGATGTATTAATTACGGCTGTAACTACATGCTGGTATTTTTTAAATATAAGTACAATGTAAAAACATGTATGTACACAATAAGTCCATTGTATCAAATTATTAATTTCAATGTAAGTACATGGTACTTAAAGCCACTTAATATAAAGTGGGACCAGGAAATCTGTTAATGTTTTGTTGCGCGTTTCTGGAAAAACACTATCGGCCGATATATCGGATTTTAAAACCAGCAAATAATTGTATCGATATCGGCCTTCAAAATCCTTTATCGGTCGGGCTCTTAATATCTATATGGCAGATTTTCCCCCCTGGTATCGACGTCAGAATTGTGGCCAGTGAAAATCCTGAGTGGCTTGTAACTGTGGAAAGTATTTTTGAGAGCGGAAAAGTTCACGTCAAGCCCTGCCGGTGTATCGTGTGTGTGTGTGTGTGTGTGTCCGCAAAATATAAGAGACACGACTGCAACGGTTTGTCTGGCACCTGTTTGCATTGAAAAACACATTAGCACAGTGGAATGGTAAAATGCATTCTGTGTGAACTCAGTGTTTGTGTGGAGTGGCGTGGTGTATTGCGCTTCACATGTAGTGTTTAATGCTTCAGGTGCTGGAGGCCGATGATAACGCCATTGAAAGTCTGGAGGGGCTGTATCATCTGCCTAAACTGGAGGAGGTTTCTCTGAAGAACAATCGTATCCTTTTCTTAAAAAAATATGTGTCAAAACCCTTTTCTCTGTGGGGTTAAAATGTAGTTGTTTGCTCACGTTAGTTCACAGTGCATTAACTAATTCTAACATAAACAACATGTGATTTTAATAATGTATCGGTAAATGCTGAAATTAACATTAACTAAGAGTAGTTAAAGGAGGACTCTGGTCAATTTTAACATCGAGCTCATTTTTTTGTACATTTGGTGTGCTGTCGGTATACAAAAAAGACAAAAATCGGTGTTGCCCACACCTTGTTATCCTCTTTTTAAAATTGGCACCCTGTTGACTTGAATGGGGCATGGTCTAAACCTGCTTTTAGCCTCTTAAAATGTTAATTCAGCCAGCGCACATACCTGTATTTGAGGAGTTCTTTTCCAAAACGCTATAAATCCATGTCAATAGTTCAGGAAAACTACATTTTTTACCTAGACCCACACATTGTGTGAATATTCAAATTATCCTGTTGAAATGTTTTATTGGTTCAGTCTGAAGATTTTGAACAATGATTATTAAATCAAACAACAATATTGTTAATGATAATTTAAAAGTTAATTTTTTTTTTTTTTTTTCAAAACGCTATACATCCATCCATTTTTTGGTATCATTTTTAGTAAAGTCTTTAACCCTTATGCTGCATTAGGGACATTTTTGGTCTTTTGCAGTTTAATTTCTTTGACCATTTTGGCTGTTTTAATGCAAATGGTATGAAATTTGGCAAAATTGTGACTTTTTGGATACATGTAAAAAATGTGATCCCATTTTGCAAAATATGTATAACACACACTGTGTAGATCAAATAGTAACACTCAGCACCATAAAGACCAAAAATGGCCCATTGAAACCCATTAAAACGTTGTTTAAATCTGAGGCTGTCAGTAATACATGAAACATGATTTTTGCACAAACATCCTTTCATTTTGAAGCAAAAGCATTATATTAGCATTATATAGTGATGACGTCACTACATATTTATTCCCTATGGGTGGAAATGCACCTTATTTTAGGCAATAGGCAATGTTTAATAGGTGGCCATTTTTGGTCTCTAACGCGCTAAGTGGGATTTTTTGCAAAGTGGGACTGTGATAATCCAAATCTAAAGTTTTCTCTTTGCATTTAGTTTATTGAAAATAATTGAATTTTTGTGTTTTTTCCTCTTATACAAATCGATGGTTTCGCAAACAAAACTGGTAATTAAAGGGTTAAAATCCTGAAATTGAATACATTTTTGGTAGTTATGATGAGGACTGATGCTGGTTTAAAGATTTAACTTGGTAAAAGTGGAAAATAATAATAATATATAATATTTTAGGCAATGTTTAATATGTGGCCATTTTTGGTCCTTAATGCACTCAACGGTGTTAAAAATCTAATGCAGCACAAGGGTTTAGTAAAGTGTCACACCTCAAACAAATAGTACCAATTTCAACATATGCATGAAAAAAAACCAAATTATTAAAAATGATCAATAATGATAGCTATATTTAAAAAAGGGATGGGTCCCCCTCCAGCACATGCACACACACACATGTATAGGCTACATAGCATGTGAGCAAAGCGGAGCGGCGTGACGTTTCACATTCACATTTGTGTTTAATAATATTACGCTACTTATTTTTCTTATTTCATCTATGTTGAGTATAGGCTATGAAAAGGGAACCGCATGAGATGAGTAAGATAGGATCTAAATTCAAAAGCTGCCCAATATCGGAAAATATTTGGAGTGCGTCAGACATGATTTTGACGACTTATTAAGTTTTGTTTTGTAGAAAGCTTGTAAATTTCATTTGATATAAATTTTATCTTCATTTTAATAAATGTTTCATCAACAAATTGACTGGATTAAAACATTAGAAGCAAATATCAGAAAAATCAGGACAGAAACATTGCGAACCGAATCATATATATGAACCGAAACATCATCATATATGAACCGAAACACCGCGACGCTTGCCTCACAGACCTGAGAACGAGGCTACAGAAAGCTTTAAATGTCTACTTTTAAACAAAACAATTAAAAACTAAAATAAATTGGCAACTCTCTGCGCATGTAGGCTAATTTGAAGTATGCGTTTCTCTCTATAGGCCTATGCGCGTTCACTGCGATGGCGAGTAAGCATCATCAACTTTATCTTTGCTGCTGACACTGACAGAAAACACTAGTTTATTAATAAACAATTCAAATGTTTCATGCATAATCATTACTTTTTGTCGGTTCTTTGTGGCAAGCTTTATGCATGCGTTGAGATGCGGAATAGGCAATTAAAAAACGCTCATATGGTTTCTCTCCCATTTAATTAAATTAATATATGTGATTACTGATTAGACAAATGGCTTAAATGATCTACTACTATAGTCGACTAGAAAACTAGGACTCGTTTTGAGGAATGAATGTTCAGAGTGCCGCCGTGCTGGATTGCATCGAATTTGAGGATTTATCGCGTTTAGGCTAAAAACAGGGCTGGCGCTTATCGCGGCTTGGAAAGAAACTGTATCTTGTCGTACATTTTAAACAATGAAATATAGCGATTTGGCATGAAACGTTGATGGAGCAGTGAAAGGGCTCTGTCCACAGCAGAATGACACGACAAACTTATTTTTTTTTTTTAAATGGCGTTTATCGCGTTTTGGAAAAGAGCTCTTCATTTACTTCCTGTTTTCAGTCGAAGCCCACAGTAGTCGATTGTCGAGTTCACGCGCGCGATCATTAATGAATATCATCTCAAACCTCCTCCGTGTGTTCAACATCTGATTCGGATGAATGATCCATTTGAGCTGCTATTCTCAGAACACCACATAGTGTTGGCTTCGAGATGATATTCACCAATGATCGCACGCGCGTGAACTCGGCGATCGACTACTGTGGGCTTCGACCGAAAACAGGAAGCAAATAGACAGGTAGGGCGATCTCGAAACACATTTTCGGGCAGACTCATCATTAGTAGCCTAGACTTGTTGTTTAACGACTGCGCTCTGTTACCGGTAGGCGTGGCCTCCTAGGGCAGTGCATTCTGGGAGTTGTTGTCTTTCATCCACACAAGACAAAAATACATTTTCTGGCTTTTCTCAGTCGAGAAAGCTCCAAAATCAAAAATAATTTCACATTTCTTCTACATAAATGACCCATTTTAAATACACGTCCATCTTTCCGGAGGTGAAGTATCCCTTTAAGAATGTGTAATTTACTGTTTATCAGTTAACGCAATTTTGATGGTCATACTAGTAATGTATAAAATACTCTAGTAACTTTGCAACTACATGCTAACTAACTCTCATTAGAGTATAAGTAGAGTATTACACTGTTAGGTTGGGGTTAGTAGAATAAGTTAACGAACTTACTTGTAGTCAGTAGAAGGTCTAAACCGGACCATGGAAATAAAGTGTAACCTGCTGTATCTAATTATCTTATCTGAGGTTTTTAGTGTGTAATTTGCATTTTTAGTTTGTACATTAACGTGTTGTAAGTGTAAAAAGTGTTTTCTTAATGTGTTTCTCAGAGATCTGTAAACTGTCTGATCTTGAGTCTTTGGTGTCCTGCACGAAACTGACCAGACTGGATCTGCGTGGAAACCCGGTCCACAAAACGGCCAACATCGAGTCTGAGCTCAGCCAGCTTTTGCCATTGGTTACTGACCTGTCTCTTTGATGTGTGTGTGTGTGTGTGTGTCACATGTACTGCTTTAGATACTAAAACGAGCTCACTAACCACTTCTAAACCTGTACCTCGTGTGCTGAACCTGATCAGACGGACAGTGATGGTTCAGCCATTTGTTAGGCCGTGTGTACGTATATTTTGATGAACGTTCATGCTGCTCTTTTCCATACAGTAACAGTCCTAATTTAATTCACAAAAATTACGTTTAGACAGACGTGAGAGAATTTTTGTAAAAAGTTAGGTGAACTGTGCCTTTAAAAACAGTCATTATCCTGTGTCTGTGTGTGTCTGTGTGTGTGTGTGTGTGTGTGTGTGTGATAAAGGACGGTTCTCATTTCAAATGAAGTTTGAGCACTATGAACACCTGCATGCTAATGGAGAAAAGTGTTTCACTGTTAACCCTTCAAGTTCTGGAGGTCCTGTTTGTTCTAGCGATGTATCGGTGAAGAAAAGCCATCTGTGGTGTGAGTATTCACGCCAATAAAGACACCCGTTTCTTCTTCCCCATGTTTGTGTCTAATTGGGTCAAATTCTTTGATGACGTCACTGTAGATATTAGTCTGTGGGCTCTTATTAACCCTTATGCTGCATTAGGGACATTTTTGGTCTTTTGCAGTTTAATTTCTTTGACCATTTTGGCTGTTTTAATGCAAATGGTATGAAATTTGGCAAAATTGTGACTTTTTGGATACATGTAAAAAATGTGATCCCATTTTGCAAAATATGTATAACACACACTGTGTAGATCAAATAGTAACACTCAGCACCATAAAGACCAAAAATGGCCCATTGAAACCCATTAAAACGTTGTTTAAATCTGAGGCTGTCAATAATACATGAAACATGATTTTTGCACAAACATCCTTTCATTTTGAAGCAAAAGCATTATATTTGCATTATATAGTGTATTCCACCAGATGACGTCACTACATATTTATTCCCTATGGGTGGAAATGCACCTTATTTTAGGCAATAGGCAATGTTTAATAGGTGGCCATTTTTGGTCTCTAACGCGCTAAGTGGGATTTTTTGCAAAGTGGGACTGTGATAATCCAAATCTAAAGTTTTCTCTTTGCATTTAGTTTATTGAAAATAATTGAATTTTTGTGTTTTTTCCTCTTATACAAATCGATGGTTTCGCAAACAAAACTGGTAATTAAAGGGTTAAAATCCTGAAATTGAATACATTTTTGGTAGTTATGATGAGGACTGATGCTGGTTAAAATATTTAACTTGGTAAAAGTGGAAAATAATAATAATATATAATATTTTAGGCAATGTTTAATATGTGGCCATTTTTGGTCCTTAATGCACTCAACGGTGTTAAAAATCTAATGCAGCACAAGGGTTAAAGACTATGTTGAGATGGAGGATGCTAAGTGTTGTGCAAAATATGACTGCAAGCACCAGTTTAAGTTGCAATGATTCATTAATATATATATATATATATATATATATATATATACATATACATCATCTCTAGTGCCTTTGACTACTAAAAAAAGAAATGATTTAAAAGTAATTAAAATGTAATAGCAATTTGGTATAGCAATTATGTTTTTTGATCAGTAATTAGAGTAGTATTGATGCTTTTGTGGTTGTTGATTCATAAAAGAGCACGTCTTGGCATTTATTAAGAACTGGTTTATATGGAATGCCGTGATGATGTATTTTAATGGGATTATTTAAAGGATTTCCTGCTTTAAAATCCAGCTAGGACCATTCAAAACACTGAATGAGCTAAATCATGCATTTGGTGAACATCTGGACCAGGCTAACGTGAGTGTCATCTCCCATGCCCTGAATTACTAGACTATTGCATGGTTTTAAAACATCCCAGTCATCCTGTTGAACCAGTTCTCGTGTAATCTTCCCACTGGTTCGTCGCCCTACCCTATATATAATAGTAAAAGCTAGACACTTGCTGGAGTTCAATCCTAATTCAATTCGCTCAGTCGATGTATTATATGGATCATTTTTAGAGTGGAGACGTGAACCGGGATTAAAGAAGACTGACACTTTTACAAACTGCAAACAAGTAAGGAAAAGCTTTATCATTCCATGAAAGGATCTCACCTGAGAAGATGCAGACTGCTGTTGACTGTATACTACTGTATTTTATTAGTATTTTGGTAGAAACTGCAATACTAAAATATGGAAACTATGTATATTGTGGATGTCCAGATATGCTCAAATAACTGTTATGTAAGGGATTACGGATAATGTAGAGACAACTGCATGGCCAACCCTGAGCCAGAAGCTATTTATTTAGAGATAATTATCAGCCGACTGTCAAATGTTTGAAGTCGGTTAGATTTTTTTTCATATGTTCATCAAGGGTGCATTTATTTGACCAAAAGTACAGTAAAAACATAACATTATCAAATATGATTTCAATTTAAAATAGTTGTTTTCTATGTGAATATATTGCAAAATGTCATTTATTCCTGTGATCAAAGCTGAATTGTTAGCATCATTAGTCATAATCCTTCAGAAATCACTCTAATATGATGATCAAGAAACATTTCTGATTAGTATCAATGTTGGAAAAAAGTTGTGATGCTTCAGATTTTTGTGGAAACCAATTATTGAAGAATATTTTATGAATAGGTAGTTCAAAAGAACAACATTTATTTGAAATATTAATAGTTTGTACAATTATAAACATCTTGTTACTTTTGATCAATTGAATAAAAAAATCTGGGCTTAATTTGCAATAATAACTGCCTGTCTGTATTATGCTGTCTATTGCACTACTGCTTAGTCAATAAATAAATGGATGTGAAAAAAGTGATTAAGTCAACATTATTTCAGTAACTGTTGAATGAAAGAAAGAAAAGTAGGTTGGGGTCAAAAGCCGCTCAGTTGAAGGGGATAAAGTTCCCGTAAAAAAAAAAAAACATTGTGGCCAAAAATGCTGCTCCATTTGGTGCTCCATCTTTTTAGTGAAATCCGAGAGCTTTCTGTCCGTCCATAGACAGCTATGCAACTAACACTTTGTTGCTTTGAAAAGTTCATGAAGATATTGTACAAGTAATCTATATTCATTTAGCAAATTATTCCAAATTATTAATCTTCTTAAGAGACGCAATCGCTTTATATGAGGAATGGATTCAATTGAACATTGATCAGCGAACATAAACAGAACGTCAACAGAAGGTCTTGCAAGACCTTCTGTTCTTCTGTGACGTTCTGTTTATGTTCTTACTTGATGCATGAGAACAAACCTTTTGCAGAAGATCAAACGTGATGCGTAACACGAGAATGAACCTCATTGGTTCTTGCAGAAAATCAAACGTGATGCGTAACACGAGAATGAACCTCATTGGTTATTGCAGAAGATCAAACGTGATGCGTTACACGAGACTGAACCTCATTGGTTCTTGCTGAAGCTCAAATGTGATGCGTAACACGAGAATGAACCTCATTGGTTCTTGCTGAAACTCAAACGTGATGCGTAACACGAGAATGAACCTCATTGGTTCTTGCTGAAGCTCAAACGTGATGCGTAACACAAGAATGAACCTCATTGGTTCTTGCAGAAAATCAAACGTGATGCGTAACACGAGAATGAACCTCATTGGTTCTTGCAGAAAATCAAACGTGATGCGTAACACGAGAATGAACCTCATTGGTTCTTGCTGAAGCTCAAATGTGATGCGTAACACGAGAATGAACCTCATTGGTTCTTGCTGAAACTCAAACGTGATGCGTAACACGAGAAAGAGTCTCATTGGTTCTTGCAGAAGCTCAAACGTGATGCGTAACACGAGAATGAACCTCATTGGTTCTTGCAGAAGCTCAAACGTGATGCGTAACACGAGAATGAACCTCATTGGTTCTTGCAGAAAATCAAACGTGATGCGTAACACGAGAATGAACCTCATTGGTTCTTGCAGAAAATCAAACGTGATGCGTAACACGAGAATGAACCTCATTGGTTCTTGCTGAAGCTCAAACGTGATGCGGAACACGAGAATGAACCTCATTGGTTCTTGCAGAAGATCAAACGTGATGCGTAACACGAGAAAGAGTCTCATTGGTTCTTGTTGAAGCTCAAACGTGATGCGTAACATGAGAATGAACCTCATTGGTTCTTGCCGAAGCTCAAACGTGATGCGTAACACGAGAATGAACCTCATTGGTTCTTGCTGAAGCTCAAACGTGATGCGTAACACAAGAATGAACCTCATTGGTTCTTGCAGAAGCTCAAACGTGATGCGTAACACGAGAATGAACCTCATTGGTTCTTGCAGAAAATCAAACGTGATGCGTAACACGAGAATGAACCTCATTGGTTATTGCAGAAGATCAAACGTGATGCGTAACACGAGAATGAACCTCATTGGTTCTTGCTGAAGCTCAAACGTGATGCGGAACACGAGAATGAACCTCATTGGTTCTTGCAGAAGATCAAACGTGATGCGTAACACGAGAAAGAGTCTCATTGGTTCTTGTTGAAGCTCAAACGTGATGCGTAACATGAGAATGAACCTCATTGGTTGTTGCCGAAGCTCAAACGTGATGCGTAACACCAGAATGAACCTCATTGGTTCTTGCTGAAGCTCAAACGTGATGCGTAACACGAGAATGAACCTCATTGGTTCTTGCCAAAGCTCAAACGTGATGCGTAACACGAGAATGAACCTCATTGGTTCTTGCCAAAGCTCAAACGTGATTCGTAACACGAGAATGAACCTCATTGGTTCTTGCAGAAGCTCAAACGTGATGCGTAACACGAGAATGAACCTCATTGGTTCTTGCAGAAGCTCAAACGTGATGCGTAACATGAGAATGAACCTCATTGGTTCTTGCTGAAGCTCAAACGTGATGCGTAACACCAGAATGAACCTCATTGGTTCTAGCAGAAGCTCAAACGTGATGCGTAACACCAGAATGAACCTCATTGGTTCTTGCTGAAGCTCAAACGTGATGCGTAACACGAGAATGAACCTCATTGGTTCTTGCAGAAGCTCAAACGTGATGCGTAATTGGTTCTTGCTCATCAAGAGAACATGCTTTAGCTTCTGTTTACCACAGCTCATGTGTGAGTTGATGATTGTTTAACAGAAACAGTATGTGAAAGTCTTAGTTAGACAAATAGTGTTAATGTTTAAGCTTGTCTGAATCCTTCCAAAAATTCTCCATTTTTTTGTTTTACTTCTCAGCATGCCTGTCGACACATTATCAATCAGGAATCGTTCTGCCATTGGCCGCTTTCCAGCCGGTACTCTTCCACCGGAGGATCCAGAGAAGATGAAGAAGGCAGAGACGAAGTGGTCATGCTGCACATGGTTGCGCCAGAGCTGCCTCCGCTGCTGCTGCCGCAAAACAGCAGGCGTTGACGTCACAGATAGACCTACAGAAACCACCGAGATGCCAGAGACAGGTAACCGGACTGGACAGAGGCTGTTTAGGCTCCAAAAATAAAGCTTGCACAGATATTAAAGTGATAGATCACCTCATCATTTACTCCCCCTCATGTCATCCCAAACCTGTGTGACTTCCTTTCTTCCACAGATGCCAGATTTTTTATTTTTGGATCAATATAAAATGCACAACATCCAAGCTCGATCCGTCTCTCTTTCAGGTTCCGTACTGGAAGTGCGTTCAATAGACCTTCTCAAATCCAACAAAGAACCGAACCGACTTGAGCATCACACAGATCGCTACCGCAGCCAAAACCTCATTATCCGCAGAGGCCAGACCTTTCAGATGCTGATCGAGCTCTCAAGACCTTTCAACTCGAAGACAGATAAACTTCACTTAGATTTCAAACTAGGTCAGTTTTGCCATCTTACAACCCTTAACACAGACAGTTCCTTTAAATTGCATGTACACTAAAAATGAATCTCACCGACTTAAAACTTTTGATTTGTTTATGTTTTGGCATTTGTTTGTGCATATGTCTTGCAGGTAATCTCCCAGATGTGTCCAAAGGCACACATGTGATTGTTCCTTTGGTGGAGGAGCTCCAGGATAACTGCTGGGAGGCCAAGATAGTTGAACAGAAAGACAAAAGAATCAAACTGCATGTCAACTCCCTGCCAACTGCTGCTATTGGCAAATACAGGCTCGGCGTTGCGACACGTTCCCCAACGGGCGAGGCCATGTCTCCGTACAGTCCTGACAATGACATCTACATGCTGTTCAACCCCTGGTGTGAAGGTGAAAACAAGGGTGGGGTGAGAGAGATAGGGGGAATGATAACATCAGGAAGTATGCATAATGAAAACAGTGGTGTGATTTTATCTGGCACATTCCACAAATACCGTCCGGTGACATGTTTCAAAAGCACAAATTCCATGTTTATTGTTGAAATCTATTGGATATGTTAGCCATTACATATATTTTAGCTAACATTAAATTAACCTTGAGCAGCTTGTTTTAAGCTTGCCTCAACAAACCTGCTTGCCTGGAAGTTTCTAGTAAGAGCTTTATTAGCTGGTTCCGGTGTATTTAAATGGGGTTGCAGGACTGGACACCCCTATTTTAAAGGGTACATATCATGCTTTTAAATCATTCATTTTTACATATAAATCATACCGTTGTGGTCTATATAAATCATAACTGCAATGCTTGGGTCTGAATTCCTCATTATTATAGCTCCACAAGCCCCTTTTCTGATGAGCGACCCGTTTCGAAGCGGCCCCTTTAAATAAAAAGGAGATGCGTCACACCCCGCCCGCTCTCCAGGTCGATGAGTTCACGGTCGGTTCAACTCCCCACGTTCGGCCATTATTGTAGTTTGATTAGAGAAACACGATTATATACGATACCTTCAAAGAACATTTTTATTCACACGTTAATAAAATGTCAACAACAGAAGACTTGTCCATCAAGCCTTACATATTCGAGCCAGAGCGAGCGAGTTGACGACGACGAACCTGCAGAACAACCTCTTCATGTATTGGTATGCGAGTTAACTGTTTTGTGTTATTAGTGAAAGTCGACTATTTCTCTTGTTAAAACAAGCACACTGACAAGATAAATGACTACGGTCTAATCTTACCACAAACAATCTGTGCTGATAATATGATACGTTTAGAAAAGCATCAGAAAACAACGCAGCTAAATGACCATTGATGAAACTCAAGAACAATAAGGGCCGGTTCACATATCGCGTCTTTTGCGCGCTCAAGTTCGTTATTTCAAATGTAGGCGCGCGGTATGCGCGCTCATAATGGAAGAATAAAAGAATAAATACATCGCAACTTTTTAGAATACCGCAAGCGCACCATACGCACACAATAGGTCATGTGACAAGAACCAACTAAAGCGCAACCGCCCTGGCGCTTTGGAAAATGGAGAATGCAGCGCGCCCAGCGTTTTCTACGCGTTTTTAGGCGCTATATGTGAATCCGGCCTAATACTGCAGACGTGTAACGTTACTTCAAAAGAAAAACAAAGGTACTGCTAAACCATGACCACCATGTGTTTTAAGAAAGTAAAGTACTTTATTTTTTTATTAACGATATTTACAGCTTATCGAAACGCTCTGTTCGTCGTCTCCAAAGATAGAAGGAATTTACCTCTCATTCAGACGAAGTCGATCGGCAAACCCTTCTTTATACTGGCGGAGGTTGTTGAAGTGGGAATCCTTGAAGTGGTCAACAACTGAACATTTTGACTTGCCCTCCCGTAACTTCTGCATCATTGAGCTCGGACTACAAAATCGGAGCGAGAAATAATAAGGGCGGATTGCTCGAAGTGTTGGACCGGTAGTCGATGTCCTTATTTGGCAGTTCCGCTGCAAATATGGTGACGCACTTGCTCAAAAAACGTCATAGACAACAGAAAAATCTGAACAGGTTGAAAAATATGACCAAAACAGAATATAAAGATATAAACGAAGCACCTGAAGAGAATAATTTAATCTTTTCTGTACTTATAAACACTCCAAATATACAACAAAATGCATTTAAGGGCTAAAAAAGTGGATTTTGCATGATATGTCCCCTTTAAACTAATCAAATGTCTGTCCGCCTAAAATTGGGATTTTGTCCTGTCCCACTTCAGATGTCTTGACCTTCTTATCTGTATTCAATAACTGTCATAATCTTTACATAATCGACTGCACCGATATTCAATTAAGTTAGAACGTTACTTTAGTTCTTAACGTATTCAAATTACCATTATCAGTATATTTTACTGTCCCACATTTTGCGCGCAGCTTCATAACGTATGATCATATTAAGTCTCTAACATCCATGATTTGGACAGATATATGTACATCAAGTATATAATCAAGACAAATATATATCATGTATTGAAAAATATGTTAAGAAGTAGTGGGAGTATTAGTTCCAGTGCCTGTTTTGTCCCATTTGTGGACAGTGCCGCCTCATTTTTGTCCATATTTTTCTCGACAAGGTCTGTCTCAGATGCTGGGAAATGTAAACTCTGCTTCATCCACTTTCTCTTCCTCTTCTAGGCGACTCTGTGTACATGGATAATGAGGAAGAGAGGAAAGAGTATGTTTTAAATGACATGGGAATAATCTATTACGGAACTGACAACCAGATCGGAGACAGGCCGTGGAATTTTGGCCAGGTCAGAGCAATGCATCCATATAAACAACATATCTATTGTTTTCATTAAAACCTGAGTTCTTCTTAGCTAGAACGTATGGCAGAAAAACAGATTTCAAATTGGATTATATTTAATTTCATTCAAAGATAAAATGCATTTTTTTAAACATTCTTTTTATCTTAGTTTGATAAAGGCATCCTTCCATCGTGTCTGTATTTGCTGGAGCGCAGTGGTACCCCAGCATCAGGATGGGGAGATCCTGTCAATGTGGTCAGGCTTTTGTCTGCAATGGTGAGTTTGAATGCTCCCTTTAAAGGGATCATATTATTTCTGTCCACTGGGGTTCACTTACAGTATAATGGCAACCTTCTTCTCTGGGTCCCCCGTCTTATTGCAGTCCATAACAACATCTTTCAAATGAGCTTTAATGAGTATTTAGAACTTTCTTTTTCTTTTGAGTTCATAAAACTGAGTAATTTTTTTTTTCTCTAGAATTTAGGCCTAACTTAAATTTAACTGAAACTGGGATTCAATGTCCCAGCATTACCCAAAGGGACGGTAAATCCTCAAATTAAGTGTTATATATTTTTCCAAGATTAATATTCAGTGTGAGACTTAGTAGTGTTTAATGTTTAGCTATGCTAATTTAGAAGTTTTTGTTTTGCGGGTGGGTTTTTTTGGGGGGTGTTGGTGGTTTACCATCATGGCAGTTGCTTCAGTGCATTTAGGGGTGTGGTCCTGCTCAAGACAATCTCCTGAACTCCAAACTGAATGTCAGAATGGGGAAAAAAAGGTGATTTAAGCGATTTTGAGCGTGGCATGGTTGTTGGTGTCTGAGTATTTCACAATCTGCTCAGTTACTGGGATTTTCACACACAACCATTTCTAGGGTTTACAAAGAATGGAGTGAAAAGGGAAAAACATCCAGTAGGGGGCAGTCCTGTGGGCCAAAATGCCTTGTTGATGCGAGAGGTCAGAGGAGAATGGGCCGACTGATTCAAGCTGATAGAAGAGCAACTTTGACTGAAATAACCACTCGTTACAACCGAGGTATGCAGCAAAGACACAACACACACAACCTTGAGGCGGATGGGCTACAACAGCAGAAGACCCCACTGGGTACCACTCATCTCCACTACAAATAGGAAAAAGAGGCGACGATTTGCAAGAGCTCACCAAAACTGGACAGTTGAAGACTGGAAAAATGTTGCCTGGTCTGATGAGTCTCGATTTCTGTTGAGACATTCAGATGATTTTGCGTAAACAGAATGAGAACATGGATCATCATGCCTTGTTCACGCTGTGCAGGCTGGTGGTGGTGGTGTAATGGTGTGGGGGATGTTTTCTTGGCACACTTTAGGCCCCTTAGTGCCAATTGGGCATCGTTTAAATGCCACGGCCTACCTGAGCATTGTTTCTGACCATGTCCATCCCTTTATGGCCAGCATGTCCCCATCCTCTGATGGCTACTTCCAGCAGGATAATGCACCATGTCACAAAGCTGGAATCATTTCAAATTGGTTTCTTGAACATGACAATGAGTTGACTGTACTAAAATGGCCGCCACAGTCACCAGATCTCAACCCAATAGAGCATCTTTGGGATGTGGTGGAACGGGAGCTTCGTGCCCTGGATGTGCATCCCACAAATCTCCATCAACTGCAAGATGCTATCCGATCAATATGGGCCAACATTTCTAAAGAATGCTTTAAGCACCTTGTTGAATCAATGCCACGTAGCATTAAGGCAGTTCTGAAGGCGAAAGGGGGTCAAACACAGTAGTAGTAAGGTGTTCCTAATAATCCTTTAGGTGAGTGTAGACAGGTGGTGCAGGAGGGTTAAAGAAATTCTCCTGGCCCACACTACTGAGATCAAGTCGAGACAGAGAAAAACAAAGTTGCATAGACAGGAAAGAGAGATCATCTGGCTTCTCCTACCAACTTGAAAGAACATATCAGTTATCATGACTGACCAATGCGTAAATTCAACCATTAAAAATCCAGATGCACTAAAAGAATAATTTATCGTTCAACAGATTAACTCTCCTGATGACAACGGTGTGTTGATAGGCAACTGGTCAGGTACGTACGATGATGGCATGGCCCCCACGTTCTGGAGCGGCAGCAGTGACATCCTGAGACAGTTCTACGAGAACGGAGGAACGCCGGTCAAATACGGACAGTGCTGGGTCTTCTCTGGGGTCACCACCTCAGGTTAGAGCATGTGTCTGAGGATGTGTAAGAGAACGAATGTCAATTTGATTTGAGGATAACAATAAACCTCTTTCTCATTTGCAGTGATGAGGTGTTTAGGGATTCCCACCCGGAGCGTTACCAACTTCGAGTCTGCTCACGACACAGATGTTTCTTTGACGACAGATGTGTATTTAGATGAGAATTATGAGCCGATTGAGGAACTTAATCGAGATTCTGTCTGGTCAGCTCACATTTCATTTACAATAGTTTAAGCAACTTTAAACAAATCTAGACAAGTACAGAGTACACTGTAATGTTAAATAGCTTAGCCTATTACTGTTACTCCCAAATTCTGTACCATTCAATCCTGTCAAATTAAACATGGCAGTAAACATAAACATGTCCCTGTCTTGTGTCTGCAGGAACTTCCATGTGTGGAATGACTGCTGGATGGCCCGTCCGGATCTACCCGAGGGTTTGGGGGGTTGGCAGGCAGTAGATGCCACACCTCAGGAGACCAGTCAGGGCGTTTATCGCTGTGGTCCCGCTTCTGTCGCAGCTGTCCGGAATGGACAAGTTTACCTCAAGCATGACACGCCATTTGTATTTGCAGAGGTATACCTAAAACTTCTGATATCACTTCATTTTTAAGAAGAGGTGTGCAGGTACTGAATGTTTCACTCTTTTTTGTTCAAGGTGAACAGTGATAAAGTCTACTGGCAGCGGACTGCGGATGGCACCTTCACTCCCGTCCATATTAAGAAGAAATCAGTCGGTCACTTCATCAGCACTAAAGCAGTTGGCTCTGATGAACGAGAGGACATCACGCACCTCTACAAATACCCGGAAGGTAAAAAACTAAAAGGGAAGTCAACTAAAAACTTAAAGGAGTAGTTCACTTTAAAAAAAAATGCTGATAATTTATGTCATCCAAGATGTCCATGTCATTCTTTCTTCAGTCGAAAAGAAATGAAGGTTTTTGATGAAAACATTCCTGGAGTTTCTCCATATAATGGACTTCAATGGGAACCAAACGGTTCAAGGTCCAAAAGACAGTTTCAGTGCAAACTGTTCAAAGGGCTTTAAACGACTCCAGACGATGAATAAGGGTCTTATCAAGCAAAACGATCGCTCATTTAATAATGAATAACAAAGTTTAAGTTTTATAAGCTCAAATGCTCGCCTTGCTCTGTTCTGTGATGCGCGTTCGTGACTCTCCTGTGCGAACTCGTTCATCAAAATGAACAAATCTTTTTTCGAGTCGTGACTCGAAGGGTCCTTGATAAGACCCTTATTCATCGTCTGGTGTCGTTTAAAGCCCTTTGAACAGTTTGCACTGAAACTGTCTTTTGGATCTTGAACAGTTTGGTTCCCATTGAAGTCCATTATATGGAGAAAATCTTGGAATGTTTTCATCAAAAACCTTCATTTCTTTTCGACTGAAGAAAGGAAGACATGGACATCTTGGATGACATGGGGGTGAGGAAATTATCAGCAAAAGTTTTTTTTTAAAAGTGAACTACTCATTTAAGTAGTCTGATTGATTGACAATTATAAACCCTTAAAAAAAGATGGGTGGATAAATGTTGAATGTTCCTGATCAGGGCCTGAAATTAATTTTTTCGACCACCGGCCACTGTGGCAGGTGGATTTAAAAATTCACCTGCCACAGAGACTTTTTACCAGCCACTTTTTTTTTTGCCTCATATTTTGCCTCAGCCAAAAAATGGCTCGTAAAAAGAACAATATTGTGAAATTCCTTTAAAAAAAAAAAAAAAAACCCCGGGAATTTCACAATATTGTTCTTTCACTTGTAAGAATACACATTTAAGTGCTGTCAAGTAATAATAATAACTCTAAGAACATACATTTAAAAAAAAATCTTTTTGTTCATTGATTTTGACACTCACACAACATATATAGTATAGGCTACACTATAGTTTATACTCAGCATATAGACATACCGCAGCTCGTAAGTAAACAAATCACACGCGGCTGTGTTGATGGCTGATTTAGTCACGTAGACAGATCCTGACAGCTTTAGTTACAGCATTCAGGAAGGATGAACTCAATTAATATTGTTATTACTGGTAAAGTTACTGGGTACCTGGGTTCCCAACTCCCAACATGCACAGTTGCACACGCACACACATCTGTGCAACTGTCATTTTACTGTAGACTACCTCAGCGTTACATTATCTCATCCCATCTCACCAACAGTTTAATACTCGCACATCCAAACGTAGTCAGAAAAGGGCCTCATCTTCTTCTGATCGCATGAACGTTACGAAACAACAGTCGCTGTCATAAATCAGCCGCTCACGAACCTTGCCATTGCCGCCAATTGTCCACTTTATATTAAAATGTCTTCTTTTACTTTTCTTTTTCCCATCCTCATCGTTTTGTTGGCTGTTTGTTTTAGCTGGCCTCTTTACCTCAGTAATGTGCCGCCACATTTTAGTTAAAGTCAAACGCAATGGCGGACTTAGTTGAAGTGTAAAAATCCTAATGAATCACTCAATTCTCATTGGCTACCGATCTTATACTTGTATTCAGGGGTGGATGATCAAGTAAAATAGTAAAAGTACAGATACCTTCATATAATGTAACTCCAGTAAATGTATGTGCTTATTTTCAAATTGAGTTAAAGTACAAAATTACTTTATTTGTAATGTGCTTAATAGGAGTGAGTTAACTGGAGCAGACTGGAGTTGTTGACTCAAGAACAGATCAATCCAATTTTCAAATGAATCAGTGGTTCATTGAAAACAATTGGCTCGTTCGGTTGAATTGGACATGCTATCATTAAGTATATTTGACATGCTATCAGCTGCCATATCCCCCCGTAGCCCAAGACTGGTCCCCCACTGAAGCGAAGCAGGGTCGAGCCTGGTTAGTACCTGGATGGGAGACTCCTGGGGAAACCATGTTTTTGCTGGAAGAGGTGTTAGTGAGGCCAGTAGGGGGCGCTCTCCCTGTGGTCTGTGTGGGTCCTAACACCCCAGTATGGTACTGGGGACACTATACTGTCAAAGACCACCGTCCTTCGAATGACACGATAAATCAAGTCCTAATTTATCAAGTATAGATAAATCAAGTCCTTGCCCAGTGGCCTCTGTCCATCATGGCCTCCTAATCATCCCCATATACTGATTGGCTTCATCATAGTGTCTCCTCTCCATCGGTAAGCTGGTGTGTGGCCGGCGATCTGGCACAATATGGCTGACGTCGCATCTTCATCCTTAATCATTGTATGAATGAAATGCATTTTTATTGTACTTATGAATAAATTAAAAAATCCAGACAAAAGAATGAGCGTCACATCACTATTCCTTTGCTAGATTCAGAGCAAGAACGCATTGCTGTGGAAACAGCCTGTCAGTACGGCTCTAAATCAGCGATGTACGAGGTCTCCAGTGCGGATGACGTCACCGTTCAGGTCACCATCGATGGAGAAGAGCCTCAGCTCGGTGCAGACGCCAATCTGGTCGTCACGGTGAAGAACACGAGTGCAGAACAGCGCAGTTTCAACCTCCACAGCCAGGTGGCTGTTATCTACTACACCGGGGTGTACAAATCTACAGTGAAGAAAGACGAGATACCCATCGAACTCCAAGCCAACGAAGGTGAGAGACCTTAATGCAGCGCTCAGTTCATTTTGGATTACCGATGCCAATTAGAGACTCATCTTCCTTGTCATAGTTGAGACGGTGGAGTGGTGTCTGCCATATGATCACTATAAAGACCAGCTGGCGGACCAGGCCATGCTGATGCTCACGCTCACTGGACGGGTCACACAGACCAAACAGGTTCTGGCGACCCAGTTTCGCTTCAGACTGCGCACACCAGACATAGTCATCAAAGTGAGTTTAAAAGACTTTCTCTGTTTTAACGTGTATCTATCAAGACTAATATGGGTGGTAAATTAAGGTTACAAACCAGGCCTAATTTAGGTTTCATGAAATCAACCCTGAAATCTCATTAAAGGAGTAGTTCACTTTTATAAAAACTTTTGCTGATAATTTACTCACCCCCATGTCATCCAAGATGTCCGTGTCTTTCTTTCTTCAGTCCAAAAGAAATTAAGGTTTTTGATGAAAACATTCCAGGATTTTCTCCATATAATAGACTTCAATGGGAACCAAACGGTTCAAGGTCCAAAAGACAGTTTCAGTGCAAACTGTTCAAAGGGCTTTAAACGACTCCAGACGATGAATAAGGGTCTTAGGTGATGTAAGGTGATGCGCGTTCGTGACTCCCCTGTTCGAACTCTTCGAAAATCTTTTTCCGAGTCAACTCGTTCATTTTGTTCGTTGAATGAACCAAATGACACAAAAAAAGATTTGTTCAGACAGGAGAGTCACGAACGCCGCCGCGCATCACAGAACAGAGCAAGGCGAGCATTTGAACTTATAAAACTTAAACTTAATTTATTTTATTTTTTTAAATGAGCGATCGTTTCGCTTGATAAGACCCTTATTCATCGTCTGGTGTCGTTTAAAGCCCTTCGAACAGTTTGCACTGAAAGTGTCTTTTGGACCTTGAACCGTTTGGTTCCCATTGAAGTCCATTATGTCCTGGAATATTTTCATCAAAAACCTTCATTTATTTTCGACTGAAGAAAGAAAGACATGGACATCTTGGATGACATGGGGCGAGTAAATTATCAGCAAAGGTTTTTTAAAAGTGAACTACTCCTTGAATGTCATGACACTTGTTGTAATGTGAGCTCCTCTACCCCTCAGCCTGATGGAGATGCGGCAGTAGTTGGGAAAGAGTTGAAGGCTACAATCATTTTCCAGAACCCACTTAAGCGCCCACTGAAGAACGTGAAGTTTCGCATTGAAGGACTGGGACTGCAGAGTGTCAGGGAGGTTTCCTACGGGTAAGATGCTCAATGTCAAATGTACATCAGATGTGGTTGGCCTCATTATGGTCCGTGATTGCTTTCAATACACAGTTGTTAGATCAACTATCTCTCAAAAGTTTGGGGTCCGTAATTGGGGTCTGAATTATCTTATGTTCACCAAAGCTGCATTTATTTGATTAAAACAACAAAAACAGTATTACCAACGAAAATAACTGTCTATTTGAATATATTTTAATTCATGTGATAGCAAAACAGAAAAAGCCAAACTGGTAACACTTTACAATAAGGTTCATTGGTTAACGTATTTACTAACATGCACTAACCATGAGCAATACATTTGTTACTGCATTTGTTCATCTTTGTTAATGTTAGTTCATGAAAATACAGCTGTTCATCATTTGTTCATATTAGTTCACGGTGCATTAATTAATGTTAGCAAGATTTTAATCAAGTATTAGTAAATGTTGAAAATAACATTAACAAAGATTAACGGTAACACTTTAGAATACGGTTCCTTCGTTAATGAATAACTACACAAGAACTAATGAGTAACACAATATTAACAATCTAGTAACTATTATTAACTAACAAGAAACTCTGATTAACGAACTAGTAAGTAATAGCGCACAGACGAAAGTGGTAGTTCACTATTAAGTAATCAATAACTACTATTTTTTTAATACTTCCCAGAGAACTACTGAAAAACTTTATTAACAATATAATAACTACTATTAACTAAAAGAAACTCTTATTAATGAATTAGTAAGTAATAGCTCACAGAGGAAAGTGTTACTAGATACTTCTGTGGGAATTACTAATTATTTGGATTCATATTATAAAGTGAAGATCACTGGAACTAACTAGTAATTACTCAAGTGTTACTACATGATCTAGTCATGATTTGTGCAAACGTTTGAGATTTTTGGTGAACTTTAGTATACTTTTAGAAAATGTCTTTAGTAACACTTGAGTAATTACTAGTTAGTTCCAGTGATCTTCACTTTATAATATGAATCCAAATAATTAGTAATTCCCACAGAAGTATCTAGTAACACTTTCCTCTGTGAGCTGTTACTTACTAATTCGTTAATAAGAGTTTCTTTTAGTTAATAGTAGTTACTAGATAGTTAATAAACTTTTTCAGTAGTTCTCTGGGAAGTATTAAAAAAATAGTAGTTATTGATTACTTAATAGTGAACTACCACTTTCGTCTGTGCGCTATTACTTACTAGTTCGTTAATCAGAGTTTCTTGTTAGTTAATAATAGTTACTAGATTGTTAATATTGTGTTACTCATTAGTTCTTGTGTAGTTATTCATTAACGAAGGAACCGTATTCTAAAGTGTTACCAGATTAACAAATGCTGTATATGTGCTATTCATTATTAGTTCATATTAACTAATGTAGTTAACTAATGTTAACTAACGAACCTTATTGTAAAGTGTTACCGCCAAACTATATTTACAAAAGCATGCACAAGGTATACATTTAATACATCTTGTTAACCGTTTCACAGCCTAGTAACTGATATAACATTATAACAATATTTAGCAGTGTAACAAATCAATTCAAAAACATGGATACACTCTCTACTGTGTGAATGTTTTCCCAGAGACATAAAGAGTTTGGCCACGGTGACACTGACTGAGAAGTTCATTCCCTCTGAGGCCGGGCCACAGAAACTTCTAGCTTCACTCGACTGCCGTCAACTTCCTCCAGTGCATGGAGTCGCCAACATCGAAGTCAAAGCAGTGTGAGGGACTTCAGCGGCTCTGAATCTCATTTGGAAGATCTCCATCCGGGACAATCTTTTCCAGCCATGTCTGAAGACTTGCCTCTCTCTAGAAAATGCATTTTTGCTCCAATGTCTCAAGGCATTACATTATACTTGAAAGAAAACAGCTGCATTTTTAACAGTTTAGTTCTATAACCACTGGCTTACTTTAACAATTGAGAATATAATGTATTTGAAAATAGAAAGAAAATAATATATTAATAAATATATAACATGTTATTACTACACATCACAGCACCCTAAATAAAATGGGTGTTGGATATCAATGATGACATCAAAGAATCCTTGTACTTGATTCAATGAATCGATTCACTAAAAACATTAATTGTTTTGTTCAGTGACTTGTTTTGTTTACATTATTCCACCAGTAGGTGGCAGCTAGTGTCTTGTGTGTGTGAGAGAGTCATATCTTTCATTCACAATATTTGTTCAAACACTCTTTTCCATACAACAACAAATCATACTTCTGAGATCCTCCAAAAACGCAAAACATACCAAAAAAGTACTCGTGACTCATGTGTTACAGTATATTAGTTTTCAGACATGAGAATAGACCAATACTATAGGTTTCTTTTTTTTAATTCAGGTTGTTATTCCTATTTATTCCTGTTTAGTGATTTTTATAAATTTGTACTCTGTGATCTCTGTGAATTTGTCTTTTTTAAAGGTGCAAGTTTTACACATTAGGAAATAAATTGTGATTGTGAAGAGTCATCTTAATGGTGTGCACTCCAGTTTTCTAACAGTGTTTTAATAATGAAATTCACCATGTTGATCTGCTTTGACCTCACTCTGACAGTAATGCCCCGAGACCACTGGAGGGGGAACTTGTAAGTGTGCGTGTACACGTGCGTGTGTGTGTGTGTGCGATGTCGAATCAACTAATCAGATATATAACATAAACATTTTGTTTACATAATATATTTGTTTATATATATATATATATATATATATATATATATATATATATATATATATATATATATATATATATATTTGTGTAAATTATACATGATCCTGACCTGGTTCTGTTCTCGTGTTTTATTGGTCTCTGTCTCCCTCTTCTGGTCATTCTCTGTCTCTATTCCCTCTTGTTCGCTCTCCCACTTATCTTTCCCAGCTGTTTCTCATCAGTTTGTCGTACCTGTTCTCTATCCTCTATCATTTTCTACTCTCTGTTTCTAGTCTCGTGTTTCACTCTAGTTTGTCGGATTATTGTTGACCGTCGCGTTAGTTACCGCTGTTGAACTCTCTCGTTATACAGTATGTTTTGTCCAGTTGTCTGAAATCTACTGCACCTTACCAGATCTGGCGGCTACCTGTTTTGAGTCCAGAAGAGGTGTGAGGGATCTGCGCTTCACCAATTCTCCTTTGCTCTCCCATCTCCAGCTCACGAGACCTGCTGCGTGTGTTTCACTGTTCCTTCAAGAATATTAAGAGATTATTTCTGTGGATCGGCGGTTGCGGCTCTGCCTTGTTTTACTAAAGACTGTTAACCTGCTTTTCGTCTCCTGAAGTTTCCTCACGCAGCAGTCTTCGTGACAACAAACCAATAAGGTAGGTGTTTACTATTTAAAGGATTAGACTTTAGAATTAAAATTTCTGATAATTTACTCACCCCCCACGTCATCCAAGACGTTCGTACAACCATGTGACTGACCACATAAGCAGTGCTTTTCCATGTTCATAGGATCTCAGAACTAGGCCTATCACTGTAAACACAACTGTCTGAGTGCATGAGTTTTATCAGATGCCAAGCCCATTTTTTAATCTTTTTTTTTTTTTTTTTTTTTTTTTTTTTTTTTTTTTTACAGATGTCCACATGAGAACCGATTACTGCCAATGACAGAATTTATCTTTTAGTTTGCTGATATTTTGTTCCTTGATTTTTTTTTTTTTTAACTCACTCTTCCAGCAACAGAAAAGACTTGCATTCAGTGCCGGCGGTATCGGGGGTATTAGGGGGCAATGCCCCCCCCAAATTGAATTATGATATAATTTACAAAATAATATCAGTTTAATTTAATTCACATTTCTGTGAGAAATAATACAAATATATTTCTACAAACTGCTCATTAGCTGAAAATATAATAAAACCAACTTAAAATCCCTGTGTGGCACTGTGAGGAAAGCCCCCCCCCCCCCCCCCCCCATCACGCACGTTAATACGTGAATGAAATGATTTTCAGTTGGCGCGAGATTCCTGACTGCATTCAAAACAAAACAGATATAAGAAAATGGTTCAATTCCACAGTTTATCCTTCCACGTCGAGTAACAATTCTGCTAACAACATACAGCAACACAACGACAGCCCGGCTAACGTTTGTGACTCAGACTCCGTGGCCGGCGTGGCCGCTAACAAAGCAGCTTCCCAAGCTAGCACCTGTAGCTCCAGCTCCACTACATTTGGACCCAACCCTCCTACACCTCAAAGTCCACCTCAGGATCTCGGTGACGAAAAGCCCAACCAGGTGAAACTGGACAAGTATCCAAGCCGCCTTTACAATGGGAAAAAACGCTCATTTGTGAGTACGTGGTACCATGGGAGAGACTGGCTGGAGTACTCCGTGAACACAGACAGCGCTTTCTGTTTTCCTTGTAGGAAATTTCGGTCAGCCACAGACAGCATATATCAATGTTGATTCAGTTTTTATCACAAAGGGATATTGCAACTAGAAGCATGCAAACAAATCCAACAAAGGATTCCATAAACATGCCACTTCCACTTTACACCAAATAAAGGAGCCCAGCTTTGTGTTCATTGGACTTGGTGTGCACATGGACTCGCCTAACAAACCGCTACAGGCGAAGGAAATGGACCTACTGAATGCAGCGAAACTCGTGCAAAGTGCGATAGACTGTGTTCGTGATCTGAGATGTGACGATGCATTTACCGAGCTCTGGAGTACTGCTACCAACAACAACGAGCCCATACAAGCCAGCAAAAGAAAACGTGTTAAGAACAGGAACCTGGACGAGTACGTTCTTGAGGAGAGTATGGGACCAAACGACACCGACAAGTCGGAGCTGAAGAGACTTTTTTTCAGTGCGATTGATGCCGTAATTGGAGAAATGGATGTGATTAGCGCATTGGAAGCTCTTGACCCAGAAAATAAAAGTTTTCTGAATGTTGAAAAAATCAAACACATTATGGATTTAGTAGGAGTGGAGAGAGTGGGGTCAGAGTCCTGCGTCGCACGCCGATTTTTACAGTCACAATCACAAATGGAAGACGACTCAAAGGAGAAATGGACAGTTCAGGGACAAAACGCTTAAAGAGTAACTAAACCCCTGGTCAGAGCCTGACTCCACCCACTAGCAATATTTGAAAAATGCTGAAAAAATGGGCAGACCCCAGCGGGGCCAGGGGGCGTGCACCTGAGACCCGCCGTGAGTGACAGCTGCTGTCAGACTCTAAAATAGAGAGAGACTGGAGTGACGCAAGTAGCTGCCTTTGCAACAGAGCGGCCATTTGAAGTCGAGGACTTTTCTCCCTCACCTTCACTCACCTGAAGTGGATGAGGGTGAATTGTATGTAGACACAGGGCCAAATCCATTCGAGCCGCTGGCTCAAACTGCGGTCTTAACTCCCGCATCGCGACCGGCATCTGATGAGTTTTGTCGTCGAGTTGATCTCAATAGCGCGCGCTCTGTGGGCATATATTCATATTGATATTCTGCCGCTATGTGAAAAAATCCAGCAAAATGCGCCGGCTCGTTTGTCGACCCCAGAAGATTAACTTTATCCTAACCATAAATTGTGATTAAAATATCCATGATCACTCACATCAAGACGCCGCTGCGGTGGAGGAGTCCGTGTTTGGCACTGCGTGTGGAGAAGCCCATGTCCACCTCTATTCCGTTACTATCCTGATCACTGTACTAAACACTCATAAATCTATGCTAACTTGAAGCTATCCTAACTGTACTATGCTACTAGCTACACAAAATAATCTAAATTATCTATATAATGTTATGCTAAATAGATGCAACAATACTCTATCCTGATCGTTTTCAAAAATAATCTAAATAATAACTATATAAATGCTATGCTAACTAGATGCTAATATATGCTATCCTGATCGTTTTCAATACTCATAAATCCAACTCCTGACTCGCTACAGTAGTTTTGACGGAACCAGTTGCTTTTATACCAGGGGCTGCCAAGGGCGTGGTGAGCTCGCACCAAGGGCGTGACAGAGTGGCGTCTGAGAGTTCCCTACGTCAGAAAGTACCCCTACTGCAGGAGCTTTCCGTTTAACCTGAAGAGGGCAGCACTCAGACGTTTTTACACCATATATTTGAAAATCAAAACACTTTATACTCAATTGTCAAAAAATGTACTCGAATCAATGAACAGCATTTATGAAGCTCCATTCTTACAGATCATTAACTAAAAAAGTTGTTTTGGTGTTTAGTTACCCTTTAAGGCGATGTGTTAACGGCACTCAAACTGGCTTTGGTATTTGGTGCTTCTACCGCGACCTGCGAAAATTCGTTCTCCACACACAAAAATGTGTTTTCAGAACACAGAAGGAGCATGCTTCACACAAGAAAGGCCAGCCTAGTTCAACTTGCATTCGAGAAGGACTTGACAAAAAAGTGTTGTGGTGCATGGAAGGACGCTGTTCTCAGGAAGTTCCAATCAGCTTAGCCGTCTTCGGCTCTTCTAGCTGTAAGTTAAATTTAAAGTTTCATGCTGGCAGGTTGTTAGTGTATTCTGGCTTTATGTAATGTCAAAGTTCACTATATTTTGTTGTCACGTTATGTTGTGATGAGACTAAATTGTGTAGTAGGCGGCCTATTTAGTTCAGTTTTAGCGCTGTCCGTTGTCTTGAAATGTCACTCCCGCCGTGGAGAAACAGGTGTTTAAGCCTATATTTTCTTAAATGGAAATTGTAGAATACTATCTGTGTATGTTGTGGCTGTTTTTTATTTGTTTTGATAAAGTTAATTAACTACATGATGCTTTTTTAATAGTAGGCAACTACAGTAAATGCTTGTGTTGGAGCAAAGCCGAATAAAGATAGCTTTTTTTCTCACATCTGCCAGTGAGATAGGTAAACTACTATCCTGTCAGTGAGAGACTGCGCATGCATGTTCGTTTGCTATAATAAATCTGTGGTAAGTCAGAGTCGGTCTTGGAATTTTTAATTTTTTTATTTGTTTGTATAGGCCTATTTAACCCTTATTTTATCAATTTTCTTAAGAATTGCACATCTTGCAACAATGTGTTTATGGTATGGGTTGCATCACTTCATGGTAATATAGCTAACAGAAAAAGCAGCAATAATAAATATAGGATATCTGATATCCGGAAAAAAAGTCCCCATAGATAATGCCCACCCATTGAAATGAAATGCCCCCCTGCTGAGCGCAGTGTGAAGCCGGCTCTGCTTGCATTTAAAAATGTTTTTTTGCATAGGAGGAGACGTGTGGTCCATGAAGGCTTCAGCAGGATGATTGTGCACCTAAAAGCTGGTCTGAAAAACAGTGCTTCTGATGTGCTCACAGTTTCATAGAAGCTGTAAATCGCTTTGGATTACCCTCTAGAGTGCGATCTGATAATGGCCGGGAGAATGTTGATGTGGCCGACTGTATGGTGTCCTATCGATGGGAAAACCAATACTCCCACATTTTATTATTTAGTACTTTGCCAGTAAGTGACTGATTAAATCTTAGCATCTAAAATTAAGACTGGGTTTTTTCATTCCTACTGTAAAGAAATGCATATGAGGATTGAAAATAGTCTATAATTTCAGCATGTTTAGTAAGAAATGTAGTAGCCAAGTATCTACAGTATATCGGGCCTGTTTGAGGAAGCTTTTATGTTATAATTACAGGATCGAGAGACTGTGGAGAGACGTTTACTAGCAAGTTTTGGACCTGTTCTCCTGTCTTGATCTGGAGGCAGATGGCACATTAAATCCTGACAATGAGGTGCATCTTTTTGCTCTGCATTGGACCTATCTGCCACAGCTGCAAAGGCATCTTGGATTTTTCCAGGAGGCATGGAATAATCATAAAATCAGAACAGCAGGCAAAAGTGTACAAGCGAATTATTTAAATAGTGTATTGCTTGGAGATAGGTACTATCTCTGAAGCGTGATGTCCTGCTGATAATACTCCTGTACCTCTTCCCTGATGGCAGAAGAGTGAACAGGTAATGAGCCGGATGATCGGGGTCAGAAGTGATGAATCTTGCCATCTGGTTAATCCTGGTGTCAAAGTGTGAGGCTATAGTTGGCAGGCTGCAGCCAGTGATCTTAGAGGCTCTGCGGACTACTTTCTCTAACTGTTGCTTATCCTGACTGGTCGCATTACCGTACCAGGATAGGATAGAGAAGGTCAGCACGCGTTCTATGATGGCTCGGTAGAAGTGAGTCATGCCTTTCTGGCTAACCCCAAATTTTCTCAACTGATGGAGAAAAAGAGTCTCTGATGAGCTTTGTTTACTATGTGACTAATGTTCATGTCCCATGAGAGGGACTGATGTATGGTAGTGCCCAAAAGGCAGAAGGAGGTGACCCTCTCACCAATCTGGTCATTGATGGAGAGGGGGAGGTGCCGGACTGCCTTTTTTCTAAAGTCCACAATCATCTCTTTCGTTTTTGATGTATTAAGGATTAAGTTATTGTCCTCACACCACCTCACCAGCTGTTCCACTTCACTAGAATCATGTGTCTGCAAACAAGCTACTCCTGCTCATTTAACAGTCCGTGTCATGCAGAAATAGACCACAGTACTGAATACCGACTGTATAAAATTGGTTTCTGCAAGCCACTTCCGGTTTTCTGTGGTTAATGTTGGTAAGTCCCAGCCAAAAAGCAAGATCATTCACTTTGTATCGTTCCACATCTGTCAGTTTCCGTGGCTCTTCAAGCTATGAAAAAAGAACAAGCAAATTGTTTAAATAAATTATTGTCATTTAAATTGCAAAATAAAAAGCAATGTGATGACCTAAAGTAGAATTAAACTAACCAGAGAAAGATTGTGCATTATATCTGGGTCTGGGCAGTCTCTCATGTCTGTGATGGCTGGCTCGTCACTTCCTAGAAGTAGGTTGAACATGGAGGTGCTCAGCCCTGTCAAGAGTGGCCCTCCGTGAATGAAGAGTGGCCAATCATTTGACCAATGACCTTAAAAAGGTCACGCGTGAGGACGATGGCACCAAGTGATCATCTTCTCCATTAAAGAACAGCATTTTTCCAGTGTTATCTCAAAAAATTGTAAAAGTTGACAAGTAGTTCACACAATAATTAAGACAAAACCCTTCTCAATTGCACAAGAAAAGTAAAGAAAATACTTACCAATATTTAAAATGAAGCCGTATTGTACTCTGGACATAAGCATCGCAAAGTAACTGTGTATCTCTGTCTTGCATACTGCTGGTTAGATCTAGTGTAACCTTAAGGGGTGTCCGGTTTTCCGATCCAAGTAATAAATTTCTTCGAAACTGGTATGCTGCCTGCTGTTCATCACTCTCGATATTCCAATCTGAAAATATTAGTTTCAAACATACAAATCAACCTTCAGCTTGGCAGTAGGAATGGGAATGCTGGGAATGCTGCTCCCTGCTCTGCTGTTTTAGAGACTGGGAATGCTGTTGCTCTGCTGTTTTAGAGACTGGGAATGCTGTTGCTGCTCCCTGCTCTGCTGTTTTAGAGACTGGGAATGCTGTTGCTGCTTCCTGCTCTGCTGCTTTCAAGATTGGGAATGCTGTTGCTGCTTCCTGCTCTGCTGTTTTAGAGACTGGGAATGCTGTTGCTGCTCCCTGCTCTGCTGTTTTAGAGACTGGGAATGCTGTTGCTGCTCCCTGCTCTGCTGCTTTAGAGACTGGGAATGCTGTTGCTGCTCCCTGCTCTGCTGCTTTAGAGACTGGAATGCTGTTGCTGCTCCCTGCTCTGCTGTTTTAGAGACTGGGAATGCTGTTGCTGCTCCCTGCTCTGCTGTTTAAGAGACTGGGAATGCTGTTGCTGCTCCCTGCTCTGCTGTTTTAGAGACTGGGAATGCTGTTGCTGCTCCCTGCTCTGCTGCTTTAGAGACTGGGAATGCTGTTGCTGCTGCCTGCTCTGCTGCTTTAGAGACTGGGAATGCTGTTGCTGCTCCCTGCTCTGCTGCTTTAGAGACTGGAATGCTGTTGCTGCTCCCTGCTCTGCTGCTTTAGAGACTGGGAATGCTGTTGCTGCTCCCTGCTCTGCTGTTTTAGAGACTGGGAATGCTGTTGCTGCTCCCTGCTCTGCTGTTTTAGAGACTGGGAATGCTGTTGCTGCTCCCTGCTCTGCTGCTTTAGAGACTGGAATGCTGTTGCTGCTCCCTGCTCTGCTGCTTTAGAGACTGGGAATGCTGTTGCTGCTCCCTGCTCTGCTGCTTTAGAGACTGGGAATGCTGTTGCTGCTCCCTGCTCTGTTGCTTTAGAGACTGGGAATGCTGTTGCTGCTCCCTGCTCTGCTGTTTTAGAGACTGGGAATGCTGTTGCTGCTCCCTGCTCTGCTGTTTTAGAGACTGGGAATGCTGTTGCTGCTCCCTGCTCTGCTGTTTTAGAGACTGGGAATGCTGTTGCTGCTCCCTGCTCTGCTGCTTTAGAGACTGGGAATGCTGTTGCTGCTCCCTGCTCTGTTGCTTTAGAGACTGGAAATGCTGTTGCTGCTCCCTGCTCTGCTGTTTTAGAGACTGGGAATGCTGTTGCTGCTCCCTGCTCTGCTGTTTTAGAGACTGGGAATGCTGTTGCTGCTCCCTGCTCTGCTGTTTTAGAGACTGGGAATGCTGTTGCTGCTCCCTGCTCTGCTGTTTTAGAGACTGGGAATGCTGTTGCTGCTCCCTGCTCTGCTGTTTTAGAGACTGGGAATGCTGTTGCTGCTCCCTGCTCTGTTGCTTTAGAGACTGGGAATGCTGTTGCTGCTCCCTGCTCTGCTGTTTTAGAGACTGGGAATGCTGTTGCTGCTCCCTGCTCTGCTGTTTTAGAGACTGGGAATGCTGTTGCTGCTCCCTGCTCTGCTGTTTTAGAGACTGGGAATGCTGTTGCTGCTCCCTGCTCTGCTGTTTTAGAGACTGGGAATGCTGTTGCTGCTCCCTGCTCTGCTGCTTTAGAGACTGGGAATGCTGTTGCTGCTCCCTGCTCTGCTGCTTTAGAGACTGGGAATGCTGTTGCTGCTCCCTGCTCTGCTGCTTTAGAGACTGGGAATGCTGTTGCTGCTCCCTGCTCTGCTGTTTTAGAGACTGGGAATGCTGTTGCTGCTCCCTGCTCTGCTGCTTTAGAGACTGGGAATGCTGTTGCTGCTCCCTGCTCTGCTGTTTTAGAGACTGGGAATGCTGTTGCTGCTCCCTGCTCTGCTGTTTTAGAGATTGGGAATGCTGTTGCTGCTCCCTGCTCTGCTGCTTTAGAGACTGGGAATGCTGTTGCTGCTCCCTGCTCTGCTGCTTTAGAGACTGGGAATGCTGTTGCTGCTCCCTGCTCTGCTGCTTTAGAGACTGGGAATGCTGTTGCTGCTCCCTGCTCTGCTGCTTTAGAGACTGGGAATGCTGTTGCTGCTCCCTGCTCTGCTGTTTTAGAGACTGGGAATGCTGTTGCTGCTCCCTGCTCTGCTGCTTTAGAGACTGGGAATGCTGTTGCTGCTCCCTGCTCTGCTGTTTTAGAGACTGGGAATGCTGTTGCTGCTCCCTGCTCTGCTGCTTTAGAGACTGGGAATGCTGTTGCTGCTCCCTGCTCTGCTGTTTTAGAGACTGGGAATGCTGTTGCTGCTCCCTGCTCTGCTGTTTTAGAGATTGGGAATGCTGTTGCTGCTCCCTGCTCTGTTGCTTTAGAGACTGGGAATGCTGTTGCTGCTCCCTGCTCTGCTGTTTTAGAGACTGGGAATGCTGTTGCTGCTCCCTGCTCTGCTGTTTTAGAGACTGGGAATGCTGTTGCTGCTCCCTGCTCTGCTGTTTTAGAGACTGGGAATGCTGTTGCTGCTCCCTGCTCTGCTGCTTTAGAGACTGGGAATGCTGTTGCTGCTCCCTGCTCTGCTGCTTTAGAGACTGGGAATGCTGTTGCTGCTCCCTGCTCTGCTGCTTTAGAGACTGGGAATGCTGTTGCTGCTCCCTGCTCTGCTGTTTTAGAGACTGGGAATGCTGTTGCTGCTCCCTGCTCTGCTGCTTTAGAGACTGGGAATGCTGTTGCTGCTCCCTGCTCTGCTGTTTTAGAGACTGGGAATGCTGTTGCTGCTCCCTGCTCTGCTGTTTTAGAGATTGGGAATGCTGTTGCTGCTCCCTGCTCTGCTGCTTTAGAGACTGGGAATGCTGTTGCTGCTCCCTGCTCTGCTGCTTTAGAGACTGGGAATGCTGTTGCTGCTCCCTGCTCTGCTGCTTTAGAGACTGGGAATGCTGTTGCTGCTCCCTGCTCTGCTGCTTTAGAGACTGGGAATGCTGTTGCTGCTCCCTGCTCTGCTGTTTTAGAGACTGGGAATGCTGTTGCTGCTCCCTGCTCTGCTGCTTTAGAGACTGGGAATGCTGTTGCTGCTCCCTGCTCTGCTGTTTTAGAGACTGGGAATGCTGTTGCTGCTCCCTGCTCTGCTGCTTTAGAGACTGGGAATGCTGTTGCTGCTCCCTGCTCTGCTGCTTTAGAGACTGGGAATGCTGTTGCTGCTCCCTGCTCTGCTGTTTTAGAGACTGGGAATGCTGTTGCTGCTCCCTGCTCTGCTGTTTTAGAGACTGGGAATGCTGTTGCTGCTCCCTGCTCTGCTGTTTTCGAGATTGGGAATGCTGTTGCTGCTCCCTGCTCTGCTGCTTTAGAGACTGGGAATGCTGTTGCTGCTCCCTGCTCTGCTGTTTTAGAGACTGGGAAAGCTGTTGCTGCTCCCTGCTCTGCTGCTTTCGAGATTGGGAAAGCTGTTGCTGCTTCCTGCTCTGCTGCTTTAGAGATTGGGAATGCTGTTGCTGCTTCCTGCTCTGCTGTTTTCGAGATTGGGAAAGCTGTTGCTGCTTCCTGCTCTGCTGCTTTAGAGATTGGGAATGCTGTTGCTGCTCCCTGCTCTGCTGCTTTAGAGATTGGGAATGCTGTTGCTGCTTCCTGCTCTGCTGCTGCTGCTTTCAAGATTGGGAATGCTGTTGCTGCTTCCTGCTCTACTTTCATAATGTATGGTGTTGGGACTACTTGCTGGTGTATTGCTGCAAGTAAAGCTGCCCTGCATATTGCTAAATTGGTGTTTTAAAGAATTTGTGATCAAAATATATTTATATAATGTGTGATAGGGCACTGTAAATTTGACACTTCAGAAATAAAATGTTGCCTAAGAACTATACTCATATAGCGATCAACATGTTTTTGTATCTCCAGTAATGGAAAAATCTTGCTGCAATACAAACAGACAACCGGTGGCCCAGTTTCAGATACTTGTCCTACAGCAACCTCCCAAAACCATACTAAACTTACAAAAGCTTAAAGTGACGCAGTGATTTTTTTTCAAGGGACTGTTCAGCACAAAATGAAAATTCATACAATGTAAAATAGTCAGGTCCGAATCTTCAAGATTGTGTAACCCTGTAGGCATTTTTGAGGAAAAGTTGTTGTACCACATAATTAGAAAGAATGTGCCCTGAATAAGGATCCACCGTATGACACTGAAATAAGGGTCCCATTTTCTTGTAATTGTTATCGAGACAATAGGTGCATTATTCACAGCCGAAACACTACAGGTGGATAGGGTAAAAAATTTATTTTCCAGTTTTTCAGTTATATAGTTATATATATATATATATATATATATATAGTTATTTATATGCAAAACGATCGGTTATTTCAAAGCTTATTCCAAAAATGTAACTTTTCTAAGGACAAATGCTAGCCTTGCTCTATTCTGTGAGGCGCGTTTGTAACGTCACGTAATACGTAATTACGTTCAAAAGATCACGGGCGACGTAGCCGGAAGTACAGACTCAGTGTTTACAAGTTGAACGCATAGGTTGAACGTGCAAACTAACTCAAACGCCAATTACAAAAGGATTTAAAATGTAAAACAACGATGTCAGACGATTTTGATTCTGTACTTCCGGCTACGTCGCCCGTGACCTTTTGAACGTAATTACGTATTACGTGACGTTGCAAACGTGCCTCACAGAATAGAGCAAGGCTAGCATTTGTCCTTAGAAAAGTTACATTTTTGGAATAAGTTTTGAAATAACCGATCGTTTCACATAAGACCCTTATTCATCGTCTGGTGTCATTTAAAGACATTTGAAGCTGCATCTGAAACTGTTATTAACTCTCTTTTCGACCTTGGACCGTCTGGTTCCCATTATATGGAGAAAAATCCTGGAATGTTTTCATCAAAAACCTTAATTTCTTTTCAACTGAGGAAAGAAAGACATGGACATATTGGATGACATGGGGGTGAGTAAATTATCAGCAAAAGTTTTATCAAAAGTGAACTAATCCTTTAAGAGAGGTAATAGACCTAGTGTCGGGCGGTCCACCTTGCGGGGGGTGATGGAGGAACTCTGCGTTCGGGCCAATTACCAAGATCAGAGCCCTAGAAGTGTTGCTTTCTCCTGTGCGCCTGCTCAAGGCACCTCACCGACAGATATATGTAGACGTGCGGGGTGGGCGACACCTAATACGGTCGCTAGATTCTATAGCCTCCGTGTAGAGCCAGTATCTTACCGTATACTCACAAGAAAAGACCAACAATAGAGGCATTCAGACTCTCAGGGGGACAGAAGCGTCCGAAGCCAGGCCTACACTCGTATGCATTGTGGAAGCTGTGCTAGACTGGGGTGTCCATATGTAGCGGTATGTACCCTATATGTGTATTACTCCACGATCAGCTCTTTTGTGGACGAGCCTGTGTCTTTGAGTGTCTTTCCCTCTGTTGTCTCTGCTGGTGTTTTTTTCCAGTTCTGTCTAACGATTCTGGTTCCGATTCCGGTTCCATTAAAATTGTTTAACAAATTATAAATAAATAGTGGTAAGGCAAACTGCACAATACTCAATCTTTTTTGTTTTTATTACTTACTGTCAAAAGAATTTGCAGGTTGGCAATGTAAAAAAAATCAACATATATTACTGTATTTAGCCATTTTTGCAACAAAAACATTAACAATTTTTCTGAAGGAAAATCAACATGTCTGCTTTCTCCGGGAGCTTTCTCTGGACCTTTCCTTGCTTATTGTGTCTGTAGCAGTGGAGAATACCCTCTCTGAAGGTGTAGAAGATGCTTGGACAGACATGTACGATTCAGACAGGTGAAACAGAATAGGCAATGCCTCTCTGTTCTCCCACCAAACAGCAGGGTCTTCATAGGTGGGGATTGGGGACCGTTCTTTATAGTAAAGAAGTTCTCTGTCAACTCTCTCATCAACTGACAAGCCAATAGCATTTGGTAGCACAATCCCCTGCAGAGCTTTATCCTCCTTTTCAAACAGAATGGCTAATGGACACTTTTTAACTTTCTTGCAAGGCACTTCCTAAAAAGCAAGAAAATTAGTGTTAGTAATATAAAAAAATACACTCACCTAAAGGATTATTAGGAACACCATACTACTACTGTGGTTGACCCCCTTTCGCCTTCAGAACTGCCTTAATGCTACGTGGCATTGATTCAACAAGGTGCTGAAAGCATTCTTTAGAAATGTTGGCCAATATTGATAGGATAGCATCTTGCAGTTAATGGAGATTTGTGGGATGCACATCCAGGGCACGAAGCTCCCGTTCCACCAAATCCCAAATATACTCTATTGGGTTGAGATCTGGTGACTGTGGCGGCCATTTTAGTACAGTCAACTCATTGTCATGTTCAAGAAATCAATTTGAAATGATTCCAGCTTTGTGACATGGTGCATTATCCTGCTGGAAGTAGCCATCAGAGGATGGGGACATGCTGGCCATAAAGGGATGGACATGGTCAGAAACAATGCTCAGGTAGGCCGTGGCATTTAAACAATGCCCAATTGGCACTAAGGGGCCTAAAGAGTGCCAAGAAAACATCCCCACACCATTACACCACCACCACCAGCCTGCACAGTGGGAACAAGGCATGATGGTCCATGTTCTCATTCTGTTTACGCCAAATTCTGACTCTACCATCTGAATGTCTCAAAAGAAATCGAGACTCATCAGACCAGGCAACATTTCTCCAGTCTTCAACTGTCCAGTTTTGGTGAGCTCTTGCAAATCGTCGCCTCTTTTTCCTATTTGTAGTGGAGATGAGTGGTACCCGGTGGGGTCTTCTGCTGTTCAAGGTTGTGTGTGTTGTGTCTTCTTCACAAATGCTTTGCTGCATACCTCGGTTGTAACGAGTGGTTATTTCAGTCAAAGTTGCTCTTCTATCAGCTTGAATCAGTCGGCCCATTCTCCTCTGACCTCTCGCATCAACAAGGCATTTTGGCCCACAGGACTGCCGCATACTGGATGTTTTTCCCTTTTCACTCCATTCTTTGTAAACCCTAGAAATGGTTGTGTGTGAAAATCCCAGTAACTGAGCAGATTGTGAAATACTCAGACACCAACAACCACGCCACGCTCAAAATCGCTTAAATCACCTTTCTTTCCCATTCTGACATTCAGTTTGGAGTTCAGGAGATTGTCTTGAACAGGACCACACCCCTAAATGCATTGAAGCAACTGCCGTGTGATTGGTTGATTAGATAATTGCATTAATGAGAAATTGAACAGGTGTTCCTAAACAACATTAGGACCTGTCTGAACGTCGTAGACTGCTTTACTTTTTAGGACTGTTTGTTTCATTTTTCCCTCACAAACAAAATGTAGTGTGACTGTAATGTCAGACTGATCTCATGAAGTAGCGTGTGTATGACACGCCAATTCGTATTTCCATTTTTGGCGTGCTATCAAGACGCATAATCGCCTTTCAGCGTGTTTATGAACGCCGTTGATTTAACGTTATATAAATATATGACTTACCTCAACCCCGTCCCTAAACCTAACCGTCACTTGGGTTAATGGCATTTATGACTGTTCCCTTACCATCCTAGGTAAAAAAAAGATATGACTTACCTCAACCCCATCCCTAAACTTAACCGTCACTGGGGTTAATGGCATTTATGACTGGAGATTTGACTGCGTGTTCAGACACGCGGAATGACGCGGACGTTAATGGCGTAGACATATACGCATACACGCGGATACACGCGGATAGCACAAAATACGTGGAGATAACACGCCACCTGACTCGAAAGTGGCGTATATGTTTACGCAAAAGTCATGATGTCATGTTGGTAATGTAGTGTTCCTGTGTAATGCTGGTCCATCCATCACTGTGGACGTTTTTCAGAGCATCAATTATACATTCTGCTTTTCAGTGTCATACCAAGCAGGAATAAGCTGGTTGGCTAAACAGTCCCTAGAGGGTTAAGACATTTGGTCATCTCCCTAAAATTATGAAAAAAAGAAAATTAATTATTCAAATGAAATATTAGCTACTGTATGTTCAAATGAACACCTTTGAAACCGTCTTATACATTTTCTCTCTCTGTCTCTACATAAAACCTAGTTATAAATTATATTTATGAGTTGTATTTAATAGTATATTAATTTTCAAGTTATAAATAGTAATTCAGTTAACTTTATCCACAAGTTTCCTACGCCACATGAGGCCTTCTGTCAAAAGTGGGTGCGTCTTCCGGTTCGAAGTAAACAATCGAGATGTGACCTCATTCATTCATTCGACTATCGATTAATGATTCATATTTATTCTAAAATGTATTCTTTAATTTGTTTAAATTTTTATCAATTAAAAATGCAATGAAAATACAAAAATACAGCGTTTTTTCCACAATGAGTTCTTTATTACAAGATTATTACAAGATTGTTCTCATTTGTTCCTAAATAATAATAAAAAAGAATCATGTAAAATAAAACCGAAATCTCGATACTCAGATCCACAAACCTGTGTCAGAATCAGAAACACAACACAATCTTCCAACTCCTAGAGATCTTCCCGTCCAGGGGTGCAATATAATGTCAATATAATGTTTTAAGGATGTTTTTACATGTCTAAAAATGTTCATATAATGTAACATGCAAACTAAGATATAACATTTTAACTGCAACATTCAAAAGACGTTTTAGGAATGTTTTTGTACAATGATCTCAAAATAACATCATCCCAATGTTTCATAATAACAAGAGAAGAACGTTCTCTGTGTCACATTAGGGAAATGTTTTGAGGATATCATCGAGAGATGAGATGTTGAATGTTCTTCATAAAACGTTCCTCTAATGTGACAAGTTAACAAAATTACAACATTTTACTTGCAAAATTATGAGCATGTTTTTTGAATGTTGTTAAAGTTAAAGTTTGTACAATGATCTCAAAATAACATCGTCCCAATGTTTTATAATAACAAGAGAAGAACGTTCTCTGTGTCACATTAGGGAAATGTTTTGAGGATATCATCGAGAGATGAGATGTTGAATGTTCTTCATAAAACGTTCCTCTAAAATATCTTGAATGTAACTGGACACCCTTCCCTCATTTTCTATACGCAGTTCTATAAATATTCAAATGAGCCCCTCATGAACTTACACATGGTTTGTCTTAAAGCATATTAAAAACACCACATAGACATGTACACAACATTAATACTGTAGGTTGACTTTAAATAAAATAGTTTTAAAATAGTTATTATTGAATTTTGTGTATAGACAATTAGATATTGTGTAACATATAATATAGCATCAATGTAAGCTGCATCTGAAACTGTCATTAACCGTCTTTTGATACTTGAACCATCCGGTTCCCATTGAAGTCCATTATATGGAGAAAATCCTGGAATGTTTTCATCAAAACCCTAAATTTCTTTTCGACTGAGGAAAGAAAGAAAGACATGGACATCTTGGATGACATGGGGGTAAGGAAATTATCAGCAAAAGTTTTTTCAAAAGTGAACTAATCCTTTAACGGGCATGCGCGTGAAGTTGAGTTGCCATGGAAACGGAGGTCACCAGTGCAGACAGCAAAACTCTGACTCTCCCTGTTTTCACTGCTTTCAGGTGAGTTTAGTCTCTAAAATCACACAAATAATACACACGACTGTTCTTGACACTTCTATGGCAAGCCGTTTTAGCTTAAATTGTACCCAGCCTTACTCGTCATTATTGCATTTTTACCAGTAAGAATTCAATTAGAGAGCTTTACAATTTAATTCCTACTAGTAGCAATTACAATTATAGAGCTCTCTAATTAAATTCGTACTAATAACAATTACGATTAGAGAGCTCTTTAATTCGATTTTTACTAGTATATAATTGCAGAGCTCTTTAATTGAATTCCAGAGCTCTGCAATTGCATTCTTACTAGTAAGAATGCAATTGAAGAGCTCTCTAAATCAGTTTTTACTAGTAAGAATTACATTAAGAGAGCTCTTTAATGCGATTATTACTAGTAAAAACTGATTTAGAGAGCTCTACAATTCAATTCTTACTAGTAGCAATTACAATTAGAGAGCTCTCTAACTCAATTCGTACTAGTGAAAATACAATTTCAGAGCTTTCAGTAAAAATTAAATTAGAGAGCTCTGCAATTGCATTCTTACTAGTAAAAACTGAATTAGAGAGCTCTCTAATTATAATTGTTACTAGTAATAATTGGATTAGAGAGCTCTCTAATTGTTATTCTTACTAGTAACAATTCAATTGTAGAGCTCTCTAATTAAAAATGAATGGAAGTCAATGGAGACATATGACTAGTATAAATTAACTTGTAGAGGTCTCTAATTGCAATTGTTACTAGTAAGAATTGAATTAGAGAGCTCTCTAATTGTAATTCTTACTAGTAACAATTGAATTGTAGAGCTCTCTAATTGAATTGTTACTAGTAAAAATGCAATTCTGCCGAGTAAGGCTGGGTACAATTTAAGCTAAAACGGCTTGCCATACACTTCTCTTAATTGTAACTGGCACGCTTCTGTTTAATATTTAACGTTACTTTATAGAAATGGGTTAGTGTCTTCGAAAAAATCTATTAGCATCACTAACCGTTTAGCTACAGAAGAGTTAACGTAAGGCTAACGTTATAGCTTGCTTTTGTTTATGAATGTTTGGGCTTTTAATCCAATTTTATGTGTTGATTAGAGGTTTTGATATTTTTGTAGCCTAAATATTTTGCTTGGAAGTGAGCTACAAACGTATAATTTAACATAAAACGTTACGTTTTATTACTGTTAATCGATGACGTCACTTACACGGCTGAAACTAGCTCAATGGTTAA